CCCAATAAAGTAATACCCTTATTTTTTAAAGTTCTAACACTTTATTTGTTTGTAAGAGATTTTGGACAAATTACGCTTCATATAAAATTGTGAGAACGCTTTATTTTCTTTTCAGGGAGTTTACAAATTTGTAGCCCCAGATGTCTGTATTTGACATGTTTGAACACGCCTTTTCCTTTTTTTAAAAATTACACCTTTGTTTATCAGAGATTTGTAACATACATGTAAATATATATATCATAAATCATAAATATGTATAAATATGTATATGAGAACCTCAGATCTCTCATGCTAACCTTTATTTAACCTGCATGGGCCTTCAGTTTGAAAATTGTCCTGGACAGTGGAACTGTACTCCCAATCCTTATTTTGTCAATGCTACATGTATGTCCACTGGATGACGAATTTAAAACATTCCCTTTTCTCCCGTGTTTCTACAATAATTCATAGACGTTTCGTAGCATATTTTCATTTTCTTGTCTCTTTGTACCCTTTTCCCCTTTCGAATAGATTAAGCGGTGATGAAAATGGTCCCCTTCATTCCGAAAGGCATTGGCAGCAATTTATTCCCTCACTGATAAACTTCAGCCGTGACGATTCGACAGAGTGTGCATGTATGTGTGGAGGGGGGGGGGGGGGGGAGGGGGGGGGGCGGGGACGGGGAGATGAATCAAGAACCCCCTCTCCCTTCAAAATGATCGATTTTTGTTTCTAAAGTAGGAAAAACATACTATTGCCATTCATAATAAGTCAAGTAAACGAGGACTAAAAGACGTTACGAGACTGAAAATTGGAACAAAATATGTGGGCCACAATTCATTTTTAATTCAGGGCCTTTAAAATCGAATCAAGTACCAACATATTTAAAAAGTATTGACTCAAAAAATGCGTAGCTGGTTTTCCTAGTGATTTTCAATTATACATTTGTGACTTATTTTGATTCTTCATTATTTTGAATGGACTAAAATAAAATAAAAATTCCCGCATAATTATGTGGATTTTATATACTAGTTCATAATATGATTTTACGTGACTTATAGACTACAGTACACGCGTGGGGGAAATGATAATACTTCATAAGCAGATTTCCACTTGGATAAAAATCAGTTTAAATGCATTGGTGTGAATTTCTTTGTAGCGGATATAGGATTGTCTATATACATTTTGAATAATTGTAACTATAATGTCTGTTCAAATTAGCCCGGCCTCTTTAATCATGTGAAATATATATTGTGTGCAAATTTTGTGTATATGTGACTTTAATTCTGAATTGTCAAATAAAATGAAATAATACATTTCCTTATAATCATCATTTTAACTTTACTAACTACTCTTTATATTGGAAGTTCACTGCATATCATATTGAAGAGTTGAAATACGAAAATAAACTAAACCAAATCATATGACATGCTCGCCATTCCTTTGCTGATGCAGCGGCTTAACGCCATGTAATACATTTTCAATCTGTAGTAAATTTACTTTCTTGTGACAATAATGGTAGACAGCAAACGAAATAATTAATGTATTTGTGCACTATTCATCACTTTGCAGAGCTGATGTTGAAAAGATAGCACTTTTTTTGCGATGGAAGTAAAGTCACGTGCTAAGTGAAAAATTAGTTCATTAAATTCAGTTTGGCGGTGCGACATTATGGCCCGAATTCACAAAGGAGGTTTGTCGACAAACCTCCTTTTGTGTTTTACAAACCAGGTTTGTAAAAAACGCGTCAAAACGCGTCATAATTATGACGTACATAAACCTCGGTTTGTCGACAAACCTCCTTTGTGAATTCGGCAAGTTTGCCAGGGGGTGGGGTGGATGGAGAGGTTCACCGGTGCGTGGCACTTGAGACTATTCTGTTTCTTTCCGCAAGGGGTACGACATTAATTTAAATATTGCCACTCTCTGTACCCATGTGTTAACGAGAACGGGTAGGAAAATATTCCTTACTGTATGTTGCATAAAAGAGGAATGAAAAAAATTATAATATGCCTTTGTATATCCTTTCCAAGTGATTATTCACAAAAGTTTTGATTGTATTTAAAAAGTTTGATTCTGCCAATCATGTCTTTTTATGCATATGTATTCCTGTGTTAGCCACATTCAGGCAAAGTTATAACTATTCAATCTCTGTATTTAAGCAGATTAATAAATAGAAAAAGAGAATTGAATTTGCGTTAGAGAATAAAGTAATCACCCATTTCAACACTGTGCTTCTCTTTTAACTTTTGTAGTCAGAAAAGACATCGCAGCTAAACTCTTTTTGGGGTGGTGACTTAAAATTCTTAAGTTAAGAAACATAGGGCCATGATGACAACAGATGCCTCAATATTTTTCCGGGAATTCCTGTGCAAATGGCTCATTCATCTTGATATATAAAACCCCGAATTTTACCGATTTTCAGGTTAACAAACAAACAAAAATGCAATAAACAACAACAACAACAACTGAACAATCAGTTTTCCAGACTACCAGTTAGAGTTCTCGTGGCTTTCGAGTCGTTCAAATCTCTTCACTCAATCCGATCGCTGCCTATTTTGGTCCTGCGCCCTCCACGCTCAACTGGCACCTGTGCATTACTTCGCAATCTTACCTCTTCAACATAATCCGACATGTTTTTATATCATTTTTTCATTCATAATAATTATTGTACTTGACACAGGCGCGGATCCAGGATTTCTTAGGGGAGGGAGCCCAACTTTTTTTTTTTTTTGCTCCCGAAAATTTGAAAATCGCGCCGGCCGAAAAGTCGCTTAGTGGGGGGGGGGGGGGGGGGGGGGGGGGGGGGGGGGGGGGGGGGTAGTGAGCACATTTTTTTTTTTTTTTGATCCTCAAAAAAATTTCAATTTGCACCCCCAAAAAAGGTAAAAATCACGTGATTTTACATGATTTTTTTCTCAAGGGGGGGGGCCGGGCCCCCGGCCCCCCCCCTGGATCCGCCACTGACTTGACAAGCAGAGGATTTACCCTGTATCTATTATTACAAGCGAAGGCCGAGGAAATAGGGAGAGAGAGGAGAGAGAGAGAGAGAGAGAGAGAGAGAGAGAGAGAGAGAGAGAGAGAGATATTGTGGTGGTGTATCGCCTGAGTTGTCGTACCATAATTAATGCCTTTTCGGGATAATGCTGCGTTTCTCCTTTTTTCTTCAAGAGGTTCTCACGAGAAGGTGTACCTTTTTTGAGGGTCATTGCGTTCATTTTTAAATGAGTTCAAACCTCGACTATCCTTTTTTATTTTTTGTATAGATAAGCCTGAACCAGACCTGGCGCTCCCAAAGACAAAAGAATGGAACGAATTACCATTTACAGACAATGGCGCAGCATGGCTGCACTCGTTCTTGAGGGGTACAAGTAATAGGGGTAGTTTTGTGAGGTAGAATTTTGTGATGCGAATTAATTTTCCCGATTCTAACGATCAGCATATAGGGGAGGGTAAGGAGTGGGAGGAGATTCTAAATTTTTAATTTGTGTACGCCTCTTTCCCTTTATTCTCCATGCCTGTATGTCTGTCTGTTTGTCTCTAACGCACTCTCTCTTTCTCTCATTCCCCGTTTTCCACTATTCGATAAATGGGGGTGTCATGTGCCCATGTAGGGCCTACCCCTATCCTACGCCACTGTTTTGATAGACAGACAGTTTAAAAACGTTTTACCAGATGTGAGTTCAATCCCTTAAACTTATTGCATATATATCATGAAACCAACTTGAAAACGATTGACCTGTATAAGATAAAAAAGGAAATTTTAGTCAAGGCTTGTCTACCGTTTGACAATGATTATGATGGGTGCAAGTTTATAATGTTATCCACCAGGCAATAAAAAAACATGTTAGATGATTAATACCTGGATTAGTGAACACTAAACGGGGTTCTGGAGATATCTGCGCTGGATTGCTTTATCATAAATGAAATGAAAAAGGGGAAGAGACTAAAATGCAAAATTTATCATATTTTTCAGGTACGTGATTTTTGTCACCAAAAAAAAGTAGAAAAAAGGGAGGGGGGGGGGAACGATTTCTCATGTAGTGAAGATACGCCCATTTTTATCCATCAATAAATTTTTTTAAAATGTCAATCGCCAAGTCCCCATTCACTTCGATATTGTCACGATTCCTTTGTGTATGCTTCCTTGAAGTGATTAAGAACTGTCAAAAGTTATTTTATGTATTCTCTTGATATCAAACACGAAATATGATGGCGCAATGATAACAAGGTCCAATGGGCATGTTTAAGAAGCTAAAAATGAACAACAGGCCCCACTCTTCCACTGTCCTATTATTAGAATGACTCCCTGCCGGCCTGCCCCCCCCCCCAAGGGAGAATTTTTGAATTACCATTAGTCGGACAACCTGCACCTGCGTATTCGGAATGTGAATATTAAACCATCTTTATATCTAAAAAGTGTTTTACATACTTACTTACTTGTACCTACCATTTAAAGACATTATCCTTTTCACCATCCTTTTGGGCGTTTTTTTGCTCTCGTGCTTCGAAAAATTAAAAAAAAACAACTAAAAGTTGAAAGAGCTAGACGTCAGCTACCCTGGCTAAAATACCACACACTCAAATCTCCATCTTGACACAGGCGAGTGATGGGGGGGGGGGGGGGGGGGGGCAATGCGCCCCGATCAATCATCATATACATTGATAGTCACCAAGCGATCATTTTATCGTCGCAATGGAGGGGGGGGGGGGGGGCTAAGAAAAAAAGAAGATCGCCTGTGCATGTCCCTAGAGCCCCGCTCCGTGCCCCCTCCCCCCTCCCCCCTCCCCCTCCGGCCCATTCTATATAATAGCCTCTTCAATAGTTCCGAGACAAATTTTCGTTGCGATAGAGAGGTAATTTATTCTTAGAAGTCATGCAGGCCAGAATTTTCTTAGTAACTGATTATGGATGACGTATGAGATGGGCTCGGATCGCATCAATGTCAACATCAAAGTTTGTAAACAAAACTCGTCCCAGCACGCGGCATGCATACAAGTTATTACGGATACTGCGCGCGTTCGTAGCACGCCTGCAGTTCAACTTTTTGGCAACCTGTGGATTCGACACACTTTCGTAACCTAAACATAGATGGTTCAGCTCCGTTTGAAATTACAGTGGCATAAATCTCGCCATACTGTTTGATTTCATGCACTCAAGGCTCAACATTTGGAGGACTTGCAAACGTTTTTATTTACGACAATCAAACCAGTTGTGATACGAGTTCAACCTCGAACATACACGCCCCCTGACCCTTGACTTTCGGGGAAGAGCGATCTCGGTCACCGACCAACGGACAGCTGCTACGCGCGGTACCAGTACACAGATTCCGGATTGCGGCACAATTTTGTTGGTGATGAGTCGCGCAAGTGGTACCCAGTTTTGCTGGCAGTCGAACTAAATTCATGGAATCTCTTCCCGCTTTCTGATATCCGCATGCCGGACTAAAATGGATTCTCGATTTATATGGAGTTGTTTATTCAGCCTTGTTGTTTTGGTTGTGAGTGTGCCAAGTAAGTCTAGCTTTTAAAATGTTCGAATTTTTCGAGCAGTCATAATAGTTCAAATTTAAATATATTTTTAATTTCATATTGCCATTATTATATACTCTGTTTTGGTTCAACATAATACTATTGTATCAAGTTGCCTTTTGAAGTGGATCATCAACTGATATCATTTTAAAGGTACTATGTCCCATTTGCAGTCCAAAAAATGAAAAGGTTAAGAGATCTACATGGTGTGATACAGTATAGGCCTAATATTTTTGTCTTTTAATTTGAGATGCTATACTATAGTTTAGAAATTTAAGTTCATAATTGAATATCAATCACAACAGAGCATGATCATTTAGAGAGAGAGAGAGAGAGAGAGAGAGAGAGAGAGGAAGAGAGGGGGGGTATTGAAATGAGATGAAAAAGAAAGTAAGTAACAAAAGGGATGTAAAGAATGTATGTGCTTAAGTGGGAGAGAGAGAGAGAGAGAGAGAGTGTTTTTTTTTTTTTGGGGGGGGGGGGGGTAAATACACTACAAGTGTTCATTCAACTTTGGATCCTGTTGGAAAGGGAAGTTCCTGTCTAATTTCCCTTTAGCTCATGATTTATGGTTAATCAACTATGTTTTGGGTTAAAAACTAAGAAACCCAAAACTGTTTTTCAGTGTACCTTACACTAGTTACAGGCAGCCCTATCCAAGAAGGAAATCGGACTAAACCGACTTCCAGTATGCCTATAGGTTAATTACTTGTAATAAGATTTTTGGGTTAATGGAATTCTGGTTTACTCTTTCAACGGAAGTGGGTCCACTTTTGCATTTTTCGGTTTTCAAAATGAAAATCAGATTTATTTTATTGTTTTTAACCCAGAAATGTGCTATGTTCTGAACAAAAAAAAAGTTACACATAGTTTATAACATTGTAGTACAAGGACCCTCCATACTCATTCACACTCAGTCAAGATAATTCAAATAAATGTAACTCTTATTTTCCGGTGTGAATGGGGCTTGTCTAGGAAAGGTCTACTCAAGGTCTACAATCCAATGTGAATGTCCATCTCTTCATCTCTCTCTCCCTCCCTCTTCATCTCTCCCTCCCCCCCCTTCTTTCTTTCTCTCTCTCTCTCTCTCTCTCTCTCTCTCTTCTTTTCTCTATCTCTCCCCTAGCTCTCTCCCCTCTTCTTTTCTGCCTACCTCTTTTTCCATCTCTTCACCCTCTCCTTCCCTTTCAATGTCTCTCCCTCTTTCTTGATCCCTCTCCCTCTTCTCTCCACCCCTCTTCTCTTTCCCTTCCCTTCCCTCCTTCCCCCCTCCTTCCCCCTATTTCTCTGCCCCCCTCCCCCACCATCTCCCACCATCTCACTATCTCTCATGTACCTTTTGTGAAATGATAATTTTGAAGTTCCATTGCCAAAAGTTTATCATACCAACATTACAACTTCTGAGACTTTTTTTTTGGGGGGGGGGGGGGGGGGTGCACAGGCTGGATTAGGTTGCCAGTAAATAACATGAGAAAGAGGCCATGTGAAAAAAAGAACTCCACAAGTGATTGAGGGAAGTGCCAGGTTAGAGGAAGTGAAGTGCAGTTGTTGTTTTTTAAAACCATTTATTCCACTTAGTATAGTAAAAGTGTGTTTTGTGGGTATCCTTGACCAATATATCTGCAAATACAATTGCTAAGTAAATTAGACATGGCATATTGAGGCATGTTCTGGTCAAATACCTTGTTTGTGTGTAAAATAAAAGAGTAAATGTAGAGTACCCCAAAGTTGTCCATGAAAGTTGATCCTGGGCATATTTCTCTAATGTATTTGTGAATTTACGATATCTTTATAATTATGTCTCTCCTCGTGTATGATGAATGTAAACTAATATTGTCAAGTCTGACTCTTGTGTGATAGTATTGAGCCTGCAATTTGATACATGATTGATTAAAGTTTGATTACAGAAAACTACGATGTGCTCCTTTTTTAAGTTCAGATGTACACTCTCCTATGATGTTACACAGGGATGCCAATTTTCAGGCAATAGCCTGAATTCAGGCCCTGGCGAGTTATTTTCAGACCATAGTTAAGGCTTTTTTGTGTACAAAATGGCTCATTCTAGGTCATTTTCAGGCCTTCTGATCATTTCTAACTGGCATCCCTGGATGAAGTATAGGGCTAAAATAAAAATTAAAATATATAGGTTAAATAAATAATGCAATACGGTAAATGACAGTTCATTGTTATTGTATTGGTCTGGAAGACAGACTGCCATGAACTTGATATTGATTCTAATATCATTTCTAAATCAATAATTACCACAACATCTTGATAAAAAGAACTTCAGAGAAATCATGATTCAACTCCATGAAAAATAGTCTTTAAGACATCCACATATTTATGAGGAAACTAGCAGATCGAAAGGAAGTGTTGTGTTTTATCACTTATTAACATATTCAGTCAAAATAAGAGAGTTTGAAACAGAAATAATTTATGTAGGAAATACTTTAAGAATGTGATTTTTCAGCTAAATCCACACCAAGGGTAGATCCAATTTCAGCTGCGTTTCAGATAATTTTGTGTGCACGCTATGGCACTCTTCTCTCACTCCTTATATTTAATAGTCTGTATCCACAGTCTCTGTTTTGATATTGAAGCACTCAATCTCTGACTGAAAGTCCAAGTGCCCAATTAAGTGACACCCAAATGACTCGAAACTTCAGAATGACCTCCATGTTTGAATAATCATTCCGTTTGGAGAAAGTACACACTACACAATCTTGATTTTTTTTTGGGTAGAATTCTAAAAGTGACCTCTTGCTATTGAGAGTCTTATTACATGAAAATTAGAGTGTTGAGTCGTTGATATTGTCACAATGACTTCAGATGGCCAAGTCTGTCCGAATTTTTCAAGCCTCAGTTTGCAAGCTTATAGACTTGTATAGAAATGTAAATTATATTAGTAATTCACAATTATGTCAAATACAACTTGAACAATTTATAGCTTTCTCATTTCTAATCTGATTTTGCTCAGACTGTCCCTAATCTATTTTTCTTATTTTAATTTTTTCATTGAAACCAAATAAATATCAGGGTGGACTTTCCCTTTAATGTATTGTTTTATGTGGTAATTGTCAAAAGCCACCCCATAGGGATAGTATATATGTGTTGGGGAGTGAGAGGGAGAGGTAGAGCGGGTCAGAGAGGGGCAGAGAGGGAGGGAGAGGGAACTGGGAGAGAGAGAGAGAGAGGAGGAGGGAGAGAGAGAGAGGATGGGGTTGGGGGGGGGGGATTAGAGATTGGAGGATGAATCTAGAGAGGAAAGAGGGAGTTAACCAGCTTTAGTCAGCCTATTTGTAAAGAAGGACCGAGACATTCCTTTTTTTTCGCGTCATGAAAATGATCTGACAGTTACATGGACACCCATGCAGTCATGAGTAACTTTATGTCTCTGTGTGCTCTCAATGTTGAGAGCCAATAGGGCAGCGACTCACACACTGTATACTGTAACACAGAGTTAACATCCTTCTGGCTTTAACTGAGAAGATTGTAATTCAAACTTCACGAGTCAGATATTATCTCGAGAAAGTGTGGCTCATCGAGTCAAGACGAGATTGTCTTCTTTGATATTTTAGAAGTGGGAGTGAGGATGCCTGCGTCGTCGATGATTCACTGTTTTTCTGATCTCTAATACTGTAATTTAATAGGACGCTGAAGCAGCATGCATACTGCTAGTCAGGGCAGACGAGGACTACATAGTTGCCAAATGTAATCCTGAATTCTTGGCACACCATAAATGAAATTCTTACAGAACCCAAAGGAATATAGGCCTACTCTAGAGAATATGATTAAAAGTGTATATCAGCCATTAAAATGAAATTCGGATATATTGGATTTGATCTTCCCAAGGCAGGCCACATTGTATATAGTGCCAAGAATTCCAAAGTCGTATATCTGCATAATCTGTGTTCTGATCAAAATTGACAATTTTAATTGGCACTTTTAATGAAAACTATTAAATAATTCAATTTAAATAAAAGATATTTCCATGAAAACAAATAATATAATTCATCAAAAAGAAATTTCACTGATTTAATTGCCCAAAGTGGCTTGTAAATTATACATCTGTCTTGATATTTTTTACTGTTAATAGTTCATTGTTCCAAACAAACCTCTGACATATTCTGAATTACTTTTAAATTATAAGATTAGATTATCACTAGATCTCAGGGTTCTAGAAGATGTATCCTGATATTTTCATTAATATTTGTTTTACAATTTAGAAGTTTACAATTTAGAAGAAGCATATAAAGTAATCCACTCCACACACAAAAGAATAGAGTAATGCAATTTTTTTCTAGAAAGTAAAACATTTGTCTTTATGTCTGACTCACCAGCTCCTGTCCCCGTCCCTCAAGATCAGATCCCTCTGCCTAGACTGTTCAACTTCTTAATCAAGAAAACCCTGTAAATTCCATTATTTTTGTGACATTGACTTTTTTCCCCAGGGGAGGGGACTTGTAAAGGGCTCAGCACACAAAACAAAGCAGAATAGCGGGTCATACCTTGTATTCGGTCGTGTCAGGGAAACACTGTCGGTTGGGGATGGGGGCAAGTACTGTGCTTTACTCATCATTATACTTTTTATTTTTTTGACATTTGTCACTTGGAATCTACTTGACTGTATCCGAAAGAAACTGAATCCACATTAGAGATATTTCAAGTTCGAATTTTTGATCAATAGTTTAAAATCATCATCAGGAACAGATAAAGCCCCGTTCAGATATGATGCAGTAACACCAAGTTAGTTTTTTTTTGTCATGACATAATTAAAAGTGTGATAAGCTTCAAATTTCTGAATCTTATAATACAGACCTCGGTTAATATGTGCTGGACCTGTGTTAACCGGAGTTGCCATTCATTTCCCCATTAAAAAATAACCTGAGACGTCTTTTTTTTTTCTTCGGCGGTTTACTGTATCATATCTGAACAAGACTTAATAATAAAAGCCGGGATTTCCCTAGTGAGGTACGACTTTACTACTCTTACTATCTTACATTTAGTTACTCTGTAGAGGCAGGGTATCATTTTGTAGAACATTTTGAATAGGGTTATTGCACTTTAACTTTAACTTTTCTTCAGATATTGAAACAGTGCCAGTTTAGGCAGGGGGTACATGTAATTAATGTCAGATATTGTTGCTTGATTTTGTTTGATGATTATATGTAGTATTAAGTATTGAGCAAGGATTTTGCTCCATACAATAAATTCACATGAATTGATGAAATACATGACCTGTACAGAAATATTACTCCCAGTCCCACTCATACATGTAGGAAGCAAGAAAAGTGGTGTTTATTGGCAGGTGGCCTTTATAGACAGGTTGCCTAAGCACATATTTTAACCGGAAATAATTTTGAAGGGAAACAAAATATGTGGTCTCCATAAGACCGATGGCCTTTTTGTACTGGTTGTTGTAGGCAGCTTTGACTGTATTTAAACTTAAAGTAGAGTAATTATGACTCTCCAATTCTTTTCTTCTTCAGGACTGGCCGTGGCTTTGGAACCTCCTAACCATGTGGATGGCTATGACCCAGCGGACACTCAAGGCCCCATGGTGGAACCTGGACAACCATTGGTTACCCCTCCTCCTATCAGAGATGCATCCACTCCCAGGTCGGCACCAGTCGAGACTCCAAGTCCGACACCTTCGCCGTCGCCGACCAACTCCACCACAGTAGCCAACACGATGGAAGCCAATGCCACGGTAGCCACGACGAAACCCAACTCAACGATGACAGCGAGCTCGATGACAGCTACTTCGGTGACCAGGAGGTTGACTCCCTCTTTGACAGTTCCCAACGCGACAGGAACAGTGTCTAAGACATCAAGAAGCACCGCGTCAGGAACACCCTCGGCAGATACACCCCTCTCTGGAATTCCTGCATCTACAGACAAGAGTACAGTGGCACCAACAGCTCCTATTCAACAGGGGACAACCAACGAGAACAATACCGGTCCTGTTGATCTGTATTCCACACCCCCGTTGTGGACGTGGTGGGACTCTACGACAAAAGCGGCCACAGGAACTAGGACACCTACAGCGAGAGCAACGATCCTTACGACAAGACTCAGGACAACTCACCGGCAGACAACCCCCTACCCTCGAAAAACTACAAGCTTTCCCTGGACCACAAGCCAAGTGTCTCCTCAAACTACTCGGCCTACTACAGTAGTGACTCAGCCTAAGGCTACCACCACCCAAGCTCTACCTAACAAAAATAGAACATCTGGAACTGTTTCAACAACAACAACAATGGCAATGCCAACCACTCCAACAACGATACCTTGGCACTGGCCCTTCCCAACTACTACCCAAACAACAACCTTGGTGACTACTGCAAGTCAGGTATCTACTGGACAATCCACAGAGCCAGGAAACACTCCATCTAAAGAGCACCCAGTCAGAACTCCTACTCTGTATCCCATCACCACCCTGGCCCCTCCTGTCGCCAACGCGTCCTACAAGCTTCCCACATACCTTCAGCTCCGCCTCAGTACCACCTGGCCAAGGTTCTGCAAAGGTAGCGCCAACGTCCAGGAATCCCTTGCTGACTTTGCCCGCCAAGTTCTGGGTCAGTCCCCTTACGACAGAGTGGAAGTACCCTACCTGAATGTCAGGGACCACTGTCGGGAAGCCACAGTGAACAGATTCAAGAAGACCTTGCTTGTAGAAGTGACTCCCGTTGACTTTTTTGTCACTGTAAATGGCTCCTATTATGAGAACGTCACCCAAAAGGTCGGAGCTGAGCTCGTTCTTGATCATTCAATGCTACAAGAAGACATTTCTTATCAAGTAAGTGCATGCTAAACCATGATTCAACTTTACACATAAGTATAATTGTCTCTTTTAAAATCATCTCCTTTATGTACCCAAATTTATGTTAATATCGCATACCCTATGTTCCATAAATTGGGATCAGCTATAGTAATATGTTTCTCCATTTCAAACATTACTAAATCAATCATGCATGTATCAGTAAAATATATGGCCAAATTAATTACCATAATTCCTTCTCCATGTGACCGTGTCTCTATATTTATGTAACGCACATATCAAGAAAAAAATAACTGTATTTACAGGCAAAAACAATGAAATTAATTGAATTCAGTTGAATGGTAACTAATTCTGAATTCATGACAATCAGTATTATGACATATTAGTACAGGATTTTATTTCGGGTATGGGATGAACAGGGCTATTTGTAATTACCGTAGTCTTTGCTTATATCGAAGCAACAGACAGAAGTTTTGAGCGAGGATTGCAGGAGACAGAAGTTGCTTTTATCTTTCATGGATTAACTAATTCATTGTCAAGTAGTTTAGTATTTGTGATTGCCTGATTGATTATTTGTAATTTTGTAGCTGTGATTGACTGATTGATGACTACATGTAGCTATCATGAAACAGATCTGAAATGAGAAGAGATGGAACTGAAGGTTATGGATTAGTTCATTTCATTATGCGCATGTATATTTCAATTATCTGGAAGACTTCCTGGTTGATAACGGCTTCCGCATTCTTAGAGAATTCGCGTTAAATCTGAAATGTTCAATGAGCAAAGAGAATTTCACAAAATAATGATAGAAATGGCTGGAACCGTAATCTAACTGCATTATGAATGGAATGGAACTCCTTATTTTTTTAAAACATTTCTGTTTTTATAATTTGTTTAAATCATGAAGACAACTATTTTCACAAGGAAGTAGGAAACCAAGAGGAATCATTTCCTCTCAGTTGATTGACGTTGATTTGATTTGTTTTTTTCTAGTGAACAGGTTTATCTTCTCATCTGTCCTGTTTGGTACAACTTTCACAAACCATGAAAGGATACAAATACTTTAGCTGACTGGCATATATATATATTGACATGTATGTATAATGTAAACAATTGTATTACTGTGGTTTAATGAAGAAAAAACGAAGGAAAGGAAATTTCCTCACACTCTACAGTATCAGAAATTTGGTCGCCACAGAAAAGATTCTTTTGAAACAATATTTTGGTTCAGGCAATATTTCTTGTGGATTTAATTGTTTCTGCAGCTCTGTGGGAGTTTACCATAGTGATTTTTTCTCACTGCAGTAGCTTTAGTAATTATGAAGAAATTTTCATTCACTTTTTGTTCTTCTTCTCTCTCTTAGATTATCTCTGCCCATGTGCTTGTTATCAACAAGGCAGCCACTCCTGCACCTCCCAATGATGGGAGCAGCCAGGGTGCGGTGATTGGCGCAACTCTGACAGTGTGTGCTCTGGTCTTTGGGGTCATCCTTTCTCTCATTGGAATGAAGGTAATGAGAAGCATGATGAACGTGTTTGGTTCTGAATGCACTGAGGAGATAGAGAAAGAGAGAGCGAGAGAGAGAGAGATAGACAGTGAGTGAGAGAGAGAGAGAGAGAGAGAGAGAGAGAGAGAGAGAGAGAGTGTGTGTGTGTAAGAAAGAGAGAAGGGTACAGAGAGATAGAAAGTGAGAGGGAGAGAATAAGAGAACAAGAGAGAGAGAGAGAGAGGGAGAGAGAGAGAACATTGTGTGAAATGGATCTTATTAGAAATATTATGATTTTAATTAAGAATAAGATTAATTAAATGAGAATCAATTATTTGTAGTATACAATAAGGTGAAGTAATCTTTGATAAACACTTAATGGAAAAAAAGGGAAAGGAGGAATCAGAAGAAAAAGTAACAGATCAGATTTTTTAGGGGGTTTGGAAGAAAAAAGGTTAAAGTATTCTGAATACAAATCTACAACGTACTGTATGTTAATCGGGTGTGGGTTGAACCTGGCACCAGTTTCCAGTCTTTCAAGGCCTGCCTGGTAGATTTAGGACATGGATAGAAAACTATTAACAGATCAAACACCTCTTGTCATGGTTACTATTTTCAATGCCGTCTGCTTGCCAGGTGAAACTGTCTGATAAAAAAACTCTGACGGATAATGTTATTTTTTGCTTTCTCTCTTTGTGCCTTCTACCATAACATTGCAGTGTCATGCCCTACATAAACACTAACATACTTATGTTGCATCACTCCTCTATCTGTAATTGTATTTTGGTATTGAGTTAAAAGGTATGCTAACATACATGTACATGTATGCACAATCATTATGGTGTAATGCTAACTGTTCTAAGTTACTGATGTTCTAGAAACTTTTAAAACATAAAATTTGTTCACTAACTCTAAAAAAGTATACAGTTGTATTTCAAAATATGATTATTATGATTATTATTATCTCATTCTTTCTGGTTCTTTTTAAAGTTTTTGTGGTATAAAGAGTATACAATCTAATTAATTACAAAATCCTCATTGTGATTATATATTCTTGTTTATCATTAATTTGAAACCTCTCTTGATTCTGATGATTTTTTCTTGTATCTGATGATAATCCAAAATATTGGAATTATTCCAATGAATTGATTTGAAATGATTTGAAGTGATTTGAATCAATTCCATTTGTAATCCTTAGGTGTATAGGGTGCGCAAGTCCCATGCTGGCATCACGGACCGCTACTACTTCGATGGCAAGCAGCTCCAGGATGCCCTCAGTGAGTCGCATCAGATGGCGGGGGTGTCGCCCCTGGGGAGGGCCACGGGAGGGGGTGGCCACCCTGCCCCCAGCTACAGGGAGTACATCCTGGCTTCCATCAACAAGGGCTTGGTGTTGGACGATGAGGATATGACAGTGGAGGTGGATGCAGTAGAGGTAATTTTTATATGCCTTCATATATGCCACATTGTATTGATCATGGAATAGATATTCTAAAGGCTTCAAGATTATTTAAAAGGCAATCCAACCAGTGAAAAAAATACACAGGAGCTTGGGGCGAAGTAGCCCCTGAATTGCTAAAAAGAGCATAAAAAGAGTCATAAAAAAGCCCCCCCCCCAAAAAAAAAAAAAAATGTGCATAGAGTTCAATGCAAAACAAATAAAAGAGTGTTATTTTCATGCATTTGGAAAGCCTTATATTGCACAAAGCAGTCCTTCCATCAATATTATTGCCTACTGGTATAAATGTGTGTGCAAAATTACACATGTGGTAAACAAGTGACCATGCAGAGATGCAAGGAAGGCAACTAAAGGGTGAACTTTTTGTGAAAGTATGCATTACCATCCTTCTGTTCAAAACAGATGTTACATCGTCTGTTGCAAGCCAGAATTAGCGCATTGACCCATATAATTTTACACAATTTGAACAGACGATATCATCTGTTGAGGGCCAGAAGGGCATTAATAACCAACAAACCACTTTTATGTAGAGGTTAATGCCCCCACAGCTGTCTGCAAATAATATCATGGATCAAGGTCATGCATACAGCAATCCAATTGCTTAAAGGTAAAGACCAGTATTGGAAACGCCCCAATTTCAAAAGAATGAAATGGAAGCTCTTGCAATCGTGTGAAAGAATATGTTTTGAATAATACATGATAACAGTTTTGCCGGGAAACTGCCTACTAATTGATATATTTGGTAAATTAGTTTATCTCTCACAGTGTGAGAGATAAAAACGCATGTGTCGCACACGTGTGCGTAGTCCCATATACATCTTTCTGTGTACAGTGCTTGTAACTTTATGAAGACTTGGCCAAATTTCTTATCATTTTGATGATTCCAGAACCTTGCAGTACATCTATGCTAGATGATCAACCTTTTCTGATCGATTTCACGTCTCTTTCACAATGCAATCGCATGACCATACATGTAACTGGTCTTTATCTTTAATAAAGCAATAAACTTAGTTTATCGCAAATGAAATTAGTTTTTTGAGCAATAACCTAAGTTTATTTCCGATAAACTTTAGTTTTTAAAGAGAAACTCTGTTTATCGAATGATACCATCGATAAACATGGTTTTTAGTTTTTCACTCCATAAGCAGAGTTTCTTAATATATTTTGTTTACTGCTTTGAAAATCTAAGTTGATCAGTGAAAAACTTGGTATGTCGCTCAAAAAATTAAGTACATCGCACACAAAAAACAGTTTATCACCGATAAGCATTAATGTTGGCTTGCCATTCATGCATCAATGCCAAAAAGTACACAGGAGCCTTGAGAGATTAAGCTGTGAAAACTCTGAAAACTCTGAAAAAGCTCTGGTTACCGGTATACAACATCAATAAAATACATGAACAAATTTCAGTGATGAAATCTTGTTTGTACTACAAATCTGAAAGGAGCTTCCTATAAAAAAATACAAAAACAACAACAAAACAATCTATATGTATAAAGCAATGCCGATACTAAGTATAAGCATTGATTTTGATTTTTGGTCATAAAAAATAATCAATTTTTGATGGTTTGTTTTACATCATAGAAACTCATTCAGCCCTAATGCTTTTCGACATTGACTTGACATGTGTTCCGATACAATGACTCTGTCTGAAATCAAGGTACACATCAGGCAACCCTTGCATAATTAGTTAATTAAGCCATGGTAGTGACTTAACTAGTGGCATTCAAGTACTCCATGGCCGATAAATCTGTGAATGCCTCTCCCGTCTAATGGGGCTAGCAGCAAAGCCAAATGTTGATTCATGTTGACAGAGTCTTTACTTGGTTGATGAAAATGAAATGTTTTTGATGCCAGGAATCCATAGCACAATGTGAGTAGGGAAACTGCGAGTATCTGAATGATGAAACTTGGAATTTGACCAAAACAGGATTAATGTTACAACTAGCAGAGGATCGCTACAAAACTTCTGATCCTCATGTATTAGCTTTGGCCCTTTGGGGCAACCAATTCGAGCAGAGGGGCAAGTAAATTGAAGTTAAACTTGTCCTATGAATTAGGCAAGTTTAATTGTTGCTCAGGTATACACATTTTGTTGGACTAAATGGAAAAGTGTAAACAATTTTATTGATAATTCCTTGGCTTGTCAGTAAAATATCAGTTCACTTTTTGAAGCTAATTCTGTGAGACATGCAAACATTGTTATGTCTAATCATTTATGAGCATTGAAATCAAACTCTTGTTTGTCTCAAAGAAGGAAAGTGTTTGGAGAGTTTGAAGTGGTTTGCCTTCTGAGAAGGTAGAAACAATAAGAATTAGTTTGTGTTCGTTCGTAATGTTTATTGAAGCTGAATTCACAGAAACACAAGATATTTAAAAAAAACTATTATTTTGTCAGAGCCTGAAGGGTGTTATTCGAGCTATATATTGAATTTAAAAAAAATCCAAAATAATAACAAAAAAATGAAAACAGATGATACTTGATACATTTAATGCTTGGAAATAGGGAATATCTAGAACAGGCCTTCTCAACTAGTTTATTAGAAGTGCCAAAACGAAAAGAATTTGTAGTTGAAGTGCCACCCTGTAAGGTCGACTGTGCTGCGAGGGAGCGTAGTGACCGGGCCGAAAATGGGTGGGGTCCAGGGGCGAAGCCCTAACAGGGGTAGCAGGGGGCTGAGCCACCTGAAGCTGGTAGATTTAGGGCTTTCTAAAGGCCCAAATGGGGCATTTTTAGCACCATTTCATTCCACAATATAATCAATCATAATTTCATATTGATGTGAAAAAATTAGTAAAATTCCTTAGTACACTGGAGGTATATTTATATGTAGTTTTTTGTGTGCAATAAACACGGGAAATGTCAAAATAAAGTGAAATTAAACAAACAAAAACGAGAGGTTTACAGATATTGGCAATGTTGAAATATCTCATCGTAAGCTAATTGTTGTTCAGACCTTTTAGATTCGTATAAAATGGTAAAAAACGATAAATTCCCCCTTTCTATCTGTTTGTTAATAAAACAGGCATTCTCTTTTTTTCTGTTTTTTGTTTTGTTGTTGCAACAGTCGCGCGCCACTCCGACTAACCGCAAGCGCCACAAGTGGCGCGCGCGCCGCCAGTTGAGAAGGCCTGATCTAGAACATCCTTGCATGCTCATGACATGTTTATGTGTAAATGTATCCTGTCGTGTACATGGTTATAAGTTGACCTCAATGACGTCAATGTCATATATGAGCCGGACATTGCGCTTTTGGTAACTTTGACATTTAGTGACAGAATTTGTGTGGACATCATTCAGACTTGTATTCCCACATGCAACAGTGACTCATGAATGGATTCCTGCAAAATATGAGCTGTACATGTTGAGAAAAAAAAAAATTCTCAGGAGAGACTTTTTTTCTTTTGTTCCAGAGATCTGAGTGAGCTTTAAAATGCTAAACGGCCCTCAAATGCTCTGTTTTGTTTTCCTTATTGTGGATAAAACTTAGTTTCGTTTCGAAGATATAGCAACATCAGTGTACATACATGGCATCTAGGCCTACTGTGAAAAAGTTGGAAAAGCTCCAATATTTGATCATAAATGAAAGGAGATATTGAGGGGCATTTTGACATAGGTTTTCAATCTCATTGTGTAAGGTGCATGTAGTGTTGTTGTTGCACAATGCTGAATCATTATGTATGTCATACTAAACATTCAGAGTAGTGAAACAAATGTGCCGACACACTTATAAATCATATCTACCTTGCGTTCCCTCCACACTTTTGGCAAGTACATACACATGTTCTATGTAGATTACATTTACATCGATACCTATAGGCTGTAGGAACTACCCATGAGGTAAAAAAAACAGCCGTTTAAAAAGCAAAGAGGGAAATTTATAATCCAGACGATTATATGACCTCTTTCTGCCAACATATCGTCCGCTGAGCGTCAAAAGGTTGCTAAATATAGATGAGATACGCCCTTCTTGTTCCAGGCTGACGATATATAATGTCAATTGCTTCAACATCAAAGTATACAGAAACTGGGGGTTATAGGTCAAGCATTGTTACATTATATCAGATGGGATGACAGCTGATAGCCCTTGTACTTGAATTAAAGCGCAGACAGACTGGGACTTGTTGAATGGCTCAATTTCAACAGACTTGTGAAACCTTAAAGGGAGTGTTCAGCATTGGATACGATTGTGAGCGTATAAGGTAGTTGAATGATTTAATTATCTGTTTTGAAGAATGAGACTAAATATTCCTCTATTATTGACAAAATGATGAATTTGATATATTGAGGGAAACATGAATGTTGATTTTTAAGAAGAGTAATTGGAATTGCTACCACTTTATTCAAATTAAAAACTATAGATGACCTCATAAAGAGAAAATTAAGTTCAAAGGAATTCCATACTACCCCTGGTCAAATTCAAAAGAGTCCAAAACTAATCGAAAAATAGTTTTTAAAACAGCTATTAACTCTGAATATATTTTTCATCTCTTTTGTTCCAAATCCTTATCCTAAGAATATGTCTTTTTTGTCTATTGTTTATTTTTTTTTCATAAGAAAATAGAATAAAAGTATCAAACTTTTCTAAAAAATCCATAGAAATATGGAGAAAATAGCCCAACATATATTTTTGTTGCATTTCAAAAACGATCAGGGACTGCCAACACTATATTCTTGCTACACTTTTTGTTATCAATATGTTGATAATATAAGTTGAATAGTAATAGTTCCTTTAACACTTCCTTATAATAATAATGATACAATACATTGTATATAAACTGCACCAGCGAGCTTGCAAATTGTCTAGACGGCAATGCTAAACTGTATGCACGTCAGAAATTTGTGAGACCTAAATCAGATAGGGGGATTTAAGCGTTACTAACTGTTCTAAAGTGCAGTATATGTATATTTATTGATCCCTTATCTGTGGATTTAGAGGGATCAATGGCAGTATTAGTAATGCACCTATCAAGATTGGAATGAATCTAGAGGTCTGTCCTCATCAGCTCAAGTTTGCCAAATAACCCGCTATTTTCGGACTCAGGATATTATCCCGAAGCTCGAAATTGGGTCTTCACCAGACCGATACGCTCATCACAAACTAGCTTGGACGAGCGCAAATTAGCCCACTATTTCCCAAATAGCGGGATATTTTGGAAACAAGACCAAGATTTCTCGGGATATTTTCTCGACCAAATATCCCGCTAATTGCAACTATGGGTTGATGAAGATGCAAATTAGCTGGATAATTTGCGATCTGGATTGTTAAAATAGCGGGTTATTTGGCAAACTCGAGCCGATGATGACAGGCCTTAGATGAAGCGCATGCATGGATCTAATCTGTGAAGTGGCTGATAAAACCTTGAAACTTGAATCTGAATGTAGAACAGATATATGTTGGGACTAAAATGGCTAGGTTTGCTTCCTGAAACAGTACCAAGTAACCCTCTTTGGTTAATTGATGTTTATTCGTCTGGGAAATCATTTCCAGTTTGATAATGGACAAGAATTATTGGTAAAACAATTTCAACACTTTGGTATATGTATACATTTCCATTCCCAGAACTGAGAATTACCTTTAAACTGGACCAGCAATGATAAAAACTAATAAAAATGCATCATTACATCACCCTGTTCCTAGACCTTTTCAACACATCTGATTTAATAGATACATAAGTAGAGTTCAATGAGTGTTATATTCATTGCTGTATACATATAAAGTTGACCTTCACACTTATAATTGTGATGATTGAGTGTTCTTTTTAAAGTAAACAAAGATTAGCTACTGGCGCGTAGCTATAAAATCAATTGGATCAAGGTGTCGGTTGGTACATGTTTAATCATGTAACTGATCTTTGGGACATTTACAAGTGGTTTGCACTTTACAACATTAACCACTGCAACCCAAATGGAATAGAGCAGAAATATCATTCATTGTATGTTTTGCATAGATTATTAGTAGTCTGCCTCCAAGGCTGTTTTCCTACAAGTTTCACTCAAGAAGAATGTGTATGTTTGGAGCGAGAAGGGCGTTAACTAGAATTTGTGATACAATGCAAGTTAATACCCTTTTGAGCAGTAACTTTGGTTAGTATAGTCTAAATTCTCCAGACTTAATCAAACAATATTTTGTCATGGGTTGGGGAGGGGGAGCAATATGAGGATAAACAAGCAGTTATCATTCTTGTTTCATGGTTCTCTCTGTCTATGTTTCTCTAATACGTTTATTCATTTTTCTAATATATTTTTTATTTGTCAGTTATAATACTGGGTCTGAACTGATCAACTTCAAGACTATCATCGACACTATAGGCTCTAGTATCATTTGTAACACAGCTAGTTTTAGGGCTCACTTTATTATGGAAAAGTGCTTATTTAGAGTCTGTGTTTCTAGACTACAGGTAGCACATAATATGTTCATATTTTTGATGTTGTGATGATGTAATTATAGATCACTGCTGAGTTGCAGATTAATCTTGAAGCCATTTATACACCATATCCATTGCACCTGTATTATCTGTTGAGTAAACAGGTTTTTTAGAGCTTTAGTCAAGATCTGCAAATACAATCAAGGTCCCAACTCCCATTTTAATAGACCCAGTTTATATACATGCCCTTTGACTTCATGTGGAACACCATTAGATATCAATACATTCCCTCCAAAATTCCCTCCAAAGTTTGTATTTACACATTCAATATTTGGTTAGTTACGCCATGTACTATCTGATACAGTTTCAAGGGTTTGTTTTTGTATTGAATAAGCAGTTTTGAGCAAGGAAGAGAGGGAGAGGGGCTAACGCCCAAACACATATCTATCTTGATTGATTCAAATTTATTCCATTTCATATCAATTGTTTGTACAATAAAGAACATACATGTAGTTGACAAAGTAAGTTAAAAACTTATGAAATGAAACAGGAACCTACTGGAAAGCATTATGGCTTGTTTTCTGTAGGTTCCCAAGAATAAATATGAAATGAACATTATTTATTTTCATTAATCATTTTAAAGTGTCTAAATAATCACAGTAAAATCTTAGGGATCATTTTGGCAGAAAATGGCAGGACCTTGGAGATATAAAAAAAAAAGCAAGAGAATCCCCATACATGTATATTTGAAGAGCACTTTCATAATTATATGAATTGCAAAGTGCAGAGTTCTTTTATAATATATTTCTCCAAAACCATTTTGCTACAACTGTTCAAATCAATTACTTTAAATTGCTTTCTACTTTCAAAATCCCATCAAACAAATGTGATAGTATATTCCATGTGTAATATATTATACATTATTGATAGAGGAAAGGGAGACTACCAAAAAGCAAAGATTGTGAGTGTGTAGCTAGCTATCTTTACCTAAATTTAACACCATTTCCCTTGCTGAAACAGGAAATGTGGTGTGCTTCACCTCAACACGTTTGTTTGAAGTTTGTCAATACTGTATAAAGTTGAGTTCTGAAAATATATGATATTTGAAGGTCCATTTACATGTGCATCATTATGTGGTATTATATTACTTCCCTTGCTTTTTTTAATGTTACAATTATTCGTTATTTGACCTACATGTATAGCTTGCAGTTGTTTATTTTCTGGCCACATATTTACAAATCAGATTATAACAATGACAATTTGTATTATGCTTACTAAAACAGATATAAAAATTGTTTAATAGACCACATTGTAACCGAGTATGTGGTATAATCATATTTTTTTCATACCATTTCTTGCTTGAGGATTTAATTATTGGTTTTGAAAGAGCACATGATTGCCAAGTTTTGCAATACGTTAATCCCCTTTGAATAATGTCAGTCAGTTGCAATGTTTCAGTTTTGACTTAATTGTGGGCAGGCAGCTGTTTAATTATATTTTTTTAATTGCCATCAATTTATTAATTTTGTGGGAAACTTTCAATGAAAAACTATGATGCAACATTCTGTTTTGATTACCAAGATTTGTTTCAATTAGAGGAATAATTTCCTAACCCTCAGTTTTGAAGGTATGGGTAAGCTAGATTAAACAAATTGTTTCTCAAAATTGTTTATGTTGCTAGGTTTCTTATTAGATATTCAGAAATGTTTATATTCATGCTTAAAACATTTGTATAATTCGATAACCATATGCAGATTTGCTGTTTGAGCAATGTTATTCTATAGTTGTTATACAAACTCTAACATTGATGTTATTATGTCTCCTGGTTCTAAGCGAACATATGAATTTTAGAAAGACATCTTTTCAATTATTTGACCTAGTATTTATGATTGTAATGAATGACAGTGATATATAGATCAAGTGTCTTATAATGTCGGACATTTTAAGAATCTTTCTCTATAAATAGGTCTATGTTTCTGTGGTGACTATCATATTCACCCCTAATAATTCACAGAACAGAGACGAAAGTGGATCAGTAGTATCATTTTATGTCTGCTATTTGATAGGTACTATCATATTGTATTGAAGGGTAATGGCTTCTTTAATACATGTGCTTGTTTTTGTTGGTTTTCTCCTTTTACAGGCGTTGCCTTCCCACACCCTAACCAGCAATGCTCTCGCAAAGTTTTATAGCTACAGAGAGGCCATCGCCGAGGAGTTTGAGGTAATTATTAGCTATAGGATACTTTGATTATATTGTTGTCTCTTTGCCTTATATAAAGAGAATGAAATCTAAAATACTACATCCTGTATATATTTTTCCATATTTATATATGTACAGTATGTGTAATTTACCATTGCCTTGTAAAACTTTGAAGTAAACTTTTTTCATTTTAAAATTAAGGGAAAAAAAAAGAAGAAAAGTTTATAAATAAAAGTAATAATGAAATATTTGTAATTAAAAGTACCAACAACCTGGTAGTCCATGTGTAATTTTGGCATGAAGTAGGAGAAGTCTTGTGTCTAGAAATCTCAGTTCTACTCCTTTTCCCTAGGTTAATGGGATTAAATCATTTTGTTGCTTTTAAAACCTAAGTTAGTGTTAACAATCAACATTTGTGATCGAGCCAGCACTTGAGAAGTTTGTCAGTCTGAGCATTATGTTTCATAAGTACAACTTATTATCTAATCTATTAAATTATACATAATAATTTTAGACATAATGACATTTTTTTTTGGAAATAGAGAAAAAACTGCGCTAAGACATGTTCCAAGTAAATTGTACACATCATTGTTATACTACTTTAAATTTTATTGTCTAATCATAATTGATCATCTCCATCCATTATATTGATAGAGTAAAATATGTTCTTCTTGTTTTTTTATTGCAATTTGCATGGGATTTCTTATTGCGCTAATTGTTATGCTTTGTTTCTTTTTTAATTAATTCTATTATTCTTGCTTTTAAAATACATGGATTATTAGAATCTACCAGGGCATCAACTGATTGCCTCATCAGATATCAAGAAGAGGATTGCGGTACCAGTGACATCCAAACCACGGTCGCCAGTCGTCCAATCGCCCGAGAGGACCAGGGTTCCGATACCTCCTACTAGCCCCACTAGCCCAAGTATCCCATCTAAACCAGCTGACCTTTTCTTGGATGCAAGCTTTATCAGGGTGAGTATTTTATTTGGTAACACCCTGCAAACTTTTTCCAGTAAACTGGTACAAGTAGCCCTTTTTTAAATATGGAAAAAACAAATGGGGGGGGGGGAATTCCTGGACAGCAGTGTTGTTGTCTAGTGGATACGTTCCAGACTGTGGATCAAAGGGTTTGCGCTTTGAGTCCAAGACACGCCACTTAAAGAGAAGGTTGAGTTCTGGGAAGAGGTGACAAATAATTTGTGAGCATTATCATTGTATTTTGCAAGTGTGGAAGAACATCAGAGAAAAAATGTTCCTGAAAAGCATGGCTCTTCAAATGGCTTAATATTCTAAATATGGCATGTACATGTAACATCATAGAATAAGGGGGAGGGGAAGGGGGAAGGGGGAGGAGGTGGAAAGAGGAGATTGAAGAAATAAGAAGGAAGAAAGTAGAGTGATGACAAGCCCTGCTATCTACAAAAAACAACCTTCTTTTGTTTACTGTACATCTCTGTGATTTGTGAAGAATATACTTTTGGCAAAGAATAATAATGATAATGAGCTGTTTTTGTATAGTGCATACATATTCCCATATAATGTTCCCATATGTTTGCAAAGGGGTTAGGATGTTTACCCTGGCATAGCTTCAGCAGCCATTATCAACACTCACTGTACATCAAGGGAATAAAATCTGCCAGGACGGATACCAATGCATAAAGTAATCTGTAGATGTGAAACCATCATGATGAAATAATTTTCTTCTATTTGTAAATTTCACAGTACTTCACAGCAGATCCTAGCAAAGTCATGTACAGGAAATTTTTAACAGGGAACTAACTATACATTATTTGATTGTTTGCTTTCTCATGTTACAGGGCTATGACTCCAGTCACTGTAGCTACATAGGGGCCACGGTGAGTGGCGGAGACTCTAGTACAGCCTTCTGGAGAACCGTCTGGGAGCAGCAGTCCAGGACTATCGTATGCCTTTGCTCACCCTATGAACTTGGAAAGGTAACCAGGGAGATTTGATGGTTGAAGGATTAAACTTAGATCATACTTTTGCACATTTGTGCAGTTGTTATACGGCCTTTTCACACAGGGGTAAAATTCATCGTATCTAGAGCTGATTAGCTTTAGAGAAATTTTTTCCTGTGTCAACGTCGTTAATACGATGTAAGAGCAGATACAAAGTCGCGATTCATATGCTTGTCAAAGCAGGCTGCAGATACGAAGCCTGTATCTAGAGAGCAAGACATTTTGTGTGTGAACAGATATACGTCCTTAACTAGACCGGGCACTGCTCTTTAAACGCTCAGTAGGGCCAAATTGCGCATTTACGAGAAGTGAGTCACTGCTCGTAAATGCGCAATGGCCCTACTGAGCGTTTAAAGAGCAGTGAATCTCAAACGACCACACCAAAATTATCTGTGTGTGAATGATGTTGTATCTAAAGCTGATTAGTTTAAAGCTCTTTAAACTAATCAGCTTTAAAGACTTTACCCCTGTGTGAAAAAGGGGGATAGACTAATGCAGTTCCTTGCATCACATGCAATTACTGCTGACAAGACAGCAAAATGAATACTTTTATGTTTTAGTTTCCATGTCGAATACCATCTGAACCCCCCCCCCCATCTTAATCCAAAGACGTTGGCATAATAAAACTTTGATTATGTAATTTAATTCATTCAGGCTGTTAATTCTAAATGTCAGTGATTCACAGAAAATTTTGTAAACAAATATATGGTTAAAAAAGATAAGAAGTGTTGGTTTAAGATGTTAATATCATTCATTATCTGTAATACCTAACCACTTTAATGCAAGGATCAATTGGCAGCACTTGCTCTCAGAGACTGGTAATATTTTCTTTGACCCCATCTCCAGGTGTGCCCCCAGTACTGGCCCACAAAGGAAGGAGGTCCAGGGACCCAGCTGTATGGTAACATTCTCGTAACTCTGAAAGGAGGGGCCAGTGGAGAACACTACTTCACCTCAACTCTGCTGATTAGAAACGTAGAGGTAAGTTCAGAGACCCTCTAACAGCATAACAATAAAGGGGAGTATTATGAACAGCATCTAGAACCATTCCTACCTTACACTTTTTGTTAACTTGTTTTCTACATTTCTCAACCATCTGTTAAAACTCATCTTTGATGCTCTTTTTTTTCCTCTTTTCCACATTCTACAATGTTATTTCAAGAGTTAAACTAAATTATACATCTACTGGTAGCTATCTGTGAATATGAATGCAAGTACAGGACAAAAATGGCATGTCTACCTTGCAAGAGAGTCAAAACATGTGTTTTGGGGCAAATGGTATTGAAGTAAGGTGATTGATCTTTTCATATACATTTCAATGATAACATTTTTTTTAAGGAAAAAACAAAAATGTGGACTTAAATACAAGTGATCTCCGTCTACTACAGGTGGTTGCTGAAGCAGGCTTGACTATTAATTTCAGTTCTTACCCCAAAAAGATTATCTGTAGTATAATAAGTTTATTTGGAATTGGATTGGATAGACCAGTTTACTAACATATTCAAATTTATGGACGTTTCTTTCCTGGGGACCTACTGACAAGATATTCCATTAAACCTGTTATTACTTAATGTACTACAATACTTGGAATCCAGTCTGCATACATTACTTGTTGCTATGTTGGGTAAGACTCAGGTAAGCTTTCAGGTTGTCAAGAACGACCTTTATTTAAATATGTTAGTAAACCGGTCTATTGACCTTGGGGGTGTTTCACAAAGATCCTAATTTGAACTTGAACTTTTATGCCTTTTAAAATAACTTTTACAAAACATTTTCAAAGATGCTAATGGCTTTCCATATATAGTTGTTAATTCCAACTTAGGATCTTTGTGAAACACCCCCCTTGTGTCTCTCTCTCCCGACAGAAATCGCTGTGCAGACCGGTGACCCATTACTGGTTCAGCAACTGGCTTGACAGTGAGATACCCAGTAGCCCTCAAGCTCTGATGTCTATGCTTCTGCAGGTCCATAATACACATCAGGAAAGCTATGGTCCAGTCGTAGTCCATTGCAGGTTAGTTCCAATATCTCTACTCTCGGGCCCTGTTTCATAAAGCTTATTTTCAATAATAAATACTAAATTCCTATGAGAAATTTGCTCTCGGCCAATCAAATGCCACAATTTCCGTAGTGTACAACAATTATTGGAACTTTATTGATGACAAGTACAGCGGGGCCCTAGAGTATAATGAAGTATACCTCGGTCTGCCTATGTGAATGTCTGTCTCTCCTTCTCTTCTCATTTTTCTTTTGTCTGTCTGTCTGTCTCTCTCCCTCATCTCCTTTCTTTTCTTTATCTCATTTGCCTCTCTTCATCCCTCTCTTTCTCTTTTCCCATCTCCCTCTTACAAGAATCATTATTAGTTCTTATACATGGTGTAAATTATATGAAACATTGATTTGGGTATTTTGTTTTGTTTTCAGTGATGGTGTTGGTCGGACTGGATTGGTGATAGCTACGGATATCAACATGCAGAGACTGGAGGAGTCTCATACGGTGGACATCCCTCATACAGTGTCCAGTATTCGGCAGGACAGGGGTCAAGCCATCCTCAATATTGACCAGTATGCTTTCATCTACAGGGTAATAAGTTCATTTCATTTAATTTCATATTTATTTCACAAACAATGATTAAAAAACAATTAGAAATATATATATATATTATATCTGTATGGTGTTATAGAAAGTACAAAGTAATACTAAAAAATAATTTGGAAAAATAGTTATTTAGGGGGGTAAATGAAATTGTGATCTACATAAGAAAAGGTTAATTTTGCAAGCCATACCTTAAAGCTTGGTTTATGTTTCTTGGTAGATAATCTTGCCAATTATAATTCTTTGAAAATATCTTGTCATGGTCTACTCTAGGGGAGAAGTCATTTACCTTTAAAGTACAAAGCTGCAGGTTCATGCACAAGGTTTGAATCCCTGCCATAGCACCAACTTATAAGGAACTTATAAAGGTGATACAGTTTTGTTACAAGCTTGGGAGCAACAGTTTGCTTCAATTGTAATATTTATGTGCCGAATGGCGACTGTGTTGAAAAGGGGTACCAGTCATCAACAAATCTTGCGATTACATTTCCACTTTGGTTGTAAATTAGATTTTCTGAATAAAAATAGTGGACAAGGGGTTGATGGAGGGGAGAAGTTAGGTAAACAGCATCAGATCCTTCTCAAGTTTGAATCGTTATGTTCTGTCTCTTTTCATTTCAGACTCTGTATGAATTCTCAAAGTTCTTGAGTAGCTCAGGGACAAAGGAGACCAGTGACACTGAAAGTGTGGTCTTTGATAACCCGGATGATAGTGTCAGCGATACAGGTAACGAGGACCTATCATCACAAGGAACCAACAGCAGTCGAACCTCCAGTTATCTTGGTGACCTGTCTTCTAGCGTCAAGCGCCGTCTTGCCCTCAAGTTTCCTTCCCTGGGCATCAGTCCGCCAACCCCACTCTCCCCCATATCCAGTCGCATCTCAACCGGAGAGTTTGTCGTCATCAACAGTCCGAATTCCACAAATTTGGACATGAGCGTGGTTTCGGGACTGAGTGGATCGGAGAAGGGCGACAGGAACAGTTCAGCCTCCTCGCATCATTCGCCGTTTGATCAGACAAGCTTTTGTACTCAGAATGATGTGTTTGCTATAAGTCACAATGATAGTGCAAGGCTCGTCCCTAAAGGAAGCGGTAGACATTTCACTGTGGGCCAAAGACCTCTAAAGAGAGAAACCAGTGTGGTTAGCGCAAGGCCTGTATCTGCCTTCTGCAGGGGTAGTAGGGCCATGAGTAGTATCGAAGGGTCCAAAGCATACGAGGAGTGGAGCCCTCCGTTTGGAAATCCAGGCCAGTCCAACTTGCCACAGTCTCTGTCATCGCCAAAGACAGACCTTCGGGTGGAGGAACTCTCAAAGAGCAACAGGGAGCGAAGTGCCACCTGTGAGTCTGGGAGGTTCAGCGATAGCTTGGCCAGTACGAACCCTTTCAAGTTTGAGGAATCTCACCATGAACTCTGCGCAAGCCAACCAAATGCTCTTGTCGTTCAACACGCTCGTGAGCCTTCCTATCCAACAGATATGAACCCTTTTGGATCATCACAAACTGTAACCCAGTTGGACAGTCCATTCACCTCGTATCCCCCATCTTCCTCTGTCCCATCCGCTCTCTATGATCCCTCAGAAAACCACTCACATTCTCGACAAAACTCCAACCCCTTCCCTAGTGAACCCAGCTCAAGTAACCCTGACAGTCAATACCCCAAGGAGATCAATCCTTTTGAGGCTCCTAGTGAAACTGGGGATGCCTTTGCCCAATCCTCAGAGAGTGGCTCTTCGCTCAACAGTGCCTTTGCCTTTGTCTCGTACCCCGACACCGCAGGGAATTTTGAGCGCCAGGGCACGTATCCCAAGGGCATTAACCCGTTTGACGAAAGCGGAAGTCTTCAGAGGATCCCGTTGCCTTCCAGTCAGAGAGGAGCCTCTAACGCGCTACGTCTTGCGCCTGTACCTCGTAAACAAAACAAAGCCAAAAGTGGACGGACAGAAGGACAGGCTAGTTCTGATGGACAGAATCCTTTTGATTATGATTGGATGGACTCGGCTGAAGAAAGTTTTACCTAGCATGGACAATCAAGAAATAGTGACCTATGAGAAGGGCATTAACTTGTATTCTATGACATGCAGACTACAGTTAATGCCAATCTGACTCTGAATAGACAATATGTCTTGTTTCATAGTTTGTACTTTATTCCTTGTGTATCCTTACAGTACTCTATGTATTACCTACATGTACATGAAAAAAAAACGAATTATCTGTTGGGTTTTAAAATTATTGGAGATATTAAAGAAATCATCATATTACAGCCAATGCATATATATCTATTTTCAAAGTTCTGTTTGTTCAAAAAGCTTGAGCACCCACTGAGCCTCACCTTTTCCAGTGGCCTTGGATCGATTCCATGTTCTGCACTTGTTTTGGAACAGTACTACATGTTTAAACAACTCAAGTCATTACTTTATTCATCATTTTATAAGACATACATGATCTTCATACCTGCACCATGTATACATATTCATTGTATTTTGTTTATATTGTCATTATACACAACAGTTTCTGGTGTTTAATACCACACAGTTTATTGGGACTGAGTTGAAGGTTGAAAGACAGCAGGACATTTGTCGATTGATCATGATGAAATTAGAAATAAAGGTGTGCTTCTTGTGTTCCTGCTCATATGCTTCTAATGTTTTGAATCAGGAACATGAACAACTTCATTGTGTGTGTGTATATTATATAAGTTTTTTTTTTTCATCTTCCATTTCATGCACATTTATTATGCCATGATGCTGGTACATGAAATTATGTGTTGACTGTTGAAAGGTGCGTCTAGGACTAGGAGGAAGTGAGTGTTACAAGTATGTACAAAAAAAAGTTGAGGACATTCTGCGGTAATGTTAGTGCGCACCTTAGCTTTGCAGGGCCAGCTGATCATGCATTTATGATAAACAATACCAGACACTCCAGACATTGTACAAGGTGAATACATACATGTAAACCATGAAAATACCGGTCTGCTTTGTCCACTGCGTGTAAGTTTGTTTGTAAAAGCATACTTTGAAAAACAGTCCAATAGATACATAAGAACATGTCTCATTTCTGTTCAAGAGGTATTTTAGTTGCTGTTTATTTTCTTTGTTCCCATTTGTCATCTTTGGAGTAATTTTGCATCATGTTGTTCATATGATGATTAACTTCTTTGAATAAGTACAGGACGTGGACGTCATATGGAAATTCATGTAGATATTTTTCGTTACAACTGCTTGTAGAAATGATCTAATTTTTTGTATAAGAACTCTTTAAAAGTTGGCCAAATTAAACTGCCAAATGTAATTCTATAATCAGCTCACGTAAATCATGCATTACAATTATGAACTGAAATCGTATACATCGTATAAAGAAACAAATCAAATGAATTATGCTTTGACATTCATGAACGCAGAGTGAAGATTGAAAATATAAAGTTTTTCTTTTTCCTACAAAAGAAGTGATATTTATCAGATGAATATAAAATTGAATAGAATAATGAATTAATGAATGAAATGTTCAAATGTAATACATTCTACACTCACTTTTTAGAAAATATGATGTTAGAAAAATGAGAAAATATCTTCCATTATCAGTATTGAAAAAAATGTAAAGGAATATTTAGCCTACATAGTCCACTATTTCCTAAGGTTTATAGAATATGCAATTAACGCACATCAATAGCAAATTTGAGAATTTCACTTTTACTTCATTTATAGTATTTTGTTCATCTTGTATGCAACTTGGGTGTGTGCATTGTATGGATGTATGTATTAGTATAGCAATTGTATGGGGGTTTGGGGAGGTCAAGCCCCCTCCCCTAATTTTCTGCAAGGCATGTTGAAAATGATGGCACCCCCCCCCCCACCTAATTTTTCTACTAGAACCCCTCCTGGTATGTACATGTATTTTCCATTAATAAATGTATGCAATAGGTTGATACCCGTGTCACACTGACAAGACCAACACCGACCGGTCAGTCGAAAACAGAACAGAAATTTATAGTAACCTTATAATGCCCAAGATTTTTTAGTCGGTTGGTTTAGAGCCCGTTTGATGGAGTGACCATCTGACTTGGGGGTTAAATACTGGCTTTTTTTCCTTCCTGTATAGAATTTAAGTATATTCATACTCATATATAATTTGTTGTTGGTTATTTCAGAGTACCCAGAAGAACATTAATAAAACACTTTATTGCCCGATCAGCTGATTTTAAACGACAAGTATTTCTGTTTAGGAGACCATGCTACGCACATTATTTTCTTCTACCCAATTCAAATGTCATGAATGATGCATATATTTAACTAATATGCAATCTTTTGTTTAATCATGGTTTTATTGCTTATGTTGATATTTTTTTCTTTCTTTTCTTCTTATTGCTGAAGACCTTGCCAAATGTGTTTTTGTAATTTTTCAACGAAAGATTGAACTTTTGTTTTCTTTCTCTTTCTCTATTACCACAGAATGATAGTGCCAGTCTAATTTTGATCACACAAGATTCATTCTACATGACGAATATAAAATGATGAAAATGTCTTTTGAAAATAACAATTCAGACACAAATTTTTTATAAAATTAAGAGGGTTTCTTGCCACTTTTATAGATTGTAACTGAAGACTTATAATTATTGTATATGATCATTTCCAAAGAAGGAAAATCTGTGATTTTTATGCTTCTTTCATGAACATCACCTGTGTGCTGCGAGAAGAGACATTTTATGAAAATATATGAAATTATAGTAAAATATTTTATTCAAGACAGTCACTTTTTCTATCACTTTGATGATTAATAAGTAATCCTTTATATTATAAAAAAAAGTATTCATTCATTAAATAAAAATTGATCTATATTTTGTGATGACAACATTTGTGTCAAGTTTTTTGTCAGTATCTGTCGCTAATTTGAAGATTTCAGCAATATTTTCTTTACATAATATACAATTCAACAAACATGTGGTATTGTAAAAAGGTAACGCAAGAACTGGTCACAAAGTGCGTGCACATACAATTGAAAACTAAATTATTCCTACACTTGCCAGTTTTGTAATTTCTTTAAGATGTGACATACTTGTATAAAAGCTTAAATAAAAAATGTACAGCAGAGACATTACTATATTAGCGATAATAATCTAATTATATCAACAACTCAACACAAATTTTCAAAAATAAGAGTGAAAATACAGATACAGTTTTTGTATATTTTATTACAAAAATCATACTTTATTCATTGCATTCAAATTTCAAATGATATACACAAATCATCTCGCCTCTTTCAGATTAATTTAACATTTTATGTATACAATGTACCTGTACAAGACAATTTGCAAAATGTAGGCACTTTTTAAGTCGCAGAGAGACGTAACATATAAAACAAATAGGTACATGTTGCTCATAACTTTTTTAGAATCTTGTCATAACAAACTCTTTTAGAACAACAAAAATTATTTAGACACGTAATATATCGGGGTTTAATTATGTTTTTTTTAAAGAAGAGAAACTAGCAAAATTACCTTCATACAATGAGAGATTGTTATAACTTCTCTCTTTTAATATTAAAAAGTTTCTACTGTATATTGAGATTATACAATTGGGTATTGATATATATTGGGTATTAAGATATGTATCTAATCCCTAGAAACAAATATATTTTTGTTCATAAAATAGAAAAAAAATGCTCCCCCCCCCCAAAAAAAAGAAGAATTATAAATAATCCTACATGAAAATGGCAGCCATCAGCAAGCTACATTTCAGAATTATTCATTTCTTAACAATATAATTGCTGGTTACTATTTTGCATATCATGAATGCACAACCTGAAACCTTCATTCATACATTGCACAGTATACTGAAGTGAAATAAAGAAAATGAAGAAGAAAAAAAAAGAGAAGGAAAAAAAAACATGAAAGTGAATGCATATACCGGTACAAAATTTGTAAATAAAACTGATTACATGAGCTTTGTACTAGAAAATGATCAAAACTCTACCTGGCAAGATTAAAAGAAAATTTCCTGACAGATTTCATGATTCCTTGATTAAATACAGTCCACAGAAATCTAAGTACTACAACAAAATTAAACTAGATTTACATGTACACACATGTATCTATAAATGACATGGGGGTTGTCAACAGAATAGCCTCTTAATTACCAGAAAACTCCAATCATGGTATTGCATATAAACTTAGATTTACTTTCTACTTTCTACAGAACTGTTTTGACGTACATATACAGGTCCTCATGACACAAAGGTTTGCAATCAAGTGCAAAGTTGAAAAACAATTCTGATTGGTTAATAGTCAGCCTTGCCAACAATGAGTGCATGCAACATTGATCTTGATTGGCCGTTACCATTTTGAGAGCCAGAAGGGCAATACATGTAACTCTGTTAAAGGATGATTTTAAAACACATAACACCCTTCTGGCTCTCAGCAAGTAGTCCGATTTCAAGATCTTGAGTACTAGAAATGAAATTTCATTCTTCAGAAATTGTTGGAAATCTCTTGATTTTCATCTGGAGGATAAACGCTCTATTCTTTTGTGGCTCAGTGCAGAAAACTAAAAGAAGGCTGAAGCAATTTTAAGGCCTCATAATAATGTTTGTGGGAGTTAAACACAGTATCACCAAAATCTGAAAGTCTATTGAAACAAATTTAAAGATAATGTTGAATATGATGATTCAGTTTGAGCACTGAACACTCCAGAAAAGATATCTTTGATAAAATCGCTCATGTACAATTTACTATTGGTCGAGTGGATATGTAACCGGACTGTCTATCACACGGTTCGCTGTTTGAATCCCACCGCGGCACTAATGTCCTTTGGCAAGACATTGATCTACATTTGCCACGCTTGACCCAGGTGAGATAAATGGGTACCTGGTAGGATTATTCCTTGACATGCACTGTGCACTGATAACGGCTGCCAGAGCTAAAGCTAGGGTAATAACTTCCAAAGCTCTTTGGAAGCGCATAAAGACGTTATATTATGTGATATGCGCTATACAAGAACCCTATATTATTGTTATTATCATTGATTTAGTACACATTATCTACCTTTATTCTATAATACTTTGATGGAAATTTTGTTTGATTCTGTTGAAATCAATTTCTTACTTTTTTACCTTAAATAAAGGTTACAGGTACCTGATATAGTACTGCCATTGTTACTCTAATATTTGCAGCAAAACTATTCAAGACATTTCATTTTGGTTTTCAATTCGAATATTCCAAGTTACATAATGACCTTTAAATACTGATATACATATACAATTAATCTACATAAACATAAAGTTGTCCACAGCATACACAGTCTCATAATTACATGTATGTGATGTCTGTGGCACAAAGATCACATCTTGCAATACTGGCGACACATGAGCATGTTTAATATTTAAAAAAAAAAAAAATTACCTGTACATAAATTGCATCATTCAAAAGAAAAAAAAAACACCTGAAAGACAAGCAAGTCTATAAAATTGGAAATGAGATTCACAATTAAGAACAAAATATATATGGGTAAGTATGTATCTTAATGAAAAAAATGTCACAATGTCTATTCAGAACAAAAGGGGGCTATCTCTGTGTTATTACATATATGTTATAGTAAAGAGTTAATGTCCTCCTGGCTCCCAACAGTCAATTTTGTTGAGATGCGTAAGGCCTATAAAATAAAAATCAAAGCTTTATCTGATGTTTAAACAAAAAACCGCCTTGATTTTAATGGGGTCTACTTTTAAGCACTCACAAAATAGAGATTTTTCTTTTCCCAGTAAGTATATAAATCAACACCCTTCTGGCTCTCAACAGATGACATTTTCGACAGTCTTTTGATGAAATGCAAATTTAGTGAGCGCCAATAAAACAAAAGTGTATGAAAATCAACCTGGGGACAGTTTCTCGAAACTGTCAGAAGTCTTCTAGGACATCCCATAGGAAAATTTGTTATCTAATTAACACAAGCTTTTAAGAGATGTCCATGAACTTAGACTTAGGAACTTTTCAAGGAACTGGCACCTGGGACCCATTTCACAAAGCCTTTTTTCAATGACAAATGACAAAAATCAGTGACAAATCTGCTGACAACCAATTACAAGCAAGGATTTCATTAGCTTATAAAAAAAAACTGTCATTTGTCATTGATGATAAGTTTTATGAAATGGGGCCTTGATGTACAGTTCAATGTTGCGCACACTTGCTGTGTTCATAATCATAAGGAAAGCCCCTTTCACACACACACTAAACAACGACTTCAGCTGTTTATGGAGGTATACTTGGTCAAGGAATTGTCTTTACTGAGAGCGCTCCTCTTCTGGCAGGCGACGATGATTCCTCCTAGGAAGATGAGGAGGACAGGGATACCAAGACCGACGGAGATGATGGAGATGATGAGGATGGAGAGGCCGTCGCTAGGCGGGGTCCCGTATCCGGCCACGCTGTTCCTGTAAACAATTGGTGAGCAAAGAGGGAGGAAGATTGAGAAGTAGAGACCTGGGGGCGTTTCACGAAGCCTTTTATCAATGATAAATGACAAAATCAGTGACAAATCTGTTGATAACCAATCGGAAGCAAGGATTTCACTAGCTTATAAAAAAAACTGCCATTTGTCACTGATGACAAGTTTTGTGAAATGGGGCCAGGAGAAGGGCATCAATACATGTTCTGGATGGGAATTTGAATAGTGTTCAAAATTGTCCATAGATTAATTGTATCAGAAGAATATGTCATACTATACCTAAAAGCACAGTGGATGGGGCACTATCAATCCACCCCCCCCCCTCCACCTCCCATGGTCACAGGTATTTGTTTGCTTAGATTCTGATGTATATAGCTGAAAATGTGCGTGCATAAAGTAGTCTACTCAACAAGACATTTTTACATTTTTTTTTAGTAACATGGATCCTGGGCTACATGTGCTTATCTTACCTGAAAGCTAGAGAGAAAAATTAAAATATAGCAATTAATTGGTGATTTTGAGCTGGTTGTCACATTTTTAATACAACTTTTTCGGGTGTCCATGTACTATAGTATCTCAAAAACAACAACAATAAATTCTTGTCTACGTCCACATTGCAACTAGGCCTGTCATCATCGGCTTCAAGTTTGCCAAATAACCTCCTATTTTCAGACTCGGGGATATTATCCCCAAGCTTGTATGTCTTCACCAGACCGATACGCTCATCACAATCTAGCTCTGACGGGCGCAAATTCGCCCGCTATTTCTCAAATAGCGGGATATCTTTAAAACAAGACCAAGATTTCTCTGGCGATTTTCTTTACCAAATATACCGCTCATTACAACTACGGGCTGATGAAGACGCAAATTAACTGGTAAACTGATTAACTGGTTGCAATCGGGATAGTTAAAATAGCGGGTTATTTGGCAAACTAAAGCTGATGAAGACAGGCCTACTGTAAATAATTCAGGTTCACTTACCACACATAATATTTGGTAGCTTTGTAAAAGCCATCTTTACCGATACCAAACGAGATATTGAGGCTTCCCAAATCCAACGCAGACAGATCATCAAAGAAGGAATGTGCTATGCTGTAATTGCTGATGTAGTGATTGGTAGAATTTACTGCATAGGTTTTAATCTAAATGTTTGAGATTGAAGAAAGAAATAATGGGAAAATATTACTGCAGTTGTTTACCAAGAGGGAAACCAAGAACCAACTGGGAGGGAACATTATTAAGACTTTGGATGGAATAATACTGCAAGAGTACTAGAATAGCAGAAAATGGTGACGTGTAAGAAAATGTTGCAATCAACCTCCAGGGCTGTTTCATAGCAATATCAAATCCCACAACATAATGCTACTTGTATCACAAAATGTGTTCACAGCCAATCAAATGCACTGATGTATGTGTCAATTACTGTTATTTGTTAGCCCTTACAAGTTGAATGAAAGAAAGTTTGAAAGGACATCTTAGCCAAAGTCATAACAACATTGACATGAGGGCCTCACGGAAGACCACCAAATAGGTGATATGTGCCACCCTGTATACATATCAGAAATAAATAAATAAAAAAACTTACAGGTTTGGAAGCTTCCGTGTTCCTGTCGGTGCTGGTGTATGTGATTGGTTTCCACTGAATAAAACTTCCTTTGTCAGACGGACTGGTATTGTTTAATACCACTTCATATGTCTGTTCAAACAGAAAAAAGAAAATATACAGATGAATTCAAGGGGACCAATTATAAAATAATACAGTGAAACCTGTACAAAAGAACAGAAAGCAGACAACAGGAAAAAAAAAAGGATCTTAATAGACAAGTGGTCTTCATGCTCAGGTTCCATTGATGCATGTTTCAATGAAAAAGTTACGAAAAATCAAACTTTATATATTCTGACGGAAAATTTGAATGGGGGTTGTTACATCCACACAGACCAACATCTAGCAATAACCGTGCCTGTTTAACAGATAATATCTACTTAGGGGCAGATCTAGTATTCTGTATGAAGGGGAGGGAGGGGGGGGGGGGGGGGGGTTGACTAATTAAAAAAACAAGTTTTACTAATTTTTCCCTGTGCCTCTAACTGCTGATTTTTATTTCAATCGTTTTAATTATTATTTGTATATTGCCGTGAAGGAGGATTATCTAAATTTAATCATTTGTTCTATATATATATATATATATACACATGTTTATATATACCGAGTCTACTTACTTTAAAGACAGCAGGTGTGTATTCATCATCTATGGTGGCTATACTCTTGAGATTGATGCCCGATTGCTTAGGTTTTTGCTGATCCCTCACGAGAAGCATCTCCAATGCATACCGGGTGCTGTTGTAGTTCTGTTCCAGGTTGTCAAGGACCAGCGCAAACTCGGTGGTGTTGGGCAAGTGCTGTAAATGAGGTAGATCTTTGCTCCTGCCTTCGACACCAAAGCATTGAACCTAGAGTGGAATGTACAAGATGAATGTTGAAATAGATGGGGGAAAAGCATTGTTCACACATGGTAAACTCCCTTTAAAGTGGGACTGCACTACTTGTAGCTATTTGCGCCCTCTACATAGCCAACAATTCCTAAGCGGTACCCGTCAATCCCCCATGGTCCCCTTTTTCTTATATTAATTGAGAGCTTATTTGATGAGATTTCTACCTGCCAATGACCACGCAGGGAGGTCTAATCCCTCCTGGTCAAACTAGTGTATATAGGCTTTAAAAAGGCCATGGCGAAAATAAAATTTTATGGCTAGTGAGGATGAAAAAAGTAGGACACAAATCCTACTCAATTATCTGTACGTTACAAGATACAGACATGTGAAGTATAATAAGCTTGAATGTAAATAAGGCTTATTGATGTACTCTTTGAGATATCGCAAAATACCCCAGATAAAATATAAATATGGGGGCAAAAGAAAAGGACCACAGATCATTGCCATGATCATAGGCTTTGAGGTTCATAATAACAACGCAGACATTTAAAAGGTTAAGGGTCATTCTGAAACAGATGGAACATTAATCTTTTGTTTTTAAAAGGTTGTTCAATTTGTCCTATTCAAAAGAATGAAACTTACACATACAGTTGAAACATTATAACATGAAATGAGCAATCATAGAATCTGAAAGTAATCATGAAAGTAGTACACGATTCAATCTTTCATCCGGTAAGTAAAAGGACTATTTTCTAAAAGGATCCTGCTGTATCTCTTTCAAGAAATTATCATTAACATTTAGAGGAGTGACCCCAAAAACTGCTGAGCGATCCCAAAACATATTTGCAGGTCCTTAAATTCATGTTGCACGCAATTCAGCTCGTTCAAAACATGCATAAGAAGTCGTGCTTATATTTTCGCAAGTTCTAAAATTTTGCGCTTGCCGATCTTAGCACGAAATTCAAGAAAAATTAATGTACCACAAATATATTTCTGCATTTACACTATATACCTTTAAAGCCAGGGATCCATTCTCAGCTGCTGGCGGCATACTTGGCACTGTGCTAAAGAGGGCTGTGTTTTCTGTGCTATTGATGGTGACATTTGACCACATCAGATCAGATACGTCCACTGTCCGCGTAACGTTGACCTTTGTGATGTCTGCTGTATCCTTTTCATCATCATACTCCAACAGCTGTAACAAAAAATAAATAAGTTAGATTTTTTTAAAGAAACTACTCAAGCAACCACTTGTACTTGTACATATGAATATATTTCAACTTATTTTTTAATCAGATATGTATTTTTCCAGTATCCAGTGACCAGTGTACAGGTTGTTTGGGAAAGGAATATGATGTTAAGTTACAAAAGAATCTAAAGAGGAATATGATGTATCAGCAATTAAAAAAAAAAACCCTCATCATTCTTTACCTCTTATACTATATTATTCTGATTAAGTCTATGTATCTGAGCATATTTATCTTCCAATTCTAATAATTCTTTTTTAATAGATTCTACGGACCTACTAGTACCATCTGGAAGATGGGAGGTGATCCAGAGGGAGAGCTCAAGAACATTTAAAGAATAAGATAATCATGAAATCCTGAAACATATGAGCACGCCTTACAATAGAGTACCAAAGTGCAACATCATATTAGCCACGTTGTCAAGGTTGCTGGTTCCAAACAATTTTGTGCCAAACATTGAATTTGCCCTGCTCCAGCCTGTTGCTTGAATAATATCAAGGTACACCTCATGCGTAGGCTCTGTTGTTTGGAACCAGTCACCTGAATGACGGCCGAATATGACGTTAGCACTTCGGTACTCTATATCATAATGGTTCTTTAAAATATATAATAATAAAAGAAAAATAAAAACAACCAAATGTTAGTTTATGATTCTAGAAGGAACAGAGCTGTATACCCTTGATATGACAAAGGCTGAGACTGAAAACACATCTCCATCGGGGCTGAAAGTGATAGCTCCTCCCTCCCTAGCGATGACTTTCTTCCAATCCACATTCATTATGGCCGTGGTCTTCGTTCTCGCGACCAGCAGACTCGGCGCTCCGATGGAACTCCAAACATGGTGGATTGTGTCCGTCGTCCCTTTCGCTCGGAAGTGGACAAGGTTGTAAAAAGGCCCTTTTACGTCCTTGCATTCAGGGATGTCACAGCCATCATTGTAGGTGACCGTTACCTGTGAGATAAAATGTGAAAAAGAAAGAGTGCATGTTATTGCGATGGGGATAAGTTGCACCGATGTAAAGATTGCCTTTAAAAACTCTTTATTCTTCTTCAAGATAATCTTCCCCTTCAATACTGAAGATCCTTGCAGATGCTGTACATGTATATACATGGCCCTGATTGGGGTGTGCAGGTGGACCACTACACAGAGGTTTCCCCCTACTCTTATACGAATAGTGCTTTTTTTTCTAATCCTCTCAAATTTCTTTCCATTATTAGTGCAAAACAACAATAGACTTCTACTTCTATGGTGATACTCATCAACGCCTGTTCAGCATCTAGATGAGGATAAAGCATAGAGTTGTTATATATAGCTCTATGCGGTACAGTTCCTGAAAAGGAAACTAAATTGATTCAAGAGCCACCTTGAACTGCTCCAAATAAGGCAGTTCAACGATGATTTGATATAGCTCGTCCCAGACAATTATGTTGGATCCAATCTAAACTTGACGCAGAGACACTAGTCTCTACATCGTGTCATGAATTGAAGTCTTGTTCAAATAAGCAAAACGTAAATGCCATCAACTCAGAGTCAGACCCTGTTAGTGTAGACTGTGTACAGTGTCTATCGGGGCAGAGCTTTTGTTTTTCCTTCTCATTATTCCTGGGAAGTTACAAAACATACCCAGACTTTAATAATAAAACCCTCAACATGAAATGAATCACAATAATAGATTCTCTCTCAAAATACTTGAACAAGAGTTTTAAAAAAATGCATCACACGTGCACACATCATGAAAATGCACAAAACAGGGCAAATAGGCACACGTATAACATTAATTAAACAAATGTACCCTTTCCACTTTCACTTATTATACGCTGATCTTCTGACATAGACCCTAGAACCTAATTCACAGATCAGACACAAGTGTTCGACAGCGCGCAGCGGGACCCTGAACAACACTTGTCGCTAAAGCTAGGGTGTCTGAACGATTTTTCAATTTTCAATTTGGGATCGTTTTTCACCATTTTTGTTTGATATTTGAATAAAAGATGTTATCAGAATAATACATTTCAAATTTCAAGTCTCACCGATGTTTCTATCAAAAGTTACAGCCCCTCCAAAACGCTGGTATATTCATATCATTTTGGTCAAAATCGACGAAAAAGACGTCTACGCAGAGTGATGTTGTTTTGCTAAATTTAGCCAAACAGCTGTATCGCGCGATATGCAAGCGTATGCATATCGTACGCATGCTGCTAAGCCAATCCGCGACTTGCAGCTTGAGCTACGCTGTCTCCGCGACATGTGCCATTGACTAGTATGGTTGGCGTTCGTCGCACAATAAACCCGGAAGTGAATGCACGTTATAGTCAATGGCAATATCGCGGAGATGTCTCCGCGATATTGCCATTGACTATAACGTGTATTCACTTCCGGGTTCTATGCCGCGAATGGCCACCCATACTTGAATTTGGGGTTTCGTTCGTGCGCGGAGATGTTACGCGATGTAACCATGGTTTGGACTGAGCGGAGCGCACGCCCCCTAATTAGCTGATCCACCAAATAGCGAGAAGGGTATTTTTATACTGTTATCAGTTGTGATCCCTGGGGGCTAGCGAAAATATAAGCACATAGAATTGTTCCTTAGGACTGGGACTACTTATCGATCAGGGCGTCATATCTCAAAAGTGACAAACCTCAGAGTTAGCCAGGACACAATGTTTCAATTGCTGTTTTGACCAAGATATTTTTAGAATTTCGGGGGCTACGCCCCTTTAGAAATATTGGAATTTACCTGCTCTTTAATATGACACCTCATTTATTGATTATCACCTTCAGGATCACAACAGATAAAGGTTTGAATCTCGAATTGAAAAAAAAAAATTGACTTTTTTTTGCATGGTCGCGCAATGCACGTAGACTGCATAGGGATGCGTGTAATCTCTATGGGAAGAATTTTAGCACACAACATCGGGTGCGCGATCAGACACCCTACTAAAGCTTCCCGACGACCACTCAATAGCGAGCCGATAGAATCTGCCCCTTCCACGTCGCGATCAACGTAAGAAAAAATCAACCAAAATTGGTCATTAAAATAACAAAAATGAATATCAACTTACGTTTCTTGACTCTTCGCCACATAAAACACCAACTGTAATAGTTGAAATGATTAATAACCAGAGAAAACTTAATGTAAAGGCAGTCATGTTGTCGGTAAATCTGAGACTTCGTTCGTGTTTGCTGACTGATTTCCGCTAGACTAATAGTCATGTGATCATCAAGTAACGTGACCAACAATGCAAAGTATTTGTCGTTGTTCTTGTTGTTGAGCGAAATACGGCAATCACCAACAACTTCATTTTTTATAATATATTATAATTGTGATAAGCTGCAATTACCAACAAATTAACTGACTTCCCTTTTTTATTCACCCCCGACATTTTCACAGCTCGTTTGTGCTAATTAAGCTCACAGAAATTATGCAGAAAAGAGAAACCGTTTATATTATATGAGGAAAACAGAAGAAGAAACAAAAAACAAAAAGAAGAAGAAGGATCGAGGAGGAGAAGAAGAAGAAGAAGGAAAAAGGAAGAAGAAGAAGAAGAAGAAGAAGAAGAAGAAGAAGAAGAAGAAGAAGAAGAAGAAGAAGAAGAAGAAGAAGAAGAAGAAGAAGAAGAAGAAGAAGAAGAAGAAGAAGAAGAAGAAGAAGAAGAAGAAGAAGAAGAAGAAGAAGAAGAAGAAGAAGAAGAAGAAGAAGAAGAAGAAGAAGAAGAAGAAGAAGAAGAAGAAGAAGAAGAAGAAGAAGAAGAAGAAGAAGAAGAAGAAGAAGAAGAAGAAGAAGAAGAAGAAGAAGAAGAAGAAGAAGATGCCATGAGAATGCTTCTTATAGGGTACCTAGATACTTTAGTGCTAGTCAAATGTTTGCTGAGTTGAATGTTCCAGCCTGTTCGGCTGTATTACGAAATCTTATGTATAAGTTCATCCAGAGAGTGGATGTGTCTGAGAATGGTATTTTAAAGATGTTAGTGAACCCCTCGTATAGTTATTTTAGGTACACATCGGGCCTCTGGAGATTTTGGCTGAATAGCCTGCTGACACATGGCAATTGACCATTATGTTCCTGTTACCAAGGATTCCAGTATCCTTGTTTGTTTGTTTTTTATAATAGTTATTTATTATAGGTTTATCGTTCTGGTTAATTGAACAGAGACAGATTGTTACAAGATACAACTTCAATAGATTGTTATTGATTGTTATACATGTACTTATTTTAATCTTACAGTTACAGGTACAGCTTAGAGTTAGTTTATTATGTGTTTTTTTATCAACCTTGCAGGTTACATGTTACTCTTAGAGTTTAGATTGTTTGTACGTACTGTAGACCTAGTATAGTTTAGTTATACTCTTTGTATAGTTTTGTTGTTATTATACTCATCATGTTTATACTCCCTATATATCTATGTAACATATGTTTTATGGGCCTCTGCCTTGTGTAGTTGAGTCTGAAATAAAGTTCTGAATTGAATTGAATTGAAGAAGAAGAAGAAGAAGAAGAAGAAGAAGAAGAAGAAGAAGAAGGATCGAGGAGGAGAAGAAGAAGAAGAAGGAAAAAGGAAGAAGAAGAAGAAGAATTAAGAAGAAGAAGAAGAAGAAGAAGAAGAAGAAGAAGAAGAAGAAGAAGAAGAAGAAGAAGAAGAAGAAGAAGAAGAAGAATAAGAAGAAGAAGAAGAAGAAAAAGAAGAAGAAGAAGAAAAAGAAGAAGAAGAAGACAAAAAAGAAGAAGAAGAAGAATTAAGAAGAAGAAGAAGATGAAGAAGATCCGATTGATTGATTGATATACTGCTTTGAACTCAAGATGACGCTATTCTGCATTCATTTGCCTGTCGCGGTCGCATGCACAACGTGTAACATGACCCAAGATAGATCAGCTGGGCTGTTTAATGCGTCAATGCACCTGTTCAGTGTTGTGATCATCCCCGTACTCTGTGAGTATTCCATCACTTCTTACTTTTCGTTCTTTCTCTTTCTTGTCAATTTATGTCAATTTGTTTGTTGAACATTTCATAGTGCAACATTTGAACATGAGAGAGCTTCTAAAGTGAACTTGAAACATTAATTTAGACGTAAACAAGGATTAGAGATGACTAAATCATCTCTCAGACGCTGAGATACGGAAGTAGGCCTGCACGATCTCGACGGTGAGCACTTTCCCTCCGCCAGGTTGCGAGGCGAGGTATGCACTCCGACTCCGCTCTCTTGGCAAGTGAGATGTGCAGCCTGCGATCTCGAGTGGGATAATTATAATGATGGTGATGGTGGTGCACTGGTGGTTGTGGATTTGATGAGTTGAAGTGGAAATTGAGATGACAATTATTTTCAGTGATGTGAGTATACATGCCTCAAGAAGTATGGTTATCTCATTTGGTAGAAGTCTGAACAAATTTGTCAAGTCTGCCTCCTGATGGCTAAAAAGGATTCTCGTAGTGTTCATGTTCAGAAGAGTTTTTGATTAAAAAAATCCCAGACACCACAGACAAATTTATGACGGTACAAACGCCCTCCCCCTTCCAAAATAGAAAGTTATCGATTTGCATGAGGAGACACATATTTACATTCATTTTTTTTGGGGGGGGGGGGGGGGGGGGGGGGGGGGGTAGTGAGCATTAATTTTTTATTTTTTATTTTTTTTGAGCACATGCCCCCTGTGCCCCCCCCCCCCCTAGATCCACCACTGTATATATCTGATTTTTTATTTTGTTTGTTTGGATCTACATAGACAATACATGCACAGATAACTGTTTCCTTGAATTTTCTGATTCTCTGTTCATTGTTTCATCTATGATGTGTTAATAACTTTGTTTTCATCACTACAGTAACTATGAAGTCACTCTGTTAATCCCCACCTGAGTCACATAATCGTGAGATGTTATTTTCAGTAGATGACAATATATCACACAGTATCCACTCACATATAAAGTGTTATATGTCGCACAATGTAGGCAAAATATGGATAGAACTACCACATCAGGGAAAAACAGGCAACCCCTCCCACTTTTTAAACAAAAATTAAAGCAGTTCCTGCTCTAAAAGCATCCACCAGTTTAGAAAGATCACCTGTCAAATAAATAACCACTATTTTAAGACTTTGTTTTGATTATTCTTTTGATCATTATTGCTCATTAAAACTACAATTAAAATTAATCCGTACTTAGATTACCTGCTTATAAAGACAGGTAACAAACATGTTATTATGATTCCAACAGTAACTACCCAGCTTTGTATTCATACAGGTTTCGCTCTACAGTTGCTAAAGGTTATTATACCCAGCGATTGTGGATTTCCACCACCGATATTAACATTTGCCCCCCCTTTCCTTTTTGACAATCCCAGATAAATCTTTGTCTTTCAGGGGATATGACCCCACCCACATTGAACTGCAAAACAATTGAACAAATGAAGAAAAAAAATATGGAAAAAGAAAGAAAGGTAGATAAGAAAATGAACGTGAAAAGAAAATGATAGGACCATTTTCTATTTGGATTTTGACCCTGTAATCACTAATCAGTACGTGGCCTTGTAATTTCACAATTCATAAACACATTAAAACTGGTAATCCCCTCTACCCCTTCGTATGATGTCAGTGCCCCCTCAATAGCTGGGCTCATGCTACACCATTTTCTGTTTGGTACATTTAACATTTGTTTTTGACTGATTCTTTCTTGGTCAGTATGTCATGATCCTACCAGAGATTATCCCACACTCTAGGCTTGTCTTCATCAGCTTGAGTTCGCCAAATAACCCGCTATTTTAACACTCCCGATCGCAAACTATCCAGCTTATTTGCGTCTTAATCAGCCCACAGTTGCAATTAACAGGATATTTTGTAGAGAAAATATCTCGAGAAATCTTTGTCTTGTTTCCAAAATATCCCGCTAGTTGCGAAATATTGGGCTAATTTGCGCCCGTCCAAGCTAGTTTGTGATGAGTGCATCGGTCTGTTGAAGAAGCAATTTCGAGCTTTGGGATAATATCCAGAGTCTGAAAATAGCAGGTTATTTGGCAATCTCGAGCTGATGAGGACAGGCCTTCTGTAGCTGCCGTCGACCGGTTCAAGGGCTTGTTTCGTTTCCTTTTGGAAACGCATCACAGAGAATACTTCCTCTCCTCCATTTCCACTTTGCCAACACGCAAGGCTTTAATACCAGTTGCAAGAAGAAGCAAAATTAGACAGCTAAAATGCTTGTATGGTACACTCTAAACCGGCCAGGCATAGAGGGATTCCCTCATTATCAACTGAGTTTTTGTTTTAAAAAATCTTATATTATAGTTACATACACTGTAGATATAGACTTTTCCCTAAGGCCCTTCCTCCCTGCCTCGTCTCCAAATACTTTCATTAAAGTAATTGTGTTTTTTCTTTGCTCCTAGTTCTTATTTTATCTGCTTAAAGTTATTCTCATGCTATATATTGATATTATTTTCTAGCTTTCATGTGTTTGTTTTAGTTTGTTAACTGTTGTATATTTTTAATGAAAGTATTGAATAAAGCAAACTGAACTTTGTGAAATTCCTATACTTTTGCTGATGTCGATCGGTTAATAAAAAAATATCTTCCAGAATGTTTAATTTCTTATATTTCTTGCATTATTGATCTTGGTTTGGCCAATTGCTGTCTTGATATATTGATTTGGGTAGGTGACAAGATGTTTCTATGATGATCCAATAACAATTAATTACCATAAAACCTCAGTAATCCCTCTAGCCAAAGAATGATAGGAACAGATTTCATCAGGAGAGTTGTAATTTGCTGGAAATATGCAATGGAATGTGATTAATAATTTATATAAATACGTGAACAGAAAAAGTAGACATGAAATTCAGGATTGTCGTTACATGTAATGTCTTTATTCCTTTTTGTAATACATATAAAGTTGACCCCATTATCATGAATCCCAACTTTTTTGGTTTTATTTGAACTGGAAATTACTTTCATCATTCAAGTACCTTTATCGGAACAGAAAGTCAACAATGTCACAATTCGGTCATTTATACCCTATTTTTGGTTTACAATACACAAATCTATATGGAATTTGGATCTCTTTAAATTGATGTGAATTCCCACGCTTCATGTTCTGTTTATACTGGAAATGGCTTTCACCAGTCAGGAGTGACTAATTTGTGTCATGAATGACTAAAAGGTTTGCAGAACTCCCCCCTTGCCTGGGGTTCAGACTCAGAGGAAACAGGTCAAAATCTAGGCCTTTCATCATCGACAAAAACACATGATATTGCTCTGATCATAATCTCAAGTTCAGTTCACGTGTAAATCAAGGGCAGGTTAGATTTTCATTCCAATTGTTTTGTTGTATTTCCCCAAAATTTGCTTTGATTTCCACCAACTCTAATATCTGTACATTGTATGTTGCATCAGGGTTTTTATTGGTATGCATAAATCTAGGAGGAGTTGTCTTTTTGTAAGTTTTTCATTTCTTGGTTCATTGTTTCTTGTTTCTTTCTTTTCTTCTTTCTTTTTATTTCTAATAATTGATCCTTTTCACAACAGTTTGATGAAGATAACAGGAGGTTCTTTGATTTAATTGACCCTGTATTTCCCTTAACTCTGTACAGTGGCATAGTCACAGGGTGAACAGAAAAGAAAAGAGAAATGGAAATGGAGGGGAAATTATGAGAAAAAGAAAGTGTCTTGACCACCTTCTTGACCTTCTTGACCACCCCCCCCCCATTAGAAGCCTTGGAAATCCATATTTTGTTTTTCAAATAAGACCAGAGCCTCTCCAAAAATCATTTCAGTGCCCCCCAACCACTGTCTGTTAAAGAATTCCCCATTTTCCTATTTGATTCTTGCAGCCAATGTCTTCCCTTTTATGACCAGTAGGTATTTCAAACCATGGATATAAAGTGACTTACATGTAGGTATTCAAACTATACTTTTGAGCAGTCTCTTTGTAATCCTTTTGGTCAATTTTTCTTCTCCAGCAAGTATAACCACCATATATGTTCCATATTATTTTTTGTGGTTATTTCTTTTTGGAGTACTTTACATGACATACTTTGGAGGTGTAGTACATGTACATGCACTTGTAGAGTGTACATGTAATACTTAGATACTTGTCTGTGACATTTACATCCTACAGGCATGAATGTGATGAGAGGTTGGGCTGTCGTCATAAAGAGGCGGGGCCCTTGGAATGCTTTTGAAGGGTAGTCACTCATCAGTCTACCTGACACCTGTCGGTCTAGTCCTGTGACCTTAAAATTATATTATAAGGTTATGGTGATATGTTTACTTTCAGTTTAGGCTTGTATACATACATGTATATAACCATGAACCTAATAGAATTAGGTTCATTTCACTTGAAGCTTTGTTTCTGTATCTTTGAAAACAAAACAACACAAAACAGTACCAAACAAAACAAAGCCACACGTAATAAAACATAACAAACAAAACAAAATAGAACAAAACAGAACAAAACAAAACAAAAGTGTGTCATCCAGGTCCTTTGTTAAACATCTTAAAAGTTTAGATTAAAGGGATAGTTGTGTTCTGTTACAGAGGGCACTACGCAAAATTTTTTTGTTTTGAATTTTGACAAAATCATCTTTGTTTGATCAAAATCGGTTCAGAGACGGCTGAAATATCCATAAAAATAATGATTTCTAATACTTGTGTACTCACCACAAATATTAGATAATTTGAACCAGCCGTTGAAAGCCGTTGAAAGCCGTTGAAGAAAAACAAAAAACGCCTTTTACGTTGTATTTCAGCCAATGCTGATGTTGGCTTTTTTGTGTTGGTTGTATTACGCACAATCAGCTGGCCCATGTATTGTTATTATTAATTTATTCATTAATTAACGGTCACCATATTTTTTAAAATGGAGCTGAATTGGTATGATTGTATTGGCTAAATTTCACACATTTTGGGGTCTAAAATTATCTTCTTAGCAATTTTAGGTCCTATAAGGGCACTACATGTAGAAATGTCATTGATAAGAATAAGAGCAATAACCATGCACTTTGAAGGCATTTGCGATCTGAAAACAGAAGTCAACTATCCCTTTAATTTATAAGAAAATATCAACCACCCCAATCCCATTTATCATACCCTGTTAAAAAAAAAGGAAATTTGTGCTACCCCTCCCCCTCCCCCTCCCCCCCCCCCCCAAATGCCAATTTCTCCATTTGAGTGCCAGCTGTATCACAAGACCAGTTCGTCTGTCTCCGGGCTGGTGATGGATATACTGAGACCTGTCTTCATCAGCTCGAGTTTGCCATATAACCCGCTATTTTCAGACTCAGGATATTATCCCGAAGCTCAAAATTGCATGTTCACCAGACCGATACGCTCATCACAAACTAGCTCGAAGGGGCGCAAATTAGCCCGCTATTTCCTAAATAGCTGGATATTTTGGAATCAAGACCAAGATATCTTGGGATATTTTCTTGACCAAATATCCCACTTATTGCAACTTCGGGCTGATGAAGAAGCAAATTAACTGGATAATTTGCGATCGGGATAGTTAAAAATAGCGGGTTATTTGGCAAACTTGAGCTGATGAGGACAGGCCTAATTAATGGGGATGTGTCCGTCTTCCTCATGCAGGAAACAATAAGGCTCCCTGTGGCTGGCGAGCCAATGCGGTGGGTGTATGAACCACCGCTGAACTAAAGAACCAAGAGTTCGGTCTCATGTCAGTGTCAGACGGAGCTCCGTCGTCATTTTGTCAAGACTAAGTGTCGTGTGGTGGTGGTGTGCCCGAACCTAGCGGAGTCGATCTCGTCGATTGCTTATTCTTTTTTTCTTTTTTTCTTGTAATACAGGTGTGTGGATTGAATGTAATTGGCAAGCCGGGTACAGGCATGTGACAGGTGAGTTAGTCTTACTTGTTGCTTTATGTTTATTCCTATCTGGGAAAATGGAATTAATTGATTCACAAGCTGGTTACAGCATTTGTTAGCAGTACGATTATTGAACCTGTTCCAAATTCACATAATTACTCATTCAATTAGTGCTTTACAGTAACTCAGTTAACACCTTTGTCGCCAGATTGCTAGAGTTTCAGCATAGTGTTTTTTTTACTTTTGGGCAGATAATCAATTGAATTTGAAGATACTTTTTTTAACTTCCTATTTTTGCCTACTGTAAGCTATAAAAGCTATTATACACTGTACTTGTATGACTATGAATGCAAAGATATTTGACAGGGAAAACCCCTCTTTAGTATTTCACAAAAGAGAGTTGAGATATTTCCATAGAATTTGAGATGTATTGTCATGATGCGTACTGTGTTCATAAAACCTTCTCACTATTGACACCAGAACTTCCAAGTCACAATACATACAGGCATGGATGTGTATTGTACAATGTACCTAAAAGGAGAACAAAATTTTGAGTGAGAACCAAAACATCTGCAAACAAAAGTTAGCAGATTAAACTGGATTCTGCCAGAAATTATTCTTTAGAATAAGGTAAGAACTTTCTTGTTGCACATTGTACATTGTTTGACATGATATTAATGGAGAAAGGGTAAAATATCTGTTGGTCCTGTTAGTAAATATGACTAGTTTATAGGATAAAAAAAGAATATAGAATCAGTTTTGGTAACATGATATTCATATATACTTGAATTTCTTTCTACTGTGTTTATAATCACTTATCATACGATATTTTGAATTGTTTCCTAGTTCTTCAAGTTGACAGAATTAAAAATAGTAATATGATATAATTCATCCTCATGTTACCCCAGACTCTGGCCAATTTTTTTCTTCTACTTTTGGTTTGTAAAAATGATATTTTCTTGCATCAATTTTCATGTATTGTAGTTTATTTTGCCAAAGCTACTCATGTACATGCTAGCAAAAACCCTTTTAAATCAAGCATTATAATGCTTAATTGCTCTCCACTTTTATGTCATTGTTTTTGCTGCCTGTGACAGAAATTAATTCTTTAGACTCAAATGATGGTTTATGTTCAGCTTCTTCATGAAAAATTTACAGTATTCTAGAAATTATGGAGGGAAATGTCATACACTTGATTTATTACCCTATAGGCGAGCAATATTTCTTCACTCGTGATTAGTTTTGTGCTACAATACATGCACTGGTATAGAACGTTTTCAGAGCTTCGTGGGAAGTTGCAAGACAACGACATGTGCCCGTAAACAAGACAAAAGACTAGAATTTAAAAAAATCCACTTTTGGAGTGTGGTTTCTATGAAACACTGGCCGATACACTGCCGTTTTTTTTAGTGTGTAAAGCCCACTCTGAAGCACCATTGAATTAGTCAGGTTTAAATGCTTCTCCTTACTTCCAGGCTGTCACAGACGCAGCAACAGGTTGCTCACGCACACTAACCACAAAAAACAAACAAAATGAGCAAACAATGATGGTTTTAATGGGTTTTAAAATTATATGGTAGTTTAAAAAAACAATGGTGTTTCAAATTGGGCATTATGTTCAAAAGAATGTTTAGCTCAAAGTAAATCTTTCTAAAATATTTCAAACAATAGTTGAGGCAGGCGTGTGCCTGATGCACTAATGTGTGCTCCTTTGTTCAAATTCTTCAAAAGCAGTGTTTTAAAATGCCAAGTACATGTACATTTTGTTAAACTACCTTGTCTTATTATACTTCAATTTTTATGTCATATTTTCATTGAGATCTTTCACTTTCCCTTTTAAATAGATGCTCGCCTCTTTGCCTCTTGAACAAGACTATCGGATATACTGGAGAAAGTGACAAGTGAAGCAGGGATCAAGAAACTGTTACTGGACCGCTCCTCTATTCATCTACAATGCACATGTAGATTGAGGCGGAAAACAGTTTAATAATGGACTTCTTGCTAATCGATCTGTGCTGATCTAAAACTTCCCTTGATCATCCTCTCTATAAAGGGAGATCCTTGGTTTTAGGAGGGGATTAGCGCCGTTGAACGCACTTTCTCTGATGACGTCCCTCGAAGGATATCACTGACATTAACAGGATCATCCTCGGAAATGCCTCCTCGTGTTCCAGTAGTCATTGGACGAGATTAACGGCTCAAAAGAGGCGAAAGCGATGCGTAGGAGAAAGAGCTACATAAAATCAACCAGCCAGTAGCACTGTAGTGACTAGTCTATCAAATGTTCTCAAATTATAACCAAGACACTATGGTGCTATATTCTATTAATCCATCTGCTCTTATCTGGCATGAGATCACTCACTCGTTAGAGGTGGATTTTTAATTAAAGGGAATTGTCTTTCACTGTTTTCCATGGATACCAGCTACTGTTTATTTCTTATCTGACGCACCATCAAAAGCAAGCGAGCTATATGTATAAAACATAAGGGTATTATGTTGCAATAGGTTGTGACTAGTCGCTGTGGATGATAAAGAACATCACTGGAGGAACTGATACTCTAGTTTGCACTTGACACCGCTCCATGCAAACATTAATCTCTTGACGATTGCGATACATTGTAGCTCCGGACGGACGACTGTCCATGTTCTTATTTTCAGATCACTCTCGTATTTCAGTATAAATCTCTATGTCTGTGTGGACTGTATCGCAGTCTTTATTTTGTGCTGCCAGTTGCAGAGGAGAATTTACAAGCTTTAGGAATATTCTCAATTTTTCTTTAACCCCTCTTTAAATATTCTGGTAAATGAGAGAAACATGCTTATTTCGTGAGAAGTGAAACAAACTAAACTTTGTCTCTATATTTGGATACATCTATGACCGAAGGAATTGTAGCAAAGGTGGCTGCATCCTGCTCAGTCTAATTCTTATCTCTTTACTAAGAACAAAGTAACATTCGGCTTGTTGGCAATTGTCGAAACTCTGCGCCAAATCACCAGGAGTTGCCACTATAACACCCTCTATCAAATTGAAAGTCTCGTTTTCTGGGACTGATTTAGAGTTTTAGACAAGAACACCGCAACATCACCAAGAGTTGCCAGTTGCCACTAACGACTTCTATCAAATTGAAGGTCTCATTTTTCTGGGACTGATTAAAAGTTTTAGACGAGGACATCACAATGGGAGTGATCAAAGGTTTCCATGTTCTATTTGCCAACAAGAAGGACGTCTTCACGGCTAAGGAGCACGTTGCCGGGGAAGTCGTCATCACGCTGGCTGAACCCATGAAAGTCAAGACTGTGGAGGTCACCTTACGGGGACATGCCAAGGTAAGTAAGAAAAAAAAGAAGTAATCAATCATTGCAATGTCTGTCAAAGCCCCTCAAAAGTGTTGGGAGCCCCAAAAATTTGATGGCAAAATTTCACTTAAAGTCTTAAATTGTATCATACATGTACTGTAAGGAGGATATCATTTAAGACATATTTTTGCAAGGATTTGCAAAACAAATTTGTTAGGTGAAAGAATACACAATTGAGGTTTTCTACGTACAACAGAAAACCCATGTTATGTGGTCTTTTATCAATATTTTGTCTTCAAACACATTTTCTGGGGGGAAGTCTTTGCAGAAGTGTGTCATAAATGACATCCTTTTTCACATTATAATTCAATTTAAGTGTAATTTTGCCGTTAAATTTTTGGTGAAATTGGGGCTCCCAACACTTTAGAGGGTCTTGAGGTCTGGTATTGGAATCGTGTTTTGAGAGAAAATTGCTAGGATTTATTCTGGATTGTTTATCCTAAAGTAGATTGGTTGTATGAACCAGTGAGATAAAAACAAACGCACAAAAACTTAAAGGGCATCATCTTCGATAAAAATCCACCCCTTTCCCTAAAAATCCACCCTTTCCCACCCCTCCCCACCCTCACAACATTACATTAAAACAACTGCTATGTCAGGAATCCTTTGGAGTGTTTGACGAGAGGATCTGTGTAATAATAGTAACTGGTTTATTATGAATTCAATCAAAACGAAGATACCTGTCTGAATTAATTCAAGTTGTCCCGTTATTTGCCACAGATGTGCCAAGGAAATCTTTTTCCAGCAGATCATTTGTTTTGACTGATATGGTATTACAAAATTTACAAAAGGAGGACGGGGTTGCTATTGTAAATAGTCAAACACCTTTAAACTGGTCACTTTATGAACACCTTTGCTTATCAAAAAGGGATGCATGGTCACCTGGCAATAAGGTCAGGTCATGATCATTGTTTTTCACTCCTTTATTCAGAGGTCAGGTCAGGCAGGACTGGTATTTCCTTCATAAACTCCTATAAACCACAGGAAGATATCAAAGAAGGCAATTTTTATCTTAACATCAGGAAAAGATAACCTAAAATATAAAATAAACTCGAAATGTTTTGATGCCTTTATTTTTTCCAGTAAATTTTGATGGTGAGAGACTGAGAGTCCTAGATGGCAGGATTTTGTTTGTATATGTGTACAAGAAATTGGGGACATACACAGTACATCTAGTTTCAGTTTCAGTTTATTGTTTTCCATATTTCACACGATACAAATATTACAATATAAAACAATTCTTTGTAAATTCTAATCACACAAGAAGAAAGTAGATACATGTTACAAATTAAGTTATTGATCAAGTCATTGACAGCTTTTAAAAGAAGACGTATATATTTGATAATGAAATATGATGAAACCTAATAAAAAGCAACGCTTGTAAAGAATAGGTTCCGTACAAAATATGATGAAGAAGATCATCAATTATTTGACATGGCACGATGAGAAAGATATTTATTAAAAAAAAGGTAAATGCAATGTATACATGTACATAGTATGTATATCGTAGGCCAGAGTTTTAAATACAGTGTACAAACAAAATTATTTCTTCAAAAAGTATGAGGAAAACATGAACAAATATGATATAAATAACTAGAAAACCTGAGACAAATGTTTTCAAAATGAATACAATCATTTACAACTACATCTAAGACCAGTTAACTTTGAGGTCAGTGGGCAGTATTCAATAGACAACAATTCATATGGTATGACCTAGTGTGGGTCTTCAAACAAAGACATCTATTTCAATTACTCTCAATTAGCAGTGCCATAAAATGCAAACCAAGATTCATAGAATTATAGTACCAGTTAGAATTTACAATACTGAGAAATTTCAAGCAATATTGTTTGTTTCTTTCATGTGACGAATGTTTTGGTTGAAGAGTGTTTTCTTAAAAATCATGAATGAAAATATCTCACACTGAAAAGGATATTGACCCTTGCCCTTCTAAGAAGCTGTAACGTTTTATAAAGATAAAGTGTTAATGCACTTTAAAAAAAAAAAAAAATTACCTCTTTTATGAGTTGTCTTCTGCAAAGAGGCCTTAATGCATTGTACTTTGATTTTTCGATGAAGTTCAGAGATCGTCATGGAGAAAATAAACCTGCAGATTTGAGATGCCTGAGGTTGTGCTACACGTAATTTTGACTCAATTACTTAAAATTCATGGTATTGCAGTGTGAACAATTTAATTTTTTTGGAGGGGGGGGGGGGGCAGGGATAAATTACGTACATCTACATGTAATCATGTAATGTAATTCTTTAAATGTCCCATTAACCCAACAACAACAATTCATAATGCATTATTCTTAGAATGTACTGTCATGAAAATTTCAAATTGATATACTGTACACCTGATAACCCTACTGTGCCTGTCAGATCTACAATGTAGGTGATGTATTCTACCAATATATCGCTTTAAAGGGGCACGTCTCCCCCAGTGTAGTTATCGGAACAAGCCATCTGCGTAAGAGCCGTATTCTGTTGGTGTCAATAGGCTGCTATAGCACCGTCCGCCAGCGCGTACGTATTTTGAGCGCCCTCTGGAATACGAGGAACATGCCCCTTTAATACTTCCTGCATGTTGCTGTGAGCTTCTTTTTTTAGTATCTGCTGAGGGAATGTGTCAAGATATCAATATGGGATTATAATTACTTCCTTCTATCTGTATAAAGGTGAGATATGAGGACATTGAGAATGAACACGACGTGGTTGGAATATGATCGACTTTATCAGATGCAATTTGAGAGAAAGAAACTGGTCATCTATTTTAGAGAGGGACAGAGAGAGAGAGAGAGAGAGAGAGATACACGGAAGATAAACACATTTTCAGAATAGAAAGACAGAGAGAGAGAGAAAGAGAGAGATACAGAGAGATGAAGATAAGGTGAAAAAGACATCAAAAGAAAGATAGAGAGGTGACGAACTCACTGGAGACAAGAGAAAGTAGACATTTATGAAATGAAAGCTAGAGTATTCAGGAAGAAATATTGTTAAACGTTAGCAAAATTACATGTAGTTTCTTTTCCAGTCCAAAATTATATTTTTGTTGTTGCCAAGCCCCAAAGCTTGAAGTTTTTTGTTTGTGTTAAAACAAAAGTGTCACTGACATTGGTTCCCTGTTCACTGTCACTTTGCAATACTGGTATCGATGACATAGCATTTTGTCTGCTTTAGAATGTCCATGAGAAAGAAATAATACAAACTTCCCATGCTAACAATCCGTGATCAAATTATCTACAGCTGTCTCTGATGTTCCCTTCCATGTGTGTGAAAATCCAATATATACACTCCAATCATGAAATTGCTTTCAAATTGGATTGGGATGTATTTTGTTATTAGTCTTAAGGCTCCGACTGTCATAGTATGGGTCCCTGAAAGGAAGCGCCGCTTTAGCAGAATGTCTGGGAGAAGGAAATTGGCCGGGCTATTTCGGAGTGTTGAGACGGGAACGCGAGTTGTCTGGCCTCGTAACTAAATTTAAATCTCCTGTTTATGGACCAAATACTGTTGCCATGGTAATAGCACGGCAGTCAGACAAGCACACTGTGCAAACTACATACACTTTATATCAACTAAATTATTCTTACACTTACCAAGTTTTGTAATTTGTTAAGTATGTGAAAAATGGATTTGTCCTGATTTATGTTTCTTGAGAATGTGATGTATTAAAGCTTACATCTCAAAGTATTCATTGAAGGCCCTAATTCAACCAGTTCACCGTTTATTCTTGAGATAAGAAGAAAAAAGAAGAACAAAATTACAAGGGTTATGAATAATTTAGTTAACTGTAAGAACCAGAATTGTGAGACCTACAGTATAATGGCTCACGAAGATGGCTGTTCTGAGATTTTACGATTATTAACTAGAATTTAATAACTTATAAATATGTTGGTTTCAAAAGGTACCATAAATCATTGTTTCTCAGTGATAATGGTGCATTCGTTGTGTACTCCATGTAAATTAATACAGTACATATTTCCTCGAACAGTATGGCATGTGATTGTCGGTGGTGATAGATGTTTACATTTAGCATGGCTAGGCCGTAAGGCGCTTCCCAGCTATTAACCTTAATCAAGAGACGACATTGAAAAGACACCATCCATGTCGTGGCTGTTGACAGGGAGAGATACATGTAGATAAATGTACCAAGGAATACCTTGGATTTTTCAAACGGAGGGGGGGTAGGGGCATAAACCGGCATAAGGGTATAGGTCTATCATCTGTTAGGGGCCAGGGGGCTGTTTTTTGAAACCGTCCTAAGTCTAACTGCTTGGACATAGCATTGGAACATGTCTTATAGAATTAACACGCGTTTCTATGGGATGTCCACGAACTAAGTCTTATGACGGTTTCGAGAAACTGGCCTCTGAAGGGCATTGTTAGGCTTAACTGGCTTTGAACCAACAATTTATGATGTTGAAATTTATTGACAGTAAAGGAATAAAGAAATAGAAGTACCCAGTATAAGAAAAAAAAACTCATACCCCCCCCCCCCCCAAAAAAAAAGGGCGGTGTATGAGCATAATAAGCATCTTAATCATAAACTCTGAAACCTGATTTAGCATCCACTGGGTGGTTCTCTCCTTACACAGGGGTTGTGTTAAGTTGTGTTAAAAAAAAATTACACAACGAATATGCAGTGTAAACTGTAAAGTTGTGTAATTTTGTTTTACACAACCACAACCCCTGTGTAAAGAGTGAACCACCCAATGTTGTGTAAATCGTTACACAACGAATTTGCAGTGCACCTGAAAAGAAAGACCACCTGTCTGTATAGACCACCATTTCTGTTTTCAATCAATAGTATTTGTCATACTAAAGGAACCGTGTACCTAAACACCACCTGCCCATAAATACTATTTTTCTTGTCTCCCTTGAGTGGTCCTCATTTACAGGTTTCATTGTTTTAAAGCCAAATCAAGGACTTACACAATGCATAAATTGACATTATTTTTGTCTTGTTTCGGGTGTCTGTAGACTAGAGATAAAAAAAGGGGAAAAAAGAAAACAACATCACCAACAACTGCCTTTGTCATAGTACATTGCACTCTCTGATAGCAACGCTTCATCTTTACTTCAAGGATACAATGTAGCAGTGCCCAGGAGCTATTGCAATGATTTAACAGGATTGGTGCTTATCAAAGTTAGAGCTGTCAGATTCAATTTGATTGCATGGCATGTGACGTCTTCATTACGCATTATGCCTGGCAGTGATACACTTGGGGGTACCATGTGAATGCGTGACTAATTTCAAGCCCGGTTTCCATACTTTATAGCCTACAATGTTACAATGTAGATTTCTGCATTGATAGCAGATGCTGAGTAGATATGAGATCTTGACTTGTAGCCAAGTTCGCATATAGGCCTAATATCCTTTATTTTTTGGACATAAACATGGATTGGATTTTTTGACAGAGTCATCCAACTGAGCTGCACATCCTACATGTCTACCCCCTTCCCCATTCCGACGAAGGAAATTCATTGTAATGATTGTATAGGAATACTCGTACTGGTATCACTAAATTTTGTCTAATCTGAGTCAGACTGTGGTTAAATGTTGCTTAAAGCAAGGCTCGCCACTAAAATGCACCCGGGAAACATGGGTGCCACTGCCCAAAATCTAGGTCCAGACCCCAAATACTTACAATTTTTTGTTTACATACGGATCCTGCATGAAGACTCTAAACAGGCAAATCTACACCCCCTTAAAAAAATGTGAGTATCTAGCCCTGTATAAAGTGAAACAGTGTACAGCAAAATGAAGGTTTCAGCCTTGTTTTTTTTAATGGAATATTGATTTTTAAAAAAATTGATATTGATATAGTTATCAATATCATAGTAACCTAAACTTAAATCAATTACCGGTACTTTAACTTAAAATTCAATTACTTTTCCTTAAAATTCAATTACTTTTTCAATATCAGTTGAAAACCGGAATTTTTGCCCAGTTCCTGTAACTTCCCTTCTACTGAAGATAGCCCATCTCGCACCTGTTTTACATGCTAGCTCAAAAGTTACAAAACCTATTTTATCTTGGGGTTGACCCATATCACATACAGGACACTGGCCAGTCTCTGTATTAACATCATGCTTCCTTCCTGCATGTTGGTTCGTACGAAGCTTGAAAACGATGTATTGCAGGTCTTTTTTGTGCAGGTGCACAAACAAACCTGTAAATTTACAAAGGATGTCATATCCTTATTTGTCTAGCAAATTATTTCAATTGGCCCACGCATGTTTTTGCATAGCTTTGGATGTCTAGATCATTTATTTTTCAAGATTGAATGATTTTCAGTTTCGAAAGTGTGTGTAAGAAAAAAAAATATTTGTAAAGAGCAACAATTGATGGGTTTAGAAGATGAACCTGAAGAGAGTGATTAAGAGATAGAGAGAGGGAGAGGGAGAGGGGAGGGAGAGGGAGAGGGGAGGGAGAGAGAGAGAGAGATAGGAGGGGATGGGCGGGCGTTTCAATTGCCCCAACTTCTGTTGCATTACGTCAGAATGCCTTAATTCACATTCTATAATATTACTTACAGAGTTAATAACTTAATGCCTTCTTGGCTCTGAACCTAGACGATCGGTTTGTTATGATAAATCGTTGAGATGGTCCAACATTCACAGGCAGTCTGCACTGGTCTGAACCAATTCTTCTTTTTTTCTTCATCCTCTGCAGGTGACAAAGAGCGGAAATCTGTTGAAACCAGGAGAGCAGGATAAGACCAAGCTAGGCCAGGCTGTCAACGAATACTTGAACACGAAGCTTCAACTTACAGGTAAGAGCAACAGAACACATTAGGCCTGTCCTCATCAGCTCGAGATTGCCAAATAGCCCGCTATTTCTGATTTGGGAAATAAGCCTGAAGTTACAAATTGGGTCTTCGTCAGCTCGTGACTCAACCTCGAAACTCGAAACTCAAGCTCAAGATATTTTGCTAAGCGTTCGCGCATAGTGCGAGTCTTCGGGCTGGTGAAGACGCACCGGACATACATGTATATCCGGATATTTTGCCAAATAGCGGGATAATTTGCAAACTAGCCCACTAATTGCAACTACGGGCTGATAAAGACGCAAATTAACTGGCTATTTCGCAATCAGTAAAATGGCGGGTTATTTGGTAAACTTGAGCTGATGAAAACAGGTCTATAGTCTTGCAAGCGAGATCCAGACAGGAGTTAACTGGTATTTCATTGAAATGGAAGACACGGAGCAGGGGAAAGTTTGAAGAAAATCCAATGAAAACAAAGTTATTAGATCACATTGCACATAATTTTGCAGTCGTCAAATTACAACTGACAAATTTATAACTTGCTTTTTATTTTTTAGGATTTTATTCAAACGTTCACTCATCTGTATTTTCCTGGTTTCTGGTAGTTTTGCACTGGACTTAACTTTGAATAACTAGATTATTCTAGGATTTAATCAGGAAATAAAACAGGGAAGGAAATAGTAAGAGCCATACTACTTCAAATATTCTTTGATCGATATGCACTTGATGTCTTTGATATGTATATGAACTATAAAGAAACCAGAGAAATACAAGAGTAAGCCGTGAATATTGTAATCACGAGTAGAGTAACGTTCTCATGCAGGCCTATTTAAAACTGAGGGACCTTAAAAACCTTTTTGATGCTTATTCTAAAATTTTAGATCCCACACAAATCACAATATCTCTGAGAGGCGAAAAACAAAGTTTTCAAATTGTCAGGTGCCTTTTTGGTCAAATTAAAAGGGGGCTCCGCACAGAAAAGCGTACTCGGGGTATACGTGTGCTCAGAATATCTTGTGATACTATTTTGGTTTCAAAAAGATATGGAGTTGCCAATGTGTTAAGTGGTTTTCAAAAGCAATAAAGTAGAACTTTCTTAGTTTTTATTAAATTTTCTCAAGCATCTTTTCAATTTCTTTGGTGTTTCTGATTCTTTCATAGAAAGATGACACATTTTATTAGTTGGATTTCTCGAGGAGATAGATATATTGATATATAACTGAATAAAAATATCCATTATGATTCATCCTAATATCCTTAATATTACAAGCATTGTTCATTTTACAGAATTTAATTGAACATAAAGACCAGTACTTGTAAACCTCAAACTCTAAATTTAGCAATTGAAATCCAGGACCAGAAATGGACTCGATATATCTGTCACTCGGACTAAAGAGTATGAAAGTGCAGCTAAAATGTCATAGCCTGAAAAAATTCTTATCAAGTTTTGTTATCAAAGAGTGGGATTTTAGTCAGAGTATTTCTTCTCATAGAGATCATTTATATCAAAAGTGCATTAGCTGTGTCCACTGCATCATGTGTGCGTACGTGTGCGTGCTTAACCAGTTGGATGAATGTATTGTTAAGGCAGGGATCATATACTATATCCCTACTTGGCCCTCGCAAAATTGTGAGTCACATTGTAAACGAGGACAAAATAAACTTGGGCGTGGGAAAACCCTCTATTGCAGACAATAGATAGAGAAAACTTACTTTGAGAAGAGAGGCAGAGGGAGACGGGACAGGGGCACATTTAACAAGGGGGGGGGGGGGGGGGGAGAGAGAGAGAGAGAGAGAGAGACAGACAGACAGAAAGACAGGCAGATAGAGAGGGAGAGAGAGACAGAGACAGAGAGACTGGAGAGATAGGGGGAGGGCAAAAAAATGGGTAGGGATATATTATTGAGACAGGCAAGATAGTGATAAAAAAAAGCTAGAGAGAAAGAGAGAGAGAGACAGAGAGAGACAGAGAGACAGAGACAGACCCACAGAAAGAGAATGTATTACAATTCAGGATTTCATAAAGACAGAAACAGATACAAATTGGACACTAAGATTAAAGGCAGACATAATCATTTGACAGAGTTCAAAACAATATACTTCATCATTGAGAAGAAATCTTAGTCATCGGACAGCTTTTAAAACCAATTACACAAGAACAAAGATTAAATGACTCTCATTAACTGATCAATTACTCAAACCAAGTCTTGCTAAGCTCAGCCAACTTCATTTGATATAGGAAAATCTGTGAGGATTATATCATTCAACGTCTTGTCTCGCTCATTGCGAGAGGCTTAGAAAAGCTGTGCCAACTACAAGTACATGTAACCAGATCATGGGAATACTCTCCTGAGTCATTCATCAGTAATTACTCAATAATCTTGACGACTACTTGAACTTTTCTGATAATGCAACTGGAAGAAAATATCAACATATATATAATTAAGAGTAGATTAGATGCTGCTTATAAGTATTGGCTTGTATGGTGATGTAGATATACTGCATGTACCTCCCCCCTTTCTCACAATGTACATAAGCCTACTGTATAGTCCCGTCTTCACTATCTCGAGATTGCCAAATATCCAGCTATTTGAACTATCCCGATCGCAAACTATCCAGCTAATTATCCCAAGATATCTCGGTCTAGTTTGCAAAATATCCCACTATTTCCGAACTAGCGGGATAGTTTGCGACCGTCTTCATTAGACCGAAGTACAGAGTCAAATATCCCGATCCCATCATGCACCGCTGAGCGGTATGGATCGCATGTGCGCGCGCTAGTACAACTAGTTAACACGGAAAACCGGAAATCGTTGTGCACGATGGGATCGGGATATTTGACTACGAACTTCGGTCTAATGAAGACGGTCGCAAACTATCCCGCTAGTTCGGAAATAGTGGGATATTTTGCAAACTAGACCGAGATATCTTGGGATATTATCCCGACCAACTATCCAGCTAATTTGCTACTTCGTTCTAATGAAGCCGCAAATTGATGGATAGTTTGCGATCGGGATAGTTCAAATAGCTGGATATTTGGCAATCTCGAGATAGTGCAGACACGCCTTATAAGAGTAGATTAGTCGTAAGTTCAACTCTGATAAAGACATTGCCACATGGGAAATTTGATTATTGGGATGGTCCGGGATGAGGGTTTCAGATTGGGACCACTTTTTATTATTGACCAATATTGTAAGACAAATGCATCAGTATGTCATGCAGGCAATAGTGTCAAAAAAGTCTGGCCATTTTGCTCATTTAAAGGTGGGTATTTTACCCATATTGACTTGCTGTATTTTCAATTGCGACATCTTTCAGTAAAGGCATACATTGAGCGTAAATATGAGGTACTGTAGTGTTGGTAGAATACTCTGCCTTTAAAAGCGCCCATCATCATTGTATGATAATGGATGCAGGGGAGATGGGGGGGGGGGGTCAGGGGTTGGGGGAAGGGAGGATATACATGTATGTGACCTCCTATCAAAATGAATCTGCTAGATACGTTCATACAAGTACACATGTGTATATACATGTATGTATGTGCCCCAATCCCCCTCCCTTCTTCCCCCACTCCCCCTTCCCTTCCTCCCACTCCAGCTTAATTTAACCCATTGCCTTCAGGACCCAAATACTACCTGTATTAAGCCTATGCAGATGAGAGAATTCAGTAGTCGGTGGGTTTACAAGCTCTCTCAATTTTGTCCCCTTTGGTAAGATTGTCAGATAATATGGACATTTTGTCCCCACTGTTACAAACAATCCTGTATCTCCTATTAAAGGCTCCTATGAAGTATTTTAGAAGTTCTCCCTGCTGCTAATATAAAAGAGCATTGTCAATGGTATCTTGACATATGGTTGCATACATGCCAACTGTTCAGATTAAAGAGGAACATTCCTCTTTTTGGGAGAAGATAATTATCATTTTAATGCAGGTGTTCCTCTTCCTGTACAAATTTGTCTGTAGTATTGAATAGGAGAGTTAGGATTGTTTCTCTTTTTTTTGAAAATAGCATAATTTGTACAGATTTCTGATTTTCAAATGTTGGCATGTATGTGGTTGTCCTATTTTCCTATTAAAATGAAGAAAAAAAGGATGAGTAGCGTGTGATATCAGGCAAGACTACACTCTCAAAATAACACAGTGATTTTGAAAAGTCATTTAATAGGTCAGATTTTGTGCTTTCCTCTTGCCCTTTTTTGACTTCACCAAATCCCACAGGATCTGTTTCGGAAATGGAACTACAGAGCCTACATCCATAGCAACAAGTATAGGCAACATATGACGTTAAAGCCAATCCAAAATAGTTTAATTAAACTCTACATATAGTTACTTTTAAAAAATCCAATTTTTTACAGACATATACATATCAGGACCTCTTTAAACAAAGCTTAGCAATTGATCATACAATGGCCTGGATTGATATTGCAGGAAGCAATTATAAAAACAGCTGTCAATAGCTAACTTATCTTCTATTATAGGATGCTGATTAATTATTACCTCTTTAATAGACCAAGCTTTTGATTTTTATGCTTCTCTTTTCTTGTAATGGCCATTGGGCAGAATGATGCTCTCGATCAGCCCAGAAAATCTGAATTTTGTTGACACTGTCGATACAGTGTTTACATTGATATGTCGGCATAAATATGAGCGCAAATAATGACACTAAGGATGGCTCTATATTCACCGGTCACTTGATGTGTTTCTCCCCCAAAGAAGTCATTTGAAAGGTCATCATGTTATGCTAATTGGCTTGTAACTCAACTTATTTTTATATGATTTGATTGTGAATAATGATTTTTGCATGCCTCCGAACAGGTTCAGATAGAGGCCTTTTGAACATCATGAACCAGTCATTGACTGTTTGTGGTTAAAACATTTGTTGCATCTTCCTTCCTCCAAATTAATTTCCCATCTGCTCAAAACTCAATGATTATGAATGTTAAACCATGGAATAGTTAAAGTGTTGGGAGCCCCAAGTTTTGCCAAAAATTTGATGGCAACAATTCACTTATATTGTATCAAAATGTGAAAGAGGATGTCATTTAAGACACACTTCTGCAAAGATCCCCCCCCCAAAAAAAAAAAATTGTGTTTGAAGACAAATATTGATAAAAGAATACATAATTTTGGTTTTCTATTGTATGCAGAAAATCTAAATTTTTTCCTTCATCAATATTCGACTTTAAACACATTTGTTTGAAAATCCTTGCAGAAATGTGTCTAATAGATGGCATCCTCTTTCATATTATAATACAATTTGAGTGAAATTTTGCCTTCAAATTTTCGGGCTCCCAACACTTTAGAGGGGCTTTAAAAAAAAATATGGGCAAATTTTGTGATTACGGTTTCAGGTTTGCAAACATTTTGTGATATTGGCTGTCATTGACATTGTGTTTCTCAGTTTCTGGTTTTACAGTTGTCAAATTTTCATATTCACTTTTTTTTGAAGAAATACTTGTATAGCTATCTTTTTACCATGCAAGGCATTTCTTATCTTTACTTTTTTAATTTACAGCGGGGTCTTCAGCGACATTACCAGCTGGACAGAGCAGATTGCCATTCTCATTTCTTTTGCCAGAAGGGTAAGAGATCGTAAAATCATATTTTTTTTCTTCTTCTGTTACAGGTTTGAAAAGGAATTCTCTGAAAACTGGTGGTAGATCTAGGTTTCTCTTGCAGGGGAGGGGGGGGGGGGCAACTATTTAAAATATAAATATGATAGTATGATAAAAATGATATTTGGTTCCTGTACATATCTAGTGAAATAGAGGTATGCCCATAAATTGTACATACATTCATAATTGCGTTATGACGCAAATCCAAAGTATTGAGAACAATTAATTTTGTCCATGAATTGGAGGATATGGGTTTGTTTTTAAGGAACTCAGGTTTGGCTGAAATTGACACATTTCGTTTGTGTTTGGTTTGGGGAGAGTGGGTTATCTTTGTTTTTCTTGAGTAGACCTGACATTTGATTAGAATGCCAAATTAAGTTCTGTGTACATTTTAGATGTGATCATGTGAGTATGCATTTTTTTACGGTACAATACTGAAAGGTACAGTTATATAGGGGACACATTTAAAGATAAACTTGAGTTCTGGTAAGAAAAAGAAAATTAATTCTCACAGAATCAAACGAAACTTACACTGAATGTTCAAAATTACAAATAAATGACATGTGCCAATCAATTTTGGAAGAAAATGTATACTGGCTGAGTAATGAGTATAGAAAGACAAGGAAATCAAGGTAGTACTAGCCCCGACACCATGTGTGTTGTCCAATATATAGCTTTCTGTTTACAGTGCTTGTAACTTTACCAAGACTCGGTCAAATTTATTATGATTTTGATGACTCCAGAACCTTGCAGTGCACACCAATACTTACATGCTACATGATCAACTGTTTCTGATCCTTTCCACACCTTTTCTTTCACAATGCAATCGCATTACCAGTACTAAAGTTTATCTGTAAGGTAAACTAGCAGATGATGGTGGCAGTATGAATTACAAGTGATATTTCTTGATTATTGTTCCTATGACAAAAGTAATTTCATGCTTCCAGATCTGACCAATAAGAGAGGCCAAATATCTAAAAAAAAATTGTGGTGAAAGAAATATGTAGTGTAAAAGAAAAATTCAAAGAGTGTATGTGAAATGTATTGTCTATATGCCCAGATTGTGCTGAGTAATAAAGAAAGAATATGTAGAGAAAATTCTTGTAACAGTCCTAACTCTTGAAAATTTCATATAGACAATTTCTACAAGCTATGTGAGTGAAAGTATGAGTCTGTTCTCTCTCTCTCTACGTGCCATATCCTGAGACGTTGGCGACCATAGAGTGCCACAACTCTCTGTCCCATATTCTATGAAGTAATTCATTCTCCCCGAGATCAATTCCACCTTCAGTCTGTTACTGACTGTAATAACTTTCAAAATTGTCTTCATGGATTCATGTACATACATACTGTACACATGCCTCTTGCTATTTTGAATTAAAGGAGGGAGTCAAAGAAACTCAGGGCTTTGGGTCTTTAATGGGAAAAGCATGGTATAAATAATAATTACAATAATAATAAAAAACCCATGATTTATTCTTTGATTTAACCTCCAAATAAATATTACCATCCTAAACTTTTAAGAAGTTTGATCGGGTTCTTTAAACAAAGTGATCCTGTACATGCAGCCTGTGGCAAGGTGGGAATATTTGTGGCTTTTACAGATTCACAAGAAGATTACTGTCGAATCCAGTCTTCTATTTTTGCCGGCAGCGTCATTTGGTGTCATGTGATTTTGACATATCCTCCCCGGCAGTGTCTGAAAGATTTGAGGTTATCTAAAAAGGTTATCACACTTATGGTGCTAATAAAAGAAAGGAAGGAAAGGAGGGGAAGAATTGACAATCACAATTTGTATGTGCTGATTTAGTTTAAAAATCTCTGGCAAAGCTAATAAAGAGATTGGTTTGTGACATATTTATTTTTAGGTGCATTTTGAGGTCTTAATGTTAAAGGGGGCACTAGAGCACATTATTGGGTGCACATTGTTTCTGTACTTACCATATGCATGCCAGATTTGGGTTTAAGTTAGGGGGGGGGGGGGGGGGGCAGATGTGCCCCTTGTGAACACCTGCCACCCCACATTGAAAGTACCTCTGTCTGCATAAGTATTACAAACATGGATTTCTTATCACTTGTCTTTAAAAAAGAATATTGTAGTGAAATGTAGATTTTTACTTTTAGAGATTTGTAGGTGAATTTGGATTCAGGATTGTGAGATATATGTACAATGTAGTATACTGAACATTCACCTTAAACCTACACTTTACATCTGGGAGTTAGTATTTGAAAAAAGGAATCACATCTCACAGAACAGACGTGTAACCATGCAGGGGAGGGGGGGGGGTGGGGGGCGGTCGTCCCCAAAACAAAAAACTCTGGCCCCCCCCCCAAAAAAAAGAGAGAAAAAAGAAGAAAGGAAGAGGACGTAGGAAGAAAAAGGATTAAGAGTCGAGAACAGTACAACGAATCGTCTTCTTTCTCTAATAATTTAATGAAACGTCAAAGCTTCCGCGCTTTGCGCGGGAGGGGGGGGGGGGGGACTGAATTCAGACAAGGATTAAGAGTCATTCGAGAATGGTACAACGAATCGTCTTCTTTCTCTAATGAAACGTCAAAAGAATTGAATTTAGATAAGGATTAAGAGTCAAGAACGGTCCAAGGAATCGTCTTCTTTCTCTAATAATTTAATGAAACCACAAAGCTTTTACGCTTTGCGCGGGAGGGGGGAAACTCCCCCCTCCCTGCACCCATCCACCTAGGGAGCGCGCATAGCGCGCTTTGTAAGTGATTCACATGCTTCACGTGCTCGCTTCCGCCCCCCCCCTAAAATGAAATCCTGGCTTCGCGTTTGATATCTCACTTTATCTGTCATTACTTATAACATGACTCATGCACATGGTCATGTGATCTTATACAAGGGTTGCCAATAAAGAGAGCATAATGATTCCCCTTGGATCGTAATGAGTTCACCTCATAATACGAATAGGGACTTGAGCAGTCCCACAGACGCCAAGAGATTGAAATTGTTTTGCCAATGACATTTAGGGAAGATAAAAAAAGACATCGTTCCCATTTCGGGAAAAGGAATGTGTTTGTATTTAGGGCTTCTTCCTGTACATGTATCTGTGTGTGTCAATTGACAAGAAACTGCCCTGCTAAAAGAAAATAGCTTTGAAGTATTTTAGAAGTGCACATTCATGTATTATATGACCAAATCTTCAAGAAATTGGCCCATCCATTTTTGTGAATTCATAGAAATAAGCATATGATTTAATCACGACTGTAGCAATTGATGATATTCTTTCATCAATATATTTAAACAAATTAGTGTGAAGTAGGATCAGCCTAGGATTGAAACTATTCTATTTAAGGGTTTATTGCAAGATATCGGAGTCTTCTTTGTTCTCAATATATATATATATATATATATTAGGGGGGGGGGTCCCTTTTAAATTGTCTCAATTCATGTACCGGTATGTGTATTTAATTGGGTTTTATAGACGTGTATCAATCAGATATGATTTACGTCTGGGGACCGATTGTTAACGTCATCATCCAAAAGATATGACTCGGCTTCGAACTGAGGTCCGTCTGAGCCAGTTTTTAGGCGATGACAGAGAGCTGACCGAGTGAACCCACCGCTAGACGAACTCACATCTCCCTATTTAAACCCTTCAAATATTTTCAATCCCGGGGTTAGCTTGTGAATCTTGATATTAATCAAATCAACTCAAATTAACAATGCAGCATTTACATTTCCAATACTCTGCAGGTTGCCGACATCTTTTGAGTCCAAGCATGCGAGGATACGATACTGGCTGGAGGCAGTCATCATCAGAGCATCATGGTTCAAGTCCAAGAGGAGGACTGTTCAAGGTTTTACTGTCATCGAGCATGTCGATGTCAACCATCCAGATCTCCTGGTAAGTTTAAATTGTCTCTGTTTAAAATATTAGTTTAAAGTGCAAGTATTACATGTACATTGAAAAAGTTTTGATTGCACTTATAAGCCATTGTTGAATTGAATTGGATTGAAAAAGACAAAATTTCAAATCAATGCAGTCTATGCTGAAATGTTTATCTTGTTTAATTTCCCCTTTGTATCATCATTTGACCTAAAAGCTCCTCTACATTAGTTTGGCCAGGAGGGATTAGACCTCCCTTCATGGTCACTGTCAGGTGGTTATCTCATCAAAATCAGCTCTCAAGTAACATAAGAAAAAGGGGATCATGGGGGACCAATGGTCACCGCTTAAGCATTGTTTGCCATATACATGTAGAGGGCGCAAGTAGCCATAAGTAGTGCAGTGGGGCTTTAAAATTCATTAAACAAATAAACTGCATTTAAAGAAAAGTACCACAATTCTCGCTACCCTAAATAGGTACGAAAATCTCGAAATTCGCGAGACGAGGTAATTTTCACTCTCTCGGGTCGTCACTACAACTTCCGGTATAGAGTCCCATCCCGCTGGCGCTAGCGCCTGTGTTCGCTGTGCAGAGTTTTCACGCACGCTAAAATCGATGCCAATCAGTGTAATTTGTACAGATTATAATATGCAATGGAAAGCTTCGGGCAGAATTAGTGACTTTAGCACAAAAGGCCGTTAAACTCTACCGTGAAAGAGAGGGTTGTGATCACGAACGCCTGCACAGGAAGCTGTAATGTCGAAAAGCTATCCCATAATGCAATGCGCGTTTTCAGGATTTTCCCCGGATCTCGGCAGAATCGCTATTTGGGGTAGCGAGAATTGTTTATGATATATGCTACTACCTGTAGTATTACCTTTAAAGAGAAGGTTGAGTTCTGGGAAGAGGTGAAAAATAATTTGTGAGCGTTATCATTCTTATTATGCAAGTGTGGAAGAACATCATATAAGACATGTTCCCTGAAAGGCATGGCTCTTCAAATGCCTTCATATACTACATATGTTATGTAACATCGTAAAACTTGGGGGTAGGATTTTTACGCCACGTGTTCGTGTAGTCCCATATACATCTTTCTGTGTACAGTGTTTGTAACTTTACCAAGACTTGGCCAAATTTCTTATCATTTTGATGATTCCAGAACCTTGCAATACACACAAATTCTTATATGCTAGATGATCAACCTTTTGTGGTCGATTCCACACCTTTTATTTCACAATGCAATCGCATGACTAGAACTCAACTTCATCTTTAAAGCTCTCAATTGTACTATTTTCATTGTTGATTTGTTTTTCTTTCCGCAGGCGCCAGTGCAAGAATCAAGAGAGCATACCATTGGATGTCTATGTAGAAAGTCATTCCAGGCCACCGTCACATTGCATAGAAAAGGCTTCTGTCCTGGTAAGTACATATTTAGGGCCAGATTCAGAGGGGGGGGGGGGGGAGGGGCAGGTATTTCCACAAACTTCTGGCAAGTACATGTAAGAGAGAGAAAAAAAAAGGATTATGTTTTTTTCCGGTACTAATCTACTTAGAAACTGGAGGCAGTCACAGTTGACCATTTAAAAAACAGCCTGATAACTAATTTGTTCGTGAGTATTGTTCAATAAGTTTAAATTCATTTGGTATGTACAACTGTACATGTAATTTGAATTGAATTTCCTTATCCTTCAGAGTGCATAGGGACTGAATAGTGATGTGTGTTGTACAAGACCTGTTTCCTCTTCTTCTTCTTCATCTTCTTCTTCTTCTTCATCTTCTTCTTCTTCTTCTTCATCTTCTTCTTCTTCTTCTTCCTCTTCTCCTTCTTCTACTTCTTCTTCTTCTTTCTCTTCTTTCTTCTTCTTCTTCTTCTTCTTCTTCTTTCTTCTTCTTCTTCTTCTTCTTCTCTTAATATTATTACTATTTCAAACATAACATGTGAAACAAGAAAATGTGTTAACAATGATTTTCAACGTTCAGTCTATACAACAAAAATGTGGGATTCCTATCTTTACAGGAGAGGCATTCAAATCAACTTGGAGCTCGTCAACGGCACCAAGAAGTCTCTCCAGTCCCAGACGACGTTCCTCCAGAAGATCGAGTACAGGGTCAAAGGTCGGACGCACACGGACTCCCAGCAGATCAATGCCCTGGATCTCGGCCTGGTGCAGCGAACGCAGCGCCAGTTCTCAGGAAATTACTTACATCCAAGTTCCTTCCATAGCGCCCCCTATCAACTCCTGTAAGATCATCACCGTCGGTTACGTCTTGCAGGTTAGTAACTCACGCTCGTAGGGGATTGAGAGTTGTTTTCTCCAAGTTCTTTTATTTATTTCCTCCATAGTTTGTTTATCCAGATTGTGGAATGATCTTCCCCAAATCCCTCGCTCTTGCCACCAGTTTTCACTTTCAGAACTCAACTAAAGACATACCTATTTCAGATTGCTTACAATTAGTCACAACTTTTTTGTATTTCCCAGTTAGAATCATGACATTTTGGTAGTTTTTCAGTCTCATCAGCACCTTTGATTAGGGCAACTAGATTTTAACATCTAAATTCCTGGATTGGATTGGATTTAGCCAAAGAACTCATGATGTTATATAGGGCTCTTTTTGACTTTATGTACATGATCCAGAAATCTGAAAAAATGTGAATACTTACAGTGCCTCCATGTTTGTAATCATACATGTATTTCAGGACTGTGATTTTGGCTAACAAACTTGCACTTTATTTGCCTTCTTCAGTCATGTGTCATTGTGATAATTTCATAAGACCATGGTATCTAAATTCGCAAATGAGTTTGGATTTCTTTGACCTTGGAAAAATAGTAGATATGGTGCTTTTGTCAGAATGTGAGCAGTGTAGCCCATTGACTACCAAATTCTCTTATTCCACTAGGCTAAATACAGGAGCCATTGGGTTCCCAGTGGCAAAGGGTTAGCATGTAGCCAAAATTAAACATATTACCTTTAATCGATCTTCCTTTATAAATGAAATAGTCATAGCAATAGTCCTGATAGGTTCACTCAGGATATCATGAATTAGTGTTAGCTTGATATAAATATCATGTGGAATGGGTTCGTATGAGAGTCAACTGTCATATTTTGTTCAAGTCAAAAGTTCAGATGACATTTCAACATTTTGATAAGAGTACCTAGCTGTTATTTAGAGACAAACAGGATATTAGAGGCTGTCTGTTTTTAGATTGGAATGATGGTTTCTTTTCTTTCTCTGTGGTTATGTGCTCCCCACAGACTAATTTTTTTATATCTGTAATGCTATCTAATTTGTGATATCCCATACAAAATTGTTTAAGTAGAAAAACTGGATCCCATCATAACATGAAGACTTTCTCTTGAGGGAAGTTTTAAAAAAAAATTCCAATTAAGACATTTATAAAAAAAAAGAAACTTATTTCTGAATTCAGAGTCTCTTTACTTATATCATGGAATCATCACAGTCTGTTATATTAGACGATGTGATATTAAGTTTGAAATCAGCTGATGTAAATGTAGTCATTTTGTGCCCTGTACGTTACTAAGAATAATGGACTAATGAAGATGATCAACATACAATATATCATATTTTGGGATATTTTTTATCCACTCTTTCAAAGGCCTGTAAACCGAAAGTCTTCAAGTATACTAACATGATTGATGTAGACGGTAATGCTCAAGACCCTGGACATGATTTATATTTTACCATGTGAAAGATGAACAGAAATATATATCTTTCTGAAAACCCAAGGTAGCATATCAGTTATAGAGGCTCCGCCTTACTCACAGGATAACTTGTAATACAAGTTCTGGGGGTGTTTCACAAAGATCTTAAGTAGAACTTAACACTAAGTTGGACTTCAAAAATTATGGACAGCCATTGGAGCCTAAAATGAAATATATTCAAAAGCAGAAATTCAAGTATTTCAGACTTTTTATAAATTCCACATCTAGAATATTAAATCTCCTTGATGATAGAAAAATAAATGATTTGAATCAACATTTTATGCCTTTCAAAATAACTTTTACAAAATATTTTCAAAGATGCAACGGCTTTCCATAATTTTAAGTCCAACTTAGAGATAAGTTCAACTTAAGATCTTTTTGGAAACACCCCCCTGAAATTATATTTATGTTCCTATGTATCAATTGTATTGTTTAAACAGATGTCAAATATGTTTTCAAATTGAATGGAGAAAAATAAATGTTAATTTGAATTGAATTGAATTGAATTGAATTAACATTGTACCTGTACATGTTTAATGTGTTTTGTTATTCTTTCTTACAGTTTACAGTCAGTACCTGGCACCAAAGAGAAAGTGACGTTTGATTGCCCCATTGCTGTTGGTACCATCCCATTCAGACAAGGTCCTGCTATCAACCATCACCCTAGCCCTCCTGCTCACCAACCTAGTCCAGGTCCTGGTCTTGGTCCTGACCCAGGAGGTTTCTGTGTAGAGATATCCACTCATATAGACTGGCCCTCCAGAGACTTTGGTCCCCTTACTTACCTAGCACCTAACCCCTACCCGTCCTGCGCACCCCCAAAGTACCCCGGTGGACCTCTACCAGAAGGGCCTAACCTTCCCAGCGCACCCCCGCTACCAGAGTACGAATCCGGGTCGGGGACGTTTATGGCATCCAAAGGATGGCAATCACACCCCTTCGGAATGCCCTGATCTACCAGAGTTCCCCAAGTCGGCCTCCGAAGGCAGGATCAATGGGTGCCTTCCTACCAGCTGGGTTTTGACGATGCGGGGATCCATCCTCGAGCCCCGCCCGTCGCTCCCAAGCCCGCCTCACCGAGGACAAGTCGGTCTTCTCCTTCTACTCCTAATGGTAACCCCCTCAGACCGACTAGACCTGCTCCTAAGATAGCGAAAGGCAGAAAGCAAGGCTCTCCTCAGTTACCTCCGCCAAATATCTTACAGGGTCGTCACATCTTTCAGGAAGGAGGGAATGGTGAGTTCAATGATAGAAATATTTGTTGGATCGATTGCTGAATGGTCCCTTAACATACATTTAGATTTGTAAACAATTTGGTTAAAACATGAACTTTCAGGGTTCTTCCTTCTATTTTATTTGATTGTTTTAAATCATTAAATTAATTACAAAAAATATCAAGTTTAAAACTAAAAATTAAAGTTGATAGGTACAACATAGTATATATATATATATATATCTATATATATATATGAACAGTTATCTACCAATCTCTAAATATCAAAATAGAATTGAGGAGTAGATGTTACATTTTGACAAAGGACGCTTTATTCCTTTTCTCTTTTCCACCTATTTGCCTTCATCACAATGTGTTAATGTGTGTTCACAAAATGCATCGTTCACCATCTTACCATCTTAACCCTTACTGTACTGGGGGGGGGGGGCTGGGAGGCCCCCCTCGACATTTTCGGAGATTGCGCCGCAACCGCTTGAAATTTTGAATTGTCATTTTATGACTTTTTTCCCTCAAGTCTTACGCACGTTTTGATACCATTTTCGTCGCAATCGGATATACCTGTGAGGTGTTACATAACAATTAGTATGCGCATGTGTCATCAAAAATATGCTATAATTGCATATATTCATGTACAAGCAGAAAATGTGAATACAGGTTTAGATGTATTCCTTCCTAAGTGGGTGATATGAATTGATATCGAATTGCTTTTATATGTTTCTCAAAGTAACTTGATGTATTCCAGAACAAAAGAATCATAAGAAATAAAAAACAATAGAATATAAAGAAATAAAAAAACAATAAAATACTAATAAGAAAATAAATATTTGAAAATCGCATCAAATTTGCATAACTTATCATATTAATTACATCCAAAATAAATATTTGTGTTAGAAAAGAAGTTTCATATGAATAATGAGTTTCAACGTTCAAAAAGTGAAGTTTGACACGTTTTCTGTAAAATGCATAAAATTAGCATTTTGCATAATTAATTAGGCTATAACGACAAAAAATTGCATATTCACAAAAAACTAATTACACCATCTTGTTCGTACGTAAATATCTACAAACATGCAAATTTTCGTTTCATGACAACGACCGCACGAGATAGCCGAGATCATAGGGGGGGGCCTCCCAGGTCCCCCCCCCCCCCCCCCCCCCCCCAGTCAGGAGGTGCTCAAAATAGCCCAGTACAGTAAGGTTAAAGTAAAGACCAGTATTGGAAACGCCCCAATTTCAAAAATGAAATTGAAGCTCTCATTACCAATCATGTGAAAGAATATGTTGTTGACTAATACATGATGATAAAAAATTTGCCGGGAAACCGCCCCTACTAATCATATATTTGGTAAATTTGTTTCTCTCATGGTCTAGTCCCATATACATCTTTCTGTGTATAGTGCTTGTAACTTTATGAAGAATAGGCCAAATTTCTTATCATTTTGACGATTCCAGAACCTTGCAGATGCTAGATGCTAGATGATCAACCTTTTCTGATCGATTCCACAACGTTTCTTTCACAATGCAATCGCATGACCATAATGGTCTTACCTTTAAATTGAGTACATGTGCATGTCCATGTTGCTATATTGTTTTTACATAATAATAATAATAATACAGGTAATATTGTGTATGATTTCTTTTGATTTAAATCATTCACGCATAGATACTATCAGTGATGTCATTTTCCTTTTCAAAATTCCTTCCACAGACTGTGCTCATGCCTATGCGGAGTGCATCTTTTCGTCAGGTGATCACGAGATGGAGGAGAAGTGGAGGAGAGGAGGAGGGGAGGGGAGGAGGAAGGGTGGAAGAGTATGATGATGATGTTGAAGATCAGGATCCAGACTGCTATACCTATGTTCCAATCTATGCCTACTCCATGCCAAATCTTCAAGCCAACGGAACAAGTGTTTTTTTTAATAAAATAATATTCTGCTTTTACATAGCGCTAATACGATGTCTCTAAGCTCTCTACAGATATACTATTACCCCTGTCATTGGATTCAATGCTTGCCCGCACACATTGTCGCACAATCTTCACTCCCTAGGGAGTATTCCAGCCTGGCGTTACTTGACGCTCAAAACTGTTTGACCAACAATGATGGTCGCATCCTACCTGGTACCATTTAACACCTGGGTGGAGAGTAGCAAGTGCAGGTTAATATCTTGCCAAAGGATATTAGTGCCATGTCGGGATTCGAACCCTCGACCTTCGCATCTCCAGTCAAGTGCCTTTAACCACTCGGCCACTACACTCCCACATTTAACCCACTCAAAGGGGAGGTCCACCCGATACATTACATGAATGTAGTTGCTTTTAAGGTACTATGTCCCATTTGCAGGCCAAAAAAATGAAAAGGTTAAATTCCAACGGCGTTTGAAAGAAAATATTAATTTAGAACTTCCCTAAAAACAAGGGGGCTTGAAAATGTTTTGAAGTGGGGAAATAACGACTATTAGTTGTCAAATCGACTTAGGAGCTATAGAGCCAGTAAGTAATAGTCAGACCATTTTCAGACCATTGTACTGAATGGTGTTTTTTTATGCTGCGCAAAGATTCAATCAGTTTAATTTTGGCCATTACAAGAAGTTGGTTATGATGTAGACAAATGCTCATGTACCCTTTACAGCTCATTGTATGTATGTTATTACCAAAGATGAAAAAAGTCAGTCACTCAATAGTGTCTGACAGTGAATTCTAGCAAGTAAATGGGTTTCCTTGCATAATTGAATATTAGGACACTGCAAGTGTTTAAATTTCACAGATAGGACATACATGACATATTCATAATTCCTGCAAAGTTCTACAGAATTTGATATTGGCTGCAAAAGGGACATAGTATCATTAAGAGGAGCAGAAAAATGAAAATAACAAATTATTGAAAGTTTGAGCATAATTTGGTATAATAATAATAATAGAAAAAGGGGTTCCATGTCGCTAAACTGTCTTCAAAACATGAGCTTAGAATATTTGTTGATGTCGATGCATAAATATGCACTCGCATGGAATAAACCTGTTGAATAAACCTTGCGCAATGAAATCAAGTCAGGCTTGGGTTCCATGTGCAGTGTTTTACATTGATGTTCTTAGATTTTGGGGTGCCTTTTCGGTTGAAAATAACAATTTTTTTTTTTTTTTTTTGGCTTTTGAGTATTTATGATATGCTAAAAATTGATTTAAATGGAGGCATGATTAGGTTGCTCCCTTAAAATTTGCCAGCTTATATTTTAGACTACTTGAGGAATCCCTCTGCCTAGAATTGAAATGAGTACCCCCCCCCCCCCCCCCCTAGCCCCCTCCCCACAACCACCATCACCATCCAGACTTTGACATGATACAAGGATACATATTGATAAATCTTCAAAAGATATTGTAAGTTTTACATGTTGATTCAAAACTAAACAAAATTTAGTGTTAAACCTGGAAAGATGGCCCCAAATTAAATGGAAGGGTGGAACAGATTTATAAATAATACTTCAGTATTGCTAAATCTTGGGTAGTGATCTGATTGCAGGGCCCTGAGGGAGAACAGTGTTAACAGTGATGAGGCTACCCTGGGTAAACAAGACATATTTTTCTTATAAGTAGTAGAAGTAGTAGTGTCGGCCTGTGATGAAAGTGTGCAGACTTTTCATCAATTTATAAATAATATTGAATCAAATAATATTTAGCTATTCTTGAATCTAATATTTAAAGCCCATCTGCACTAGTTTGGCCAGGAGGGATAAGATCTCAATGCATGGTCACTGACAAGTGGTAATCTCATCAAATCAGCTCTCAATAACGTAAGAAAAAGGGGACCAAGGGGGATTACTGGGTACCGCTTATAGGCATTGTTGGCTATATAAAGGGCGCGAGTAGCCACAAGTAGTGCAGTCCTGCTATAAAGGCTATCTGCACTAGTTTGGCCAGGAGGGATTAGACCTCCCTGCATGGTCACTGTCAGGTGGTTATCTCATCAAATCAGCTCTCAATTAACATAAAAAAGGGGACCATGGGGATCAACGGGTACCGCTTAGGCATTGTTGGCTATATAGACGGCGCACGTCTTTCGGATGGTGACGTTAAAAGTCGGTCCCCAGACGTAAATAATCATATCTGATTGTTATACGTCTGTAAAAACCCAATTACACACACACCCACACACGCATTCTCACATCAGGGCCTTTGTGGGGCACCTGATTATGGGGTATTTCTGTGCGTTCCAGATATACCTTGTGGTCCCCTACTAGTGGGGTATGTACAACCTGGCGATAAACAACCCGGCGGTGTGCTTACGATGTTACCATAAAAAGTGTGCAAGTTTTAGCACACGCTCACAAAATGTCATTTATGGGGTACCACTTCTAATGCCCCGCAGGGCATAGGACACCGAATATACAGTCATTTGAAAGACTTTACTCTGTGGGGTCCTGAAAAAAATACCCCACAAAGTAAAAATGCCTCACAAGGGGTATGTGAAGCGCACATAAAACCCCACAAAAATGCTGAGGTGAGAGCACACACACAACACACAAAAAGTAGTGCAGTCAGGCTTTAAGCTATTGTAAAATGCTTTACAAAAAATGTAATGAAGACTTTCTATTTTCAGATTTTTTTACACGTCTTTCTTATGAGTGAGGCATCTGCTCTAATATGAGGTGTTAATACTTACACTTGTATAATGTGTGCATATTTTTATGTATCAAGCTCAATATTGTATGTAATGTCAGTACTAATATGTTAAAAACATATGTTGTAAAGAATTAACGAGTCAATTTGACATATTTCATTAGAATCTGAATATATATCTGTATGATGCTACTTAAATCAATATTTTTCTACAAATAATTCTATCTCATGCTTTTTATTGTGAGTTAACTCTGACTTAGTTGTATTCAAGTCAAATCTTGTATGTGGATGCATATATCATCCTTATATATCCACATGTTCTTGTAAATCTTTAGCCAGAGAGTTTTAGCACTTACTACAGTTATATAATTGTAAATCGATGAAATGATAATGCTAAGATGGTTGGACTTTCGTTTTATTGTATATGAAGAAAAGTTTAAATATATTTCAAGGTATGGGCAATAAAATGTACTCAGAGTGCAATGCAATTTTTTTAATGAATAGTATATCAGATTGTAGTTTATATAAAAGTCTATAATGTCCTATTCGAATAAAGTCATTTTTGGAAATAATGATGTACTTCTTGAAAGAATTGTATTGACATTGCTATGATTATACATTTATCTGTAGTATGAGCAAAATATAAAGATAAAAGTTGCAAGCTGAAAAGAACCTTCTGTTCCTTTTAGACATTTTGCAATCAGTGGCAAATGTCTAGGATAATTTTTTTAGAGAGGAAGGAGGGGGGGGGGGGAGGGATGTAGCAAAAATAAGGCGGTGCTGTGGTAAAAATGATGTACTCTCATATATTTCAAGCCGGGCTTTGCCTATAATTATTTGCTCTGTGATGTGTGTGTGTGTGTGTGTGTGTGAGTGGGGAGGGGGGGGGGGGGGGGTTAGCAATAACAATCAAGTATTTGAAATAGACATATGAAGGGCAAAAAGGATTTTGTTGGGTGAGGAGAAGGCCGGGCGGGCAGACTGGCATTTCCCATGGGTTGACATTTTTATTCTACTAAACATAAATACAGATATATTTGTAAATACAGAAAGGTCATTTAATGTATATGCTCTTAACAACTCTATTAAGCTAGCCAGTTTATATTATATTATTTTGCAGCAAGATAGGTTTTGCTGAATGATCTGTACATTTTGAACTTTTATATTTACATTTAACACTATTTTATGTGTTTCCATTAATGCACTACTTGAATGTGTGGTATGATGTGGAATCATGTTGATTTACAAAGGATTTACTATGTATATTTTGTTTTGTCTGTGTACAGCTATATAACATGAATATTAAAATATATCTCTTCTGAGTATCTTCCATGTAACATTTTGTTCTTATTCAATATTTGACTTGCTTTGGTCGACTGATGGAACAAACACTAGACTGCAACAATTAACCTTTGCCAAGCATGCAGCGTATATTAACCATCAGAAAAATAATCTCACTGCTTGGAGGAGGTTTTTTTAAAATATATTTTGTTGTTTCAGTTTGACTAGAAGGATTTGGTAGTTTTAGCAGAAAATAACCCTGAACCGATTTCCGGTCTACTATACCATATACTCCAAATAATGTGACAGTTTTTTGCCCATTGTTGGTGAAGATTTAAGAGGTGGTTCAGGGTTCTTTGTGTTATTTTTTCACTTGACTGTAGTATATGGGATGCAGTTCATGTATTTTTAGAATGCATTTTCCTTGCAAGGTTTAATTTGCTATATATAGCAATGGTATTGCCTATTTCTGCAGAGAAGAAAATATAGAGAAACAAGGGTGATCCATTAAGCTGAAAATGGAAAGATATGATCTTGTATGAAAAGAAGAGATGATTACACGAAGATGGGGAGTGAGGGTAGAGGGAAAGAGAGAGGTATTAAGGTCAAAGGAGGAGAAAGTTGACAAAAAGAGAGGAGGAGGGGAGAGTTGACAAAGAGAAGAGAGAGAGAGAGAGAGAGAGAGAGAGCGAGGAGGGGTGGAGAGTAGAGGGAGGAGAGAGAGAGAGAGAGAGAGAAGAGTGGGGGAGGGAGAAAAAAGTTGACAAATGAGAGAGAGATTCAAGATTCAAGATTCAAGATGTATTTATTTCTTTCCACTTGCATACAAAAACATTTCATTCAGTAACAGTAGTAACAAGTTCATCGTAAACTAGCATAAATACATTAACAATGAAACAGTTATAAAGACTTTAACAAATGTGGAAAAAGAGGTGGTCTGTTAAAAAAGCACAGCTTGTTAAAACACAGATCACCTTTACAGAAACAACATTTTTTTTTTTAAGTAGGTTATATTACAGGGGGAGGGGGACTAATACTAAACTAGTTACCTATACAGACTATAAATAAATATCAGATCTACCACTATTTTACAAAATATTTTACGAGAGAGAGAGAGAGGAGATTGTGTGAGGAAGAGGATATATATGACGGAGAAAGAGAGAGAGAGAGAGAGAGAGAGAAGCATGAAGGAATGTGAGAGAGCGATGAGAACCACAGAGGAAATGAGTGAGAGGAGAATGACAAAGTGAGAGAGAAAGAGAGAGAGAGAGAGAGAGAGAGAGAGAGAGAGGGAGAGGGAAAACAGAGTGGGGAGGCAACATACAGAAAATTAATAATAAAATAAATAATTTAAAACGGTGTGATAATGCATGTCACTCAAAAGGAAAATGCATACTTTATGGGAAATGATAATCTCTTGGCTGTTTCAATCAATTGCTTTCTTACTTCGGCATACCGCATTCAGCCCGGGAGTAACATGGGGGACTGCCCTTATTAGTGAAATGGCAAAAACACAATTATCCTCCTTTCTCTCTTGGCTTGGGGTTCAACGAAAAAAAAAAAACCGAGGTCAAAAGGTCTACCCCGTCGAGGCGTCAGCCATAGTGTGCCAAGTTCGGGGCCATGTTCATTTCGCGGTTAATACCAGTGTTTTCAAGCTACTTAACTGTGAATTGGATTTTCCAAATGGAAAAGTAACGCGGGTCATGGGAACGTCACACCCTTAGCATGTAAAAACGAGAAAGAAGACATGGGGGGGGGGGGGGGGTAGCTCTCATGTTTCTGTCGAGCCATAATTTCAATGATGCTAAAATCTGAAGACCTTTCTTTGCGCTCTCATTACTGGTAAATACGATCACATCTTTCTCTCTCTCTCTCTCTCTCCCTCCCTCTCGATATCTCCCTCTCCCTCTCTTTCCCTCTATATATACCCCCCTCTCTCTCTCTCTCTCTCTCTCTCTCTCTCTCTCTCTCCTCCCTTTACCTCTTTCCCTCTTCTGTCTCAATCCCCCTCTCCCATCTCTCTCAAAGATTTCGTATTACTCTCTCTAGAATGGCACAAAAGGCCTTTCCCCCAGGCCAGTAATTATGTCGACCTCTTAAAACCTCAAACAAAACCTTCAATTTAAGGTTCAAAAGGCACATCAGAATTTCTTTTTTTTAATTTCCTTTTGATGGGGAACAATTTGAAAAAAAGCATTAAAAAGAACCATGTGGCATTTTATTGGAAATTATATTTTCGGCTAGCCAGAGAATTTTGGCAATATTATACATTTTTAATCGGATGACCTGTTCTTCTTTTTTAATGCCCCCGGCAACACCCCCCCCCCCCCTCCACTTTACAAGTCCTGGATCCACCTCCTGGTAACCGGTTATGCTAGCTTGGTATCATACTTCCTTGAACACAATAACAGGAGGCCAGTCACGCGAATGTTCTCTGGAGTAGTCGTGTGGTGTGATAAACTGCCAATTGAAGTACTATCAATCAGTCAGCTCAAGGACTAGCTATCGTAGTAGGCCCATGCATGCTCAGCTCCACTGAATAGTGAGAGTCCACCACGCCTACTGGTATAGCTTCTAAACATTACCGTTACATTGAGTGCAGTATTTTGCACGTCTAGTCGTTGTCTCGTTTCGCCTCATTTTTCAGCGCAAGCGTGCGGTAAGTTTCTTAATTATATGCCTACTTGATTATGCTATGACATACATGTACTTTATCAGTACACCAGCTTGAATTATAGTGTATTTTGCTAAATGTTCGTAAATTTGTAACTATTTGGCAGACATCCAATGATATGATCCATGTTGTTAATAGTCATAATTGCATGAAAGTGTACACTCAACTATACAATGTAGGCCTAACTATATGACGGTAAAGGGAAAACAATCCATAAGCATCGGGATATAATTTGGAATTATTCCAAACAAGTCATGGAGATGTTAGATCCTTTAAAAATATGCAGTGCGGTGAAATTATGCACTATTATTCAAATCCTATAAAACTCATCATACTTTTTTCACAATGGCAATATTTTGCTTAACCCCGTACTATAGGTGGGGTTAAGGGGGGGTCTTAGCCCCACCTATAGTACGGGGTTAAGCCTATTCCACTTTCTGTTCAGACTGGTTTTTACCAAAGTGGGCTAAAGTTGGCTAACCCCACCTATAGTACGGGGTTAACTAACCCTGCAAAATAGCAGGGCTAACTCCGCAATTGTGGTGCTAACTCCTGCTAACCCCGCAATTGCGGTGCTAAGCAAATGAATGAGAACAGAAACGAAAAATAGTCATAAGCAATGGAGCGTATCGCAGCTGGCCAGATGCGAAGTGTGTCCAATAATAACATTCACGATATCCGGGGTTAACGAAATGCAGTGAGAACAGCTGGAATTTTCTTATTCCGGAATAGGCGCTAGTACGGGACTAAAAACAGCGAGTGTGAAAAGCCAAAAAAAATAGTCCGGGGTTAAGGATAGTACGGGGCTAAGCAAAGTACGGGGTTAAGCAAAACCAGTGTGAAAAGAGTATGCGAATTGCGATATTTCCAAATGAATATACAACAAAAAGATACCGGTCACGTCCTTTCAGGGTTTTCATCTTTTAAGATGTTCAGAGATTTGAAGCAAATCGTCTGCTCAGAGGCAGAAAGGCATTAACTCATATCACTGAGCACAGAGGGAACGCCCTTCTGGTTCTCAACAGACGAATTCCTCTTAAATTTAAAGCGATTTGAAAGTGCCTTAACCTATGTCTACTAATGAGGGCAGACGTGGTGTATCAATTATAGGAGAATGAAATGCAAAAGGGTGTCGTATTGATAATGTTATCTTATCGAGATATTCTCCATGTCTCTCTCTCTCTCTTTCTTTCTACCTCTTTCGTTTTCTGGCATTCCTGTTAGGGGGGGGGGGGGGGGCGTGCCCTAATTAATATACTACTATAGGCTATCACCCGAATGGCCAGAAAAAGCAATTTTTCAAAATAATGTATGTACAACTATATATTAAATTAGATATTTCTGCAACATTATGATGTCTATATTTTTGTTAAACTATTCCTAATCGTTATAACGGCTACCTGCTACTAACAACGTGACATTGAACAAACAATATTTAGGAGGGGTGCGTACGAGGTGTGCCTTGAGTTAAAGTTTCGTAAATAATGCACGAATTCAATATTGAGAGAAGAAAAAAACGTATAGCTCTTTGTAGAAAAACAATAGAGCTCTTATTATTGCAAGGGCAGTTCTGCTACACTACCCTACAGATGAGCTATTGTGTACTGGATACCGCGGAAACAGGATGTTTCCTAATATCCACGTATTTTAAAAATATGGGTTTAAGACGGAAAGGAGTCATAATGGTTAGTCCTATCATGGTCCTGTATAGTGCTTTACTGACTCCACAAAACAATTTTGATAACACCACAAACGATAACACCGCAAACGATAATGACACAGTGGTTTACAGTCTAACAAGATGTGTGTTTGTGGGTGTGCGATATATGTGTGCGTGTGCATGTATGTTGGTTCATGTGATTTGGTTGCTTGTAACTAGGGGCCTATAATAGTTTTATGTTTCATTTGGAACGGGGGGGGGGGGGGAGCTCTTGGAATATAAGATTGCGCAAAATATGTTCACAGCGTGGAAACTTTTGTTGTGGTGTGTGATAGGATGTGTTTTGGGGTGTGTGTTTTGTCTTGTGTGTATGGATGTGGTGTGTGTGTTTTTGTGATTGTGTGAGGGAGGGGGACCTGGGAGTACCAGTAAAATAACCTCCATTTTTAAAAGTTTTTTTAATATATATGATTTTTTGTTGTTGTTATTATAAGTGAATAATATGTACAATTGACTTCTAACTTGTTTATGTACTCTAAGTTTACTTTCAATTTTTGCATTATAATGCATATGAGTTTTGTTTAATTATGTTTATGTATAAGCAATCAATATTGAAAACGTTTATTTATTTTATTCAATTGTATGTTTGTATTACACTATTGGAGGAATAAAACAAAATTATTATTAAAAAAAAAAAAAAAAAAAAAAATGTATGGGTGTGTGCGTGCGAGTGTGTTTGTCGAGTGAGAATCAAAGCAAAATAGTCCTCACTATAAATGAAAATTTTTCATTCACATTCATTTGTATGGAGCAAGAAGTATGTTAATTCATATACTTTAAAGGTACTATGTCCCATTTGACAGGCCAAAAAAAATGAAAAAGTTAAATTCCAACTGCATTTGAAAGATAATACTAATTTAGAACTTCCCTAAAAAAGGTGGGGCTTGAAAATGTTTTCAAGTGGGAAAATAACGACTATTAGTTGTCAAATCGACTTTAGGGCTATAGAGCCCAAAAGTAATAGTCTTGATTTTCAGACAATCGTACCGAATAGTCATACGTTTTATGCTGAGCAAAGATTCAACCAGTTAATCTTGGCCATCACAAGAAGCGGGTTATTGATGTAGACAAATGCTCATGTACCCTTTACAACTCTTTTCATGTATGTTATTACCAAAGAAGAAAAAAGCCAATCAGTCACTCAATAGTGTCTGACAGTGAAGTCTAGCAAGTAAACGGGTTTCCTTGCATAATTTGAATATGAGGACACTGCTAACGTTTAAATTTCACAGATAGGACATACATGACATATTCATAATTCCTGCAAAATTCTACAGAATTTGAGGTTGGCTGCAAAAGGGACATAGTACCTTTAATATAGAGTTAAAGCCTTTCTGGCTTTGAAGAGTATAGAAATAATAAACATCAGTGAAGGCATTAGTAACATTTACCCACACAATAGTGCGGTATGGTATGTAATCCCGTAGGATTTTTGTGCCAAAGTTAATTTTGTTGCTGTTTTGGCTTCAAAAGGGTCCTAATTGGCCCAAAATGATGGGGTGCAAATTTTCAGACCCCTTCTTCATTTCCTGGGGGGTCCTAGACCGGGAGCCGGGGGGGGGGGGGGGGGGGGGGGGGGTCAACCTAGCTGGGATGGAAACCAATTTTCATGAGCACAGATGTAAAGATCGCATAGCTCCACATAACAAATTGACCGTCTGACATGTTCTAAGTGGTGGTGTGGCCAGGGGGACGCCCCAACCGAAAAAGTGGCCCTTTTGACGACAAAATAGTATTATGTAAATAATATTTTAAGGAAACCTTGAACCACCATGAGTTTGGTGTCATATAAAAGAGAGTTAAATTATCTACATTTTGATTTAAATTTCAAAGAATTTGGGATTAATTAACATCGCAAATTTAAGTAAAAACATGATTTTGTGATCATATGGCTCCGTTTAGTCTCATTTCACAACGCCCCCTATCGTCAGAGCATGATCAGATTCAGCAGCCTAACATGTTAGCCTATGGACGTTTTTAAAAAAAAATCGTTAAAAATTCATTTATTGTTTAAACGAAAAGCACATCCACCCCGACGTACGTTATCACTAGCTCTTTCATTGGAGCCCTCATGTCTCATTGACTTTTGAAAGTTCACCCACCGTAATTTTTCAAAATAGGTTGCAAGCTCGTCATTGCCTATAATACACATGTGAAACAAGTCTAACTTTGGACTCGGTTTACCAAGCGATTTGAAGATTATAGGTCGAGCACACGAAACATAAAAAGCATGAATTATCATAGATCACTTCTGCCTATTTCGTTTTGTCCATTTCATCCAACCCCCACCGTAAATTTTCCATTTAGTAAAAGCAAACATTTTGCCGAGTTTAGCAAAAACATGAATATTCATGAACGGTCAGACAATACAGCCTTTTAGTACGTAACGTATAGTGAATGGGAATGTGCGATGATCCGTGTAGGAGGTAGAGGTCAGTGGTTTGAGCTGGCAATGTTCACGCGAGCGAAAATGAGACAATCGGAGCAATATGTTTTTTCGAAAAATTGAATTTTATCAAAAAACATTATTTTCCATATATCAAAATCGGAGAATTGCATTTTTTCATAACTTTCCAGGAATTTGCTTATGTACAACGACAATATCCTGTGCGAGGGAGAGGTTTATATATCATTTCAATAAAAATTTATAGCAATCCAAAGTTATTGATTTGATTTCCACAAAAACAACATTTGGCCACATGTGTATTAACTGTATGCATAAACGTGCATAAGTGTATTAAGGACCTGTTTGGTGTGTTTACATCGAGTTTTTAAGATAACTTTGAACTAAAACCTCTAATCACCATGTATTTGATGTCTAAAGATGGATAATTAAAATACCTTCATTCTGATATCAATTTCAATGAGTGATGTAGTGTGTGAAATATAAATTTTGAGCCAAAAAGGTGCTTTATTGTGGATATTGATTTTTGCCAGTATATCGGTATATCAACTGGACAAAAGTGATTAGACATTTAGTAGTGCAGAAAGTTCAAAGGATTTTAGAGCCCTGAGTTCAATTGATAAGTTCTTCTCCTGTCGTCTAGGACCCCAGGAAATGAAGGAGGGGTTTGAAAATTTGCACCCCATCATTTTTGGCTAATTGGGACCCTTTTGAAGCCAAAACAGCAAAAAAAAATCAACTTTGGCACACAAATCCTACGGGAGCTGTTTCAGTGACATATCGTACCACACTACAAGGTACCTTTGGAACAGTCGAACACGCCCGAGATGATAGCCGAAGGTGTTCGGGCTGTTTTGAAGGTACCGAGTGTGGATAATATTACTTATGCCCGAACAAAGTGATGTGTATTATTTGTTTTATAAGATGATGTTTTATTTGTTTGATAACATGATTTAACTATTGACCGGTCATTAGCACTTACTAATAACCGGGCATTAGTAAAATCAGGTGTGAGGCAAAATAAATGACTGGTCACGTGTACGCTCGCAACTAATCATTTTTGATTAGGATCCGCTTCATCATCTTATAAAATCATTTATTCAATCGATATGGAGACTGATTACTTTTAAAAGGTTCTTTTCAATCCTGAAACAGAATTGGAGTAACTAATAAACGAATTCACACCAGGCAAAAAATTAAAAAGTTTCTTTTTTATTCGCAGGTTAAGAATATCCAGCATGACTCGAGGAAGACTCTCAAAAGTTGAACGAAAGTCGATGGTATGCATCTCCCTAACCGTTCTCCTCGCTATGCTGCTGATGGTGTGTACAACGCAGCGAAAGATGATGTCTTCGGACCTTGAGGATTCTTCCCGACTCCGCCGTTCTCTGTCGGATAATGACATGCTGCTCAATAACAATGACACACTGTTCAGCTTGCCATGTACTCAAGAACTGGTGCTCGGGAACGGAACGGTAGGGGCCATAGTGACAAGAGTCAATGTAACCAACGATTATGTCAGCCTAGTCCGAATCAACATCACTTTCACCGATGACAATCTACCGGACGACTCGGAACAGAGTAACCCATCGATCTGGCACTGGGGCTTAGGAGGAAGAGGTCGAACTCTACTCAATTTCCCTTACGACAATAAATCCTTGTCTCTGAACACCTTGAGTTATGGATTGCACACGGTCTATATCACGATTAACAACAGTGAGTCACTAAACGATTCCTACTCTGATACTTGCTTGGGATACACCTTGTCCAAACTGGTACGGAAAGTTAGACTGCAATTACAGATTTCAGGTGTTGTTTTAGAGGATGCCACAGACGACGTCTTGTGCAAAGAAAGGTACCTGAACGCGCCAGCGTTTCGAGCCACGTCGATCCCGGGATATAGTCTGTTTGATCTGCAATCGAGCACCTACTACGAATGTTGGAGTATAATGAATATCAAGACATGTGACCAGGACAATTGCTTAAATTATCCTTCCTTTCCTATCTACTGTACTATAGTAAATATAGCTTTTGGGATTACGTACATACTGATCTTCTTGGCCCTCATCTATGAGCTGTGGGTTATCTACTCTGGAGCTTTTAACTACCAGGATGAAGACTTCGGAGATACATTTACTGTCAACATCTTACGAATCAATCTGATCCCACCCATTTTGCTCATGCTTGCTTCGAATAATCCACGGCATCACAAAATATTCTACATGACATACAGGGCCGTGATTTACGCTATACCGTTCATTATTTATTTCGTTGCCTTCCTGTGGTACGTCACCAGGGTTGAGGAATATACATACCGGAGCTACCTACGTGGAGGGATGTTCACGCAGACCAATGCCTGGGGTCTCGATTTTGCATTAGCAAACATCTTGTACATCGATGGAGCTATTGTGTACTTGTACTTTATTCACAAGTACCGCGTCGGGAACCAAGTTCAGGTTATTGAGGAACCGTACGATTGGAAGAGCAAGAAAGTGAGGCTCTTCTGGTATACTGCAGTGGCAGTTCTTTGTTTCTTCCGGTTCTCTGCGACGGCTATGTTGTTGGTCGAGATTGTGGTTTTAACTGTCATTGGGATAAGTATCAATATCAGGTATGGAAGCCCCATCTGGGTCAATGTCATCATTGGTACGTTTTTCCTGTTCGCAAACATCATGCAATTCTTCGACAGCTACCAATTCCTCTTCACCAAGATCTACTCTGTTGGAACAAAAGTGGACAAGGATGATTACCCGAATAAATTCTTTGAGCAAACCAATGACGGATCACCACAACTGGTATTCAAGATCAAATCTAGTCTTCTTCGTGACATCATCCGGAAATGGCTACCTTTACATAGCCATCTCTTATATACCATCATGTACATCATCGTCGGATTCGCATTTCTCGCCGTTATCGCCGTCGTCGTTGTCTTCATAGACCGAACCACCCAAGTCACTTCATTCGTCGAATACGTGATCACGGCAGTACCCTTTGTTTTCGCAGCCATAGGGAAGTTTGGAGGAAGTGCTCTCACCGCTGGTGGGAGGGCCAAGAACCGTGCACAGGACAAAATTTTAATACTCGAACAGGATTTCAGAGAGTATGCTCAAACAGGTAAGGGATTCCTCAATTTGAAAGACATAACTGAAATTAACAAATCTATATAAAATTAAAGTTATATGCAGAGAAGATAATTAGTAAAACCACCCGGATGCCCTACAAGTTGTATATAAATGGATCAGCATTGTCAACATTTAAAATACAAAAGCTTCTTTATCATTTATTTATTTAATCAAAGTTTCCATACTCTTTTTATTTAAAAGTAGATTTGTTATTTGTTTTCTTCAGTCTTCTTTAAAATACAGGGTAGTCCCTTAATCTGAGTCGCAAGGCCTGCCGTTTCCAAGGGAGCCCTGTAGGCAAGTGAAAAAGTACATGGTAAAAATTGAAGATCTGTTATTAGTGGAACATGCAATACTCTAAAAGACATAGTGGCTTAGTGGATCCTGAACATTATGATGTGAACATTTGTAAGTAGGTCTGAACCTTTTGTTTCTTCCATGTAAAATCAGGTGAATTCCCGCCGCATGAGGCTCGTTGCTGGACGTCATTCCAGAGGTGGGTATCATGGCTTCTATGCTGTTCAGAAGAACCAGATCAGCAGGATCTAGACCAGGGCCAGACACAGGACCAAGCTCCTGCCGCTCCTGCTGGATCCGTCAATCAGTCTACGAACCCACCCGAGGGATCAGCTGCAGATCAAGGTACACCTCCGACGTCGGCCAGCAGAAGCGTCCCACCGCGAGACATGGCCGGGGATGCCGGGGACAGAACCTCAGCTGCTGCTTCTTTGCTGTCGTCATCGGAAGTGCTAGATCCACCGTCACCCTCTTCTCCTTTGATAGAAACCCATGTTCAGTTAGGGCCAGAAGATGACCCCAGGGAAGGGGCTGAGCGTAGCAAAGAGATTTCATTGTAAAAACACCACTGAACGTAAAATGTGTTGAGGGTTTCTAAAAAAAAGTTGAGGGCGCTGCAATTATGATAATAATAATAATAGCTCACATTTATAATGAGCCTAATACTTTGTTTCTAGGGGCAGCACATATTATTGCCCCGGTCATCGGATTCAGGCCTTACCCGCAACACAATGTATGCACATTTTCCACTCCCTGGGGAGCAAAACACCATCAGTACCCATTCACACATCGGCGGAGAGTGGCAAATGTGGATTAATGTCTTACTAAAGGGTGTTAGTTTTAGGGTGGGATTCGATCCCTCGGTCCCTGGATTAAGTGTCAAGTCTTCATGTTTCTATGTAAAAATTAGCAATGATGATAATATACAACTCTCGTTAAATGACCGTTATCATTTGCATCACTCATTATCCATTTTGATAATTAAGTAATAATAGTAATAATACACAACATTTATCAGGCGCTTAATATGGTTGTTTCTATAAAGCGCACCGTTGTCTCTCTACAAATTACTAACCAAAACTTCCAATGAACACACGAATTATAAATCTGTTCTTTTTCAGTTAATCATGCAGATATGATAATGAAAATGAGATCAAACATAAGATCAATCATACAAGGAATACGTTGGTGTACACCTCCTTTGACCGACTTTCAACTGAGCCCATGTAGAATATCATTCATGACTTAAAATGGTGCGTTTTCATCAAGGTCTTAAACTGATCAAGGGAAGGAGTATCATGAATATGCGCTGGTAAATTGTCCAAAAGAATAGAGGCATTTACTGAAAAAAGCTCGATCGCCATATCTTGTAACAAAACGAGGTCCAAGTGTTTACTTTAAAGTTGATAATGATCGAAGAGGTCTTAAAGACCTAGACCAACATAAGGAAATCAAATCCGAAAGATATTTAGGGACTTGTCCATGGAGAATTTTGTATGTCAAAAGAAGAACTTTAAATGTTATACGATGGTGTAAATATGGGAAGCCAATGACGAGAATGCAATATTGGGGTATGTGCTTTAATTTTCTCGAGAGAGTAATACGCCTTACAGCAGCATCATTCTCAGCATTTACGAGTGGAAAATATACATTGCATTTTGAATTGAATTGAATGTTATGTTTAATCATGTTAATGGACTCGCATTTCTAATAAGTATGTTTTGTAAATCTTTTTTAATTTGGTGATGATATAAATCAAATCAATGTAGATTAGATAATAGGAAATGGATTGAAACTGAAATGCATTTGTTGACCACACACTCGTCTTTGACAGACACATCGGATTCTAAAACACGCCGTGGAGACGTTGATAAACGCGATCGAAAGTCTAAGGTCCAATGCATTAGTGTGTTTTTATTATCATTTTGTCAAAGCTATTTACAACTTAGTCATTATGTACATTATTACTTCCTGCAATGTTTCAAGATCGTAACATAATTATAAAACTGCATAGACTACCATTAACACAATGAATACCAAGCACTTCATTCTACACATACTACAATTCGCTAACAAAATATTTCTGGACTTTATAATTCTAGGGTTAGTATACTGGTGTCGTTGAAACGTATTATTCATTATGTATGTTATTAATTTCATGTCATTTTTGCAAATTCCATTTGGAGATTTGTCTGGGTAAGATAAAGTAATGTGTTATTTTACTTTCATCATATTATCCTCTTTTGTACCTGGTTTCTTAATAAAACAACTATGGTAAACATGTCAAGATAATTTCAAATTTTCTTTCCTTGAGCAATAATGGAATACAGTCGATTTAAACATGGCACAGAGTTTCATTTCTCATCGTCAAAATAGGAATAATCGATTTAAGTAAACCGCCAATAGACAAAATATGGAATGACTACCCAAGACAACTGTCAACAGGACAATTACCCCTGGATGATTACCATGAGCGCTGTCCACCAGAATAATCTTGGCAACTCCCTCGAAACAGTTTGAGTCAGATTATCTGACGCAATGGAAGGCAATTGAAAATACTGAAAAAGAGAGAAAGAGATTGAGATGGAAAAGAGAGAAAGAGAGAGAGAGAACAGAGACAGACAGAGAGCAGAGACAGAGAGAGAGAGAGAGAGAGAGAGATACGAGAATCGGGAGGAGAGAAGCAAGAGAGAGAGAGAGAGGGAGAGAGAGAGAGAAAGAGAGAGAAAGAGAAAGAGAGAGAGAGAGAGAGAGAGAGAGAGAGGGAGAAACAAAACAAAAAAATAATGCACTGATAATACTAGATTCATAGGCATTATGGATGACACTGGCACACGTCCTAATCCTGAAATGGTGACAGCGTCAATGAGACCAACTCTAGTTTTACAATTAAATAGGACACTAAAGACTGCGTCATTCGCTGACGCGGTACTACGTCAGTACATTGACGCCCCGTGCCCAAATGGGAATTACCGTCCTGAGATTTACACGCTAATTATTATAATCGGGTCTTATAGAGTACAGAAGCTGTGACGTCATACAAATCTAATTTTAGAATTTCTCAATTTTTTCTTCATTTTCCGAAAGAGCATACAAAATAATGTCCAAATGTCGAAAACCAATTGAAAATGTTAAGTATTGGCTGAGATATGACCATCTGAATAAATATACTCCCCATAGGAGCTCAGTGTTATATGCTCTGGCTCCTAACCACTAGGGGCCAGAGCATATACAGTAACACTGAGTTCCCATAGGACATATATTTATTCAGATGGTCATATCTCAGCCAATACATAACATTTTCAATTGGTTTTCGACATTTGGACATTATTTTGTATGCTCTTTCGGAAAATGAAGAAAAAATTGAGAAATTCTAAAATTAGATTTTTGATGACGTCACACTTCACCACTCTATTTAACCAGGGTTTTATCCTCTTCCAGTGGGCCCTGCAATTTGTTTTAATTACCCCAGTAATTTACACAAAGGTACCCATATACACCTAGGTCGAGAATTCCAAAAGTGGATTTACGTCTTGCCATAGGACGTTAGTACCAGGCGGAGACTCTTGGATTGAGAGTCAAGTGAATGAGCCACTATATCACTCACTATACCACGTCATAATCATGCATCGTCACACGAATGCTTCTGCAATTCTTCCCCGAGTCCGTGCCATACTTTGATCTTGGGGATCATCCCGGATGAATTGATTCTGTGTTCGCCAAGGATCGGCAAGAGGTAACTGTCCATAACCCAACGACGTATCGTAATATGTGTTTGCGTCAGGGGCTGTCATTCTATTTGAGAGGAGCGACGCGCTTTCGCCGCGTTCCGACGTTGGCGTCGAATCATACCTCAACCGCGGCGTCGAAGACCTCGGACTGCTCAGCGGAGGTATAACGTGGGCTGGTGACGTTGTTACCGGGTTGGCCATTACCGGAGCACTTTTACCGCTTCGTCTGTCATTAGCCGACGGCAGAGTGTCATACATTGCTCTCGATGTCGGCGACATGGGGCTGTATGACGCCGGTAAGGGGTTACTTGGTAACGTCGCAAAGTTCCCTGCAGCCGGCGACGTTGTTTTACGTTGCCTGTTTTTCTCTGACGTTGGGGAAGTGCTGTACTTTCCTTTTCCTGAGGGTGACCGCGGACTGCAAGACACCGGTAGGACGTTGCTGTCCGATGCGGTATAGTTGGATATGATGGGTAAGTCAGGAAACAGTCTCGCAGGATTTGTTCTTGTTGCTGAAGGGTTGCTTTGAACGGGTTCTACCTCTCTGAAGCCAGATACGGCAATGTCGTATGATGGAGGTGGTGGCACTGACAATAAACGAAAAAAGGAAGAAGTAAAATCAATTTGAAACAAAACACATACATCTTTCTATTTATTATTCATCTTTCTACATGATCTAGTCTTTTTCTCAGGACTACACACACTCAAGAAAAAAAGATTAACAACAGTCCTTTTCAGGACTCCCCAATCCCCACCCCCCTCTCTCTCTCTCTCTCTCTCACATGGTGCAACCGTAAACCTGCTGTATGATCTATGTATATCTCTATCTATGTAAATGTGTATCACTCTATCCATCTATCTTTCTATGTATTCTATTTCATTCTATCCCATCTCAGCATTTCTCATTTCCCCTTTCTTGTAAAGGGAATTCTTTATAGTGACAATCGTGTATACAATTATGATACTTCTCACGTACCCATTCGTTTGAGTTCAGACTGATGCGTGACGGCCATGTTAACCGATGGTCTGCGGATGGTGTTGAGGGCGGCAATGGTACCAATGGATATAGGTAACCTCAATGAACACGCTGGAGTCTCGAACCCTACTATTGCAGAAATCTGTAGATATATGACCGAATTGAAAAAGAAGCATTTATTTTTAATCGGTTTATTTCTGACAAACAATGATTTCTCGTATATTATAAGTTTATGCCATGTTTCTTGATAAATATTTCGAGGCAGTTCCAAATATTTATTTCGTTCATACAATCATGTACATCATTTCAAAGCCTCAAGTCAATTTCAATAGAAAGTTGTGTCGAAGGTAGAAAATAGTTAGCGAACAGTGCAAATGACGTATTGCATAATCAGAACATACTTTCTCAAGGCAATACAATAGGGTATCGAATTGGCCCATAAGTTGATTTTCGAAAGTCGTTAGGATCACGTTCTTTGTAAGTATTTGGTTGTTTAATACAGTTTTTTCATCCCACTATCTCTCTCAAAAGTAAAAAAATACTATACAACATGATTCTTTTACTTTTAATAAAATAAGCCCCTGGTTTATTTTAATTTAGGTTAATGAATGCGGAAAAATGGGCAAATCAACTCAAGCTGATCCTTGCTATAAACATGATAAGTAGTCAATCATTTTTCAAATATCACAAATGATATGAAAGCTAATATAAATACTATACTCAACGTGCAAAAATGCTAAAAATGAACTAGCGATTTGTCTCTCATCATTCAATTACAGGTATAGTGGTTAAAATGTGACACAGTTTAATCTGTTTTAAAACAAAAGCAACAACAACATATGTAAGTGAGCGGGAAGGAGTTGATTACTCTTTCATTATCCATTCACCCAATCTGTGTAAGACATTACCACCAGAGAGTACAATTATAATAAGAATAAATTATGTTGTGAAATTTAGGCAGAAGATGGAGTATGAAAGTTCAAAACATTTACTGTGGATCTGTATGTTTTGTTTTGTTTTGTTTTTTTAATTTTTAAACTTGGAAAGTTCAATCTGTAAATGACCGACCTGAAGTGAATACTCGAGGAAGATATTAGGGCATGTCTCGAAAGCGCAGGGTACGATGGGCGGAACCCTGAAGGCCGTGGGTTCGATCGCCTTCTTCTGATACGACGGGCACCCCTCGATTTCGATCTCCACGATATCATCTCTGATGCGCTTGTCGTCTGTTCGCCATCCCGACTTGGCGAAGAATGTCAACGTCTGGAAGGTTCGAATGAAAATATATTTCAAATCAAATCAGTTTAAATTCCAAATCATTATAACATCACAAATAAATTCGAAAATTTAGACTTACAGGTGTATGCATGTACAATGATGAGATAGTATAGAGATTGATAAAGAAAAGAGAAACGAACAAAAAGAGCCAAGCTGGTAAGTAGTACAGCGCCCATTTGCCAAAATCAATATGTGTTAACATGATCGATAAGACTTTCAAGAGCATGTTTTAAATTCCATCAGATCTCAAGTTATGGATTATGTAACATGCTATTGTAATATGATCCCACGTTTCACACGGTGATACATGAGGCTATTATAATTGCCTTAGGTTGATTTGTTATAAGTCTTTGCGATCAAATTTGTAACATTATCCTTTGTTACAGTTCAAGCATTACATAATATTTTGGATGAAAAAAGTATGAATATTTCATACTATCCATTAACCACCTATTTAACGATTCAGATTTTGTTTTCTTTCAAACAGTGATGTAGCACTGATCAAGACATTGAAAGGGCACTAGTGTTGGGGAGGGCCATCGGTCGTACAAGGCGGATCAAAAGCGAAATAGGCTATCGATTGGGATAGGGTGTGGATAGGGGTAAACGCATCTTCTTTTGATGCCTCTTGAAAAAGAAAAAGAAATCATTGGCGAATGATAATTCATTTTTACATTAAAGCAATCGCCGGTATCAGAACAGATACAGACGTTGAAAGAGCAGGCATACCTGAGTCAAGGTGCAGGAGATGACAGACACGTCGCTGTTGCTCTGGTTGTCGAGACAGCCTGAGACCCACATGGACTCGCCGACCACGAAACCTCGCTTGTTGACGTTGACGTCGAGCGTGATCGGACCAGTCTCGCAGCACAAGCATCCCTCGTTCGTCGTCTGCTGATCACCGATCGGATGCTGACGTTGTAAAGGAAGATGATATAACAAAACGTCAAGAATGAATTCAGACTGAGGGTCTTTCATACATTTTGAGGTCAAAATCTGAACAGATTTTATAATATTAAATTGACGGTGATGTTATTACTATAGATATGGTGACATTTATCCTTTAGTTTGTTCAATGAAAACTTTTCCAACCTTGCAGGGAGGTGTGAGTTGGTCTAACGGTAAGTCTACTCGGTCAGCTTTATTTCTTCGCCTACAAACTGACTGGGACGGACCCCGACTCGAATCTGCGATATGTCTTTGGATGGTGACGTTAAAGGTCGGTCCCAGACTTAAATAATCAGGCATAATGGATACTTGTCTTCTATAGTACGTCAATGAAAATTCAAAATTATTAGGGTGTGACCCTGTACTTCTTGTTGGACATGGAGCGTAATATAAGCACACCTTATAGTAGTATTTGGCGATTAAAAGAATAAGAACACATTTTATCATTATAATATCAAAAAAGGGGCTTAATTTCCTCTTCGTTTTTCTCAATCCGATGATACAAGCTGCTTTGATTAAATAAAATTGTGTTTGTCATCGCAGTGCCATTTTGGGGTATGACTGATTCTGTCGAACTCACCGGCTGTTCAACCGATTATAGGTAATCTGGGTTTCGTTTCACCGAACCATCTCACAAGTACAGGTTTATCGACATCCCATGACTTTTATTTTTTTTTAATTTTCAAATCCGAGGATACAAAATTATTTGATAAAAGGAAAGTATGCGATATTATCAGAGCGCCTTTGGTGTATGACTTATTTTCTGCTCCTATCGCTCATGCTCGTCGTAGGTAGTTTGGTAATCATTTAAAGGGATATCGGCAGTTTCCATGTGCAGTATGTCATAATTCGCTGACACCGGGTATGGGACAACCATTAATGGGTGCACAAGTCTCGCACACGGAGAGTCTTCGGGGTAGGGATCATGTATGATGATGATGATGTTTCCTTATTGATGGACATTGCAGAACCTTACATGAGACCCGTTTGTCGTCAACGTGATTGCCAGTTCTAGTGATTGATAAAATCTGTTATCAGGTAATCACCAGAATGGTGTCCAATTCCCAAATGAGAACCCATGCTAATGACTCTTTAAAGCCCATCTGCACTAGTTTAGCCAGGAGGGATTAGACCTCCCTGTAAGGTCACTGACAGGTGTTTATCTCATCAAATTAGTTCTCAATTAGAATAAGAAAAAGGGGATCATGGGGGACCAACGGTCACCGATTAGACATTGTTTGCTATATAGAGGGCGCGAATAGCTATAAGTAGTGCAGCGGGACTTTAACGAACTCTTCACTGAGGACACACTGCTACTCACCAGGACTTCAGGGATGATATTGAGGTCGACCACGGGTCTGATCCTGAAGGCTCTCTTGGCCGAGTGGTCGTACTTTCGAGGACGGTCGATGACTGCTTTCACCATGTAAGAGACCTGAGCGAACTTGCAGTAGAGCTCCGGAGGGAGGCCAAGAGGTAGACGGAAGCGGAAGGGGAACTTGTGCTCCCCGGCTGGAAGGATGTAGCTGCGATCACACGCATCATCTGGGGGGTAAAAAGAGGAGAAGAAATAAATGGGGTTTAGGTGCCATGGTTATGATGGTGGTATAGCAAGGATCCAGTCAGTATAGGGGGAGGGGGGGGGGGGGTACCAGTAAATTAGATAGAGTAAAGGTCATCCAAGAGGGTGAGGGTGAAGGAAGGGGTCCTCTAACCGAATTGCAACACAAAAAGGAAGAAAAAAAGAGGGAACGAGGAAGGGAAAGGGAAATAATGAGAGAAAGAGAGAGAGAGAGAGAGAGAGAGAGAGAGTTGGAGAGAGAGAGAGAGAGAGGGGTGATAGGACCCCAACCCCTTAATCAGAAGCCTTGTAAAATCCTATTCTATTTCCCGAGCAAGACCGGTGCCCCCCCCCCCTCCCCATCTCTTCTCCAATGATGAAAGTGCATTGTCAGTGGGTAGACTCACGCCACAGCCTACACCACTGGGTCGTATCGTCTTCTTTTCACCTTGCTTTTCTCCTTTCCCTTAAGTTTTCTCTTCTTTCTTTCCCTATACAACTAGTGATTACTAAATGGGCTACTTTTCATCTTCTGAACGCTTCCACCAGGTCCGTGGTACCCACGAAAAAAAAGTATCTTGAATTCTGCATTATAAAAATTCAAAATGGTGGTAGGTTGTTCTTTATTTGACTTTCCAGGTATAGCCTTAAGCTTCCCAAGGTAAATTTAAAGATAAAATATATTGATAGAAACATACCACCTTCCACTGGTTTTGAAGATCGACGTTTTTTTTTTTAAAGTGAAACTGTTGCGCAGGGGTTAACTATTTTTGTAGATTAAGTTACGATTGCAAATCATGTTTTCTCGCAAATTTTGTGATAGTTTTTTTTTTTTACAGATTTGGTTGCTCATTGTAGTGGTTCGAGCACATTTCTTGTTGATGTCTCTTCAAATGGTAGACGCTTCCTTTAAATTAAATGGTACGGAAAATGTATGCTGCATGGCGTTGCTTTGTCTATCTCCTACCCACTCTTTGTATAATTCGGGAATATTTCTTCATGACTTTTAGACCCCAATGAAGCGAGAAAACAATTACGGCTTGATTGATGGAATTGGTTGTTCAGGTGTAACGAACAAACGCTTTGGCCGGACATCGAACGTTTCCCACGACAGAGGGCAAATCGATGCACTCTCTGATGGTTCGTGTATTTGTATGAGGAAAACGTCGAGTGGGCGTATAAATAAGTTAAGTCATGATTGAATCCCCCAATTCTCAATTCTTCAATCACTAACGCAAAAATAGATTTAAACAAATCTTTCTAATAATTCTAAACGTTATGTGCGAAATGATTGTATTGAAAAGACATCTAAAACAAAACAGCGTTAACGCTGAGGAGGAGGCAGGTGATGTTGACGATGTTGATGATAATAATGATACTAATGATGACTGTTAATGACATGTACGACTTTATTGTGAAACAATTTCGTGATGAAAATAAAAGGGAGTAACAAATTTAGGACCGATCGGGGAAATATTGATGTGTTCATATCTACGGTAGACGTAGGTCTATCAGTCTTAACATCTGGGACCTGTTTCACAAAGACCTTTTCCAATGATAAATTACAAAAATTAGGGACAAATCTGCTGATAACCAATCAGAAGCAAGGATTTCACTAGCCAATAGCCGCGGCTGGGATTCGAACCCTCAACCTTCGGATTGAGATTTATTAATAGGTGATTGCAGAACCACTATATTGAACACAATACCCCCATCCCTCTTTCTCTTTCTCCCCCTCGTTTATACCCTCCCACCTCTCTCCCTCTCTCCGGTTTATTCTTTACTTTCACGCTTAGTTTTTTATGCTTATCACATTGATCGTAAAAACATTCTGCATAATGGCGAAGGAATAAGCATCTATGCATATTTGCTGTCTCTGATGACAACATTACAACTCCCTGATAATATCATCTTTCTTCTATCTCACGTATACATCACTGTATATACGTGTAGTCCCATACGTAGGCGTACTTCTAAGAAATTGAAATATCGGGGATATTTATAAACGAATAACAGGCGTTATGACCCGCGGTGGAATCGGCTTAATATATTTGCAATTTCACTCCTAGAGGGGCTCAAGAACTGAGCAAAGAATGGAATAAGCAGCTTCCCTGATTATGTGTCATCTAGCCCAACAAGACTAGTCTCTGTCCCTAGTACTCTACTAGATTTTTATGAAATACCGTTAATACGACGCGTTATATTTGTGTCCTAGAATAAAAATTAAAATAATAATTATGCAAGTCCGGGTAAATGCATAAAATACTTCAATGGTTTCGTAAAAAGCCAAGAAATATAGAATAGAGAAAGAGAGCATGTGCTGATATCGGATAAAATGAGTTGCATTCAGCAACTACGAAATGAACATAAATCTTAACGTCTGAACTTAGGCCACGACCACCTACTGGATGAGTGTCCCAAACAGCTAGTGTTGAAGTATTGTAGTCTCTCAATTCAGACAAGTTTAGACTAGTATGTATTTTCAGTCACGGATAGTTCTGTCTGTATTTCAAGGCAGAATATGAGAATGTCTTTTTTTATAAGCTTACATCTGCGACAGATTTTAGCCATTCAGCCTCGACAAGCTAAAGAGATCTTATTTCCATTCTCATTTGAAATATGAGGGCATCTTGGAAAGTGGTCTGAATTGACAAGACTGGTTTCCATTAGAGCGAGGGTTGTGCACGTGTTAATATGATCAGTCAGTGAGACGAAGAATTAGCTTGATTAACTTAAAGGGGGCAACCAGAAAATACAAAGTGACAATTCTACCCAATTTCAATTGAATACAACATTAATAATTCATGAAACACCATTATCAGACTTGAATTTAACAAGTGAATGCAATGTTCGTCACGAGAATGAATTCGAGTTTGCTTAAAATTTTGTTGAAATTATTCAGTTAAAATAGTGGTTTGAAGGGATCTTGTATATTTATATTTATTTTTTAAAGAGAAAAACATATCTTCCACCATAGACCTAAATGCGTAGTTAACCATAAATCTACAGGCCCCGGAAAGAAAGCATACTTTAAAAAAGGCAAGAAACAATCAATCAAACAAATACCAAATTATTGTGACGATTTAAAAAAAAAAAAAAAAATTGTGGGGGGGGGGGGAGGGGGTGGGAGGCTTCACTAGCAGAAATTACATGTTCTGGTGTTTAAAACAAGGAAATAGATTCCGATCGCGCTCGCACACAAATAACATGCGTGTATAAGTATTTCTTTTTATGGGTGAGTGGGGACAGAAGTTCAGTATCCACCTCTTTACCAAAAAACCCTATGTTCATATGTACATTGTTATTTTGAAGAATTAATGTAACTGAAATGTAAAAAAAAAAGAATATGTGAAAATACCTTCACCAAAGACAAGAGCAGTGTGTTTGAATAAAACTTCTTTCCATAAGAAGTCTTCTCCATCATCGTGAAAGTTCCTCCATTCCGTCTTAGTCTTTCCTTTGAACTTCACTCGAATACCTGGCAAAGAACAAAAGGTCAAAGGTCAACACACGAAATAATGACATTTGTTATACAAAATTGTATTCATCAAAGAATTAGTAATGAACCACGACAACAAAATTAATAGCAAGTTGATCAGCTTTTTCTTGTCAAATGGGCACGAAAGCATGAATAACTTTTTTGTGTGTGCAAAGGTATATGCCAAACACGTTCATTTTTGCATCAAAATATAACTTCATATAAGTTCATCTACCCCGCCCCACCACCACCACTACCATCACCAACACCACCATCACCACACCCACCCTCACCACCACCACGCCTATTACCCCATCCTCGGCGATACCCCTTCTATCACCTATCGTTGAGTTCAATGCAACTATGAAAATCCACAACGATTCGCGCTTCTTCAGCTCATTTCATTTATAGACAATTCCAATCATATCAGTGGACCAACCTATTACATGCGCGAAATAAATAAAATTTACTGGACGGCCATGGATTCATTAAATTGACAATCCACGGAGTATCAATCAATTTGCAATTCACAGGCAAACGGATTGAACAATCATGTCTAACAAAGCCTCAATCATAGTTCGATTGAAATCAAATCCCTGCGAGTGCATACAACATTAAGAATTAATGAGATTTTTATCTGATAATGCGAGTGCACTACTGCATTGGAATGTCAATGGAGTATGTATTTATTTTATGTCCAATGTTATTTCCATCCAAATATTGTATTTCCAATCGATGTTACTGAAATGTATGAACAGCAACAATAAGAAGAAAAAATAAAGCACAAGCAGATCATTTATTTTTTGGAAAACAAATAAACCAAATAATTGGTCAAAATTTAATGATGTATTAACCTGACATCATGAAACATACATTTTCGTGAGTATTAATTGGCCATTGTGCTACAACATACATTTTGTTTATGTTGACTTTGAGTACATTTCTAAAGAATCTTATGTCTATTTTGAAAAGGTAGCTTGGTATTTCTGGCTCGATTTCCAACGCATCGGAATTTAATTTACGAAAAGTAGGGGTATTGTCGCAGGGTGTGTGAGTATGCCGTGTCGAGGAAGGTAAAAGGGGAACGTAACAACATTTCGACAGATTTTAATGAAACCCCCTCCACTCGTTCACTTAAAACTGATCTACCGATTCCCCTAAGCACCACCCTCGACCGACACGTAGCAACCTCTATACAGTAGTTTAGTTCAGAATCTGAGTCTGAGGGAGATGATGATTAATGGTGATGTATTCCCGTGAAAAAAGCTATGTTTAGCGCACCTTCTCACCTGCCTTACCGATCCATCATGCAAGCCGCGACAGTAGGGGGGGGGGGGGGGGGCTGGATGGTGGGGACATTTTCTGTATCAGTGTTTATTACACAATATCCCACACAGGGGCGGATCGAGGTCTTTTTGTATTAAAAAAAAGTACAACTCCGAAAATTCGGGGAAGAATTACTTCATTATGCACTTTAATGTGTGCCGATTGGGTCGGAAAACCTGGGATTTTCTTCTTTTTTTGGGGGGGGGGGGGGGGCACGGGCCGATGTCCCCCATCCCTCCTCTCACGCCCTTTCTCTCCCTTCTCTCTTAATTCCCTTCCCAATCATTCTCCTCTCCCTCCCCCTTCTCTGTCTGTCTGTCTGTCCGTATATCTATCTGTCTTTCTGTCTCTTTATCTGTGTCTGTCTCTATATGTCTCCCTCTGTCTCTTGCTGTCTGTCTGTCTTTCTCTCTCTCTCCCTTCTCTCTCTCTCTCTCTCTCTCTCTCTATCTCTCTCTCTCACACACACATACACACCCACGCACACACACACACACACACACACACACACACACACACACACTCATTCACTCTCTCCCTCTCCAAGACGTTGGCCTAATGACCTATCTCTAAGATGAGCTTCATCACGCCTGGCCGCAGGAGTTGTTCTCATTTTTTACGATCTATTTAACCCTCGATGATCCACCCACCCAGGGAATTGGTAGGTCAATGTACGTTAAAGTAGAAATAATGATAGTGTTTTCGTTCCTTTACACCGCTAAAACACATCCAATAATGCCGGTCAGATGTGTGTTTGAAATGTTATTAAATAAATCGTCCAATAATTCCAATTGTCCAATCATTGAATTCCATTAAAATTCCACACTTAATGCTCACATTAAAAACAGAGACGTTCGAATCCTATCTTGGGTACCCATTTATACACCAGGGTAAAGAGAATCTTTATAGATCAAATGCCTTTTTCAAGGAAATAACTTAATATCCGCGTAATCCACACAGATCAGTGATTGCTATAGATATTGTTGTATTTTATAATTCTACCAATTAATTCATATCGTTTACACAAATTAAGTTACACTGAACATACTCCTAATCTGTGTATGATAACGGACTTTGTTTACCATTCAATTTCAATTGATCAATTGAAGAGAAATCGTGGATTTTTCTATATTGCAAAGCATCTCCGATTTTCAATTCTTCAATTCATCTTTCATTTGTGTTTCCATATCATCAACATACTCAAGTAATACATTTGTACATAAGTGCATAATGACATAGGCATCTATAAACAGAGCATCTTGGACGTTGTCACAATAGTCTCCATTCTCTGTGTTCCCCGAAATGTCTATGGGCATAGTGGGATGTCTTCTTCTTCAAATCAACATGGGTATACACTTTGTAATGAATCCACCATGTGCAACGGGGATATAATTTCATTCGTACAACATCATTGCATGCGATGCATACATGTATTTTGTCTGACGAATTTAAATATAAAAGAAATATCAATGTCGTCAGCCTGAAGATAAAAGAGACGAAAGATTCTGGCTTCCTATTCCTCGATGGGTCACTAGTCTTACAAGGTGAACTGTACAACGAATGTTGAGAGCCAGAAGGGTGTTAACTGATACTTTAACACGGAGTTAACGCCCTTCTGGGTCTAAATATCTAGGTTAAGGTCCCGACGGGGAGTTTGTAAATGAAAACGCCACATTCGGGGCAAAGTAGTTTCTCAATGGGGGCTGAAATGGATCCTTCGAAAGTCAACAGCTACTTGACAGCAAGAATTTTTATTATCAATTTTGCAAATTACATTTCTGATATGGATGGTGTATGCCTTCGGGTAAGGAAGTTCTGCTTGCAACTTTACTCGGTCATCGAGAGGAAGCAGATATGACCGGATGAGCTTTGGAGCTTTGTACCTTGTAATACTATATTCTCTTTTAACAAAATGCTTCCTTCGGTTCTGTCTGTCTGTATGCCCCTCTCTCTATGTCTGTGTCTGTCTGTCTGTGTCTCTGTCGCCCCTCTCTCTTGCGTTCTCTCTCTCTCTCGCTCTTTCTCTCCTCTTTCTAAATTGATTCTACTACACCACCATGTACACGTTGTATCTCCGTACCGGTCGTCATGTTCAGACAGCTGATTAAGAGGGTAATTTGCACAAGTCAATGTGCAATCGGCATTTATGAATCTTTCAAAAGAAAACTGACGATATTATACAAATAAGAATAAACATTCATGGTATATAGAGAGACCTACTTGTATTTTTGTAATCGAACAGCAAAGACGACAACTTGACTGTTGTAAAATATCAGGATCCCCTAACAATCTACTTTATTTCATTTTCCCTGTTTACATTCCTGTTATCTTATGACGGTTTCTTGTAAACTGCTCCTCTTTCATTTCCAATTAATACTCCCATCTGTATCCTCTCCTTTCCTCATTTCTTTTCATACCTCTCCTTTTATACATCTGCTGATGTATATAACATCCTCCGCACTTTATTTAAACGCGACTTCGATGAGTTGCGACAAAACGCCAATCTTACGACTGGTCATAAAAAGAGAGACTCTGCGTCATTATTCGCTGCTCCCCCTCGATCAAGTGTTTTAAAAGAAATTCCTTATCACGGCCGAAGTCCCTCGAACCTCGGAGGGTAAGCCGAGAGAAAGCTGACAAAATAAGACCCGGACACCCATAAGCCATTCTAAACACTTTCCCCCACTTCACTCGGCCATAATAGTGGTGCTGTTCAAATTTGAAGATGCCCCCGAGAGGGACGGGCAGCGGCGTAGTGAAAGGTGAATGGTAAGGGGATCACAATGCAAACCCCGCCCCCTTTCGTATTCGACAACTTTGTTTATTATTTTGTTATTAAAGATACTCCTGTAAGTGTATCGGAATAGGTGTGACATGACATCCACCAAATTATAAGCCGGGAGAATTTGCTGCATCATAATCTGCTCTCTCTCTCTCTCTCTCTCTCTCTCTCTCTCTGTGTCTCTCTCTCTGTCTCTCTCTCTCCCTCTCTCTCTCTCACTGTCTCTCTCTCTCTCTCATTTTCTCTCATCCTCTCTCTTTCTCTCTCCATCCCACCCCTCTCTTTTTCTCTCCCCGTATCAATAATTATTCATTTATTTATCGTATTTGTCTATCTAACTATGCAACAAGCCATATATTACTGTCGATCTATCGTATAGTTTCTACTTCTTTATAGTCTTATTGGCCTTAACATGTCAGGCATGCTATCCACCAAACATCACCAGACATCTATTCATCTATCTATCTATCTATCTATCTATCTATCTATCTATCTATCAATGTATTAATTAAACCTGTATCTTTTAATTTTATAAACTTTCACCGCGCTTTGAGTTCCTGGAAATAACACCACGACAGAAGGCTTTAAAAACATCTAACGATAATATAATTCATTAACCTATAAATTATCAATGCCATAATTCTACATGTACACCGTTCTACCCATACCCGCATCTATAATTCATTCATTAACTAATTATTAGCTCGAGTCTGTTTCTATCATTAGAGCCCGGGCTGTCTATATAGGCTCTCCCCTTTAATCTCAGGTAGCTACTTTCTCAAGGAATTATGCCCTGGCACATGCATAGGCTATTTACCCAGGGCCGACTCAATCCAAGTCTTAACAAAGTGACTCCTTTATTGAATTACACGGCGACACCTATATTGATGCA